GATTTATTTTATGAAATGATTTTGTTTATAGAGCATTTAGCATTGCGCAATCGCGTCCGCTGTTTTAACGAACCGATTCGTTATTTTTCTAATACCGAATCGATTCGTATTTAATAACGACGTTTCGGAATTCGCTTTCGCGCATGCGCGATCGCGTTCGCCGGTTTTAACGAATCGATTCGTTATATCCTTAACGAATCGACCCCGCGCAATAACGAAGCTTCGGAAGTGATTTTGCGCATGCGCGGGGGGTCCGCCATCTTAACGAATCAATTCGTTAATATTTACGAAATTTTCGTAAATATTAACGGATTGTAGGGGGGAAATTTTGTAATTATTTTAAATATCGAAACAAAAAAACACCCCAATTACAAATCGATTTTAGAACCAAATTTTTTCTTGATCAACCAGGCCTACAACCTACAGAACCTATCTTGTTCCTAATTTGGGGACTGCCTGTACTTGGCTGTTTATTAAAGCTTTTGAGCCTAAATGGCTATACTCACAAAGAAGGGGTGTTCTTGTTTTTTTACCACAATTAAAGGTGTAGTGCTCCCACTGACCTGTGGATAGTTCTCCCTAGTTTTTGAGGTTGATTTCTTGACTAAAATTTCATGAGTATATAGGGTAATACAGAAATATATGTAAAGGCTAGTTTAAGGAAATCTCAAATCAATTTGCAATTCAAGAGGAAAGGACCAATGAGCAACTTTAAGACCACCTACCCATCCTGAAGTCAATGTACCCTTCTCCTCCACTTATCACCAACATAGATTTGAAAGACGTCTGACTGTTTGATTCTTGTGTAGAAAGAGTAGTTTTATCACTGATTAGCTCTGGACCTCCTCCCATCTGGGGACATGCCACCTGACCTAGATGTAAGAAAGATCAGCGGAATTGCAGGTTATTGGGGGGGGGGGGGGGACACGGAATCTCCCCAAAGGATAAAGCAGATGCTTGCAAAATAGGGAACCCAAAGCAGGTTCAATGTTCCTACAAAATTAACCAATCCTTACTATACAAGAGTTAGACTTTTTAAAAGTTTCTGTCTCACTACTAAGGATTTTCTGATGGGCAACCATACTAGTCTGTTGCAGCAAGAACAACCGAGAGTCCTGAGGCACTTTAAAAATAGCAAGTATTACTTCACATAAGCTGCTATGGACTACAGCCCTCTTCTTCAGATACATTAAGACCAATGTCCATGAAGCTTATGCCAAGCAACTTTTGTCAGATTTCAAAGTGTTGCAAAACTCTTGGTTGCAGAGTGTTTGATTTTATTGATGAGAACCTTTTAAAGATGCCTATGAAATTTGCATCATTTTGAAAAATAAATTACATACCTTGAAACATGAGCTACTGCAATAATTACAAATGAGTCTTTTTAATTTGAAACAGGAAGAAAAATAACTAGGTAAATGCAAAATTAAGGACAAGATTAAGTATTTAGCACAGGATTTGCCTCTCACAATGGTAAACCACCATGTTGCTAAATTAGGATTCCGAACCTCTGCCTAGGATACAGAAAACAATTTAAGATGGAAGGAAGAACAAGTATGGCGATATATATCTTTCTATGTTATAAATCAGGCCCATATCTAAGGCATACGAGTATTCATTAGTGCATTGTTACAACCCTTACATCCTGCATTGTGTACATAGTTAAAGTAACTGTTGCCAATTGTATAGAAAACAAAAGATTCAGCAGGACTGATTATTACAGTTCTCTGGGCCCTTCCACGCAGCCATATAATCCAGAATATCAAGGCAGAAAATCCTACAATATCTGCTTTGAACTGGTTTATCTAAGTCCACACTGCCATAGATTCCTGTTCAAAGTAGGAAATGTGGGATTTTATTCAGCTGTGTGGACGGGGCTTCTGTTTCCTAAAGTATTATTAGCCCAATGGCAGAAACTGATATGAAGTGGCATAGAAGATTCACTAGCTTTTTTGAATATCTTGCTGGTGCAACTGGTTTAAGCAGTCTTCATATTTTCTGTTGTTCCAACATAGTGTTGTTTGTTCCTCTATATAGATCATTAAAACATGAAAATTTTGCCAATAGTGTAGTCATTTCTTGTCTAGGCTTTAGCAATTCCTCTTTGTTGGCTTTTCCACACTCTTAGAATTTCAATGGTGTACTTGTCCTTTAGAAGTTCCTGTGAGCATTAGTTTTTAATGGTTTGGTTCTGCTAAAGTCCCACAATATCTTCTATATCAGAACTGGGCAATTTGTAATTTTTTATAATTTATATTCTTGTCAGCTGTGATACTCTCAATTATGATATCAATTTGACAAATGAAGAGATAGGGTGGAAACAGTAGCTCCATCAGCTTCCAGAGGCCAAAGATTTTTCACCCCAGCTCTGTAATGTGCCATCTTTTTCATACTCCACCATAATACTTCTTGCTTCTTTCTGCTACCTGATGACAGTTGTGTTGTTGCCCCATTGTCTTTTCAGACTTCTAAGTATTTGCATTCTGCCATACTTTAGTAACAATCACACAGTGCCTAAAATACACACACACAAATGTGAGTTTCTGTTTTTTCCCCTCTGGTAATGTCCCTTTTGATCAATCATGAAACTTTTAGGGCAGCCTCTTCTCACATCAGTGACCTCCAGATGTATTTTACCATAATGCCCATCATCCCCACAGGACAGGATTTAAAATTGTCGCTTAATGCATCTGAGATGTCACCAGATTGGCTGAAACTGCTTTAAGAGTTTCACAAATATATGCAAGGGAGTACAGATAATTTCTTCTATCAGTGCCAAACTCAGCATGTTACCTCCCCAAACTGTAAAAGCAGGGAAAGAATTCTACCCAAAGCTTACCAGGAACGGCAACAAAAAATTTGACAGCATCTCGATGCCCATGGAAACATAGCTGCGCATGTGCCATTGAGCAATAAGGTATGAAGGTTCCCGGTGTCACTTTGTCACTGTTTTCATCACCATATACACGTATTACACTCCCTGGACGGTTGCCAGAACTGGCTGCTGCTTTGTTAGCTAGAATGAGAGGAAGAGAATATTTTCCACCTGAAATTGCTAGCAGCAAGAAGGATCATTTATCAGGAAGCCTCATGGTACCATTCTAGAAGCTAAAGCCAACTTAGATAAATGAAATGGAAGGGGCAACAAATGCCAATTCAAGACAGAGCTGGAAAGGAACAAAAGACAGCATGCGGTAGTTATTTGAAGTACCTGAAGAAAAAATGGAGTAGATTGCTAGTCTAGCATAAGTGGACATTTTTTTACCAACCCCACACCCAACTTCATAATATAGCATGCAAAGAGGGTTTGTTTCACACTCAAGACATAAACTCATAACATTTATTAAATACTGAAGTACCCACAATGAACCCTATTTATGATTTGTAAAACACAACTCCAGAAGCAGCCATGTTAGTCTAACTCACACCACCGAGTTCCATGGCACATTAAAAGAACCATATTTAAGTATGGCATCAGTTGTCATGGACACATCGAAAAGGTGTATGTTGCAAATGTAGCCACTAGATGCCATTCTTTTTAAAGGAAGTGCTCTGGAGCAGCTACGAGTTTCAGATCTCTTATGCCAAGGGGGGATTCAGTGGGTGGGAGGAAAAGGAAACGAATAGTCACTGGTGGCTTCTGGGGAGCTGCATTTCAACTGTGTGTGTGTGTGTTTTTTTTAATATCTCTGAAAACAGATGTAAAATTCTACAAATCTTCCTGGAATTTCATATGCTAGACACACAAAACTATCTCCATTTCAAACAGAATCAGAGTAAGGAAAGAAACTTGATTTGTAACAAGAGAAAATGATATGGATTAATGACAAATTACAAAGTTATGGTATCACAAATGGCGCTGGAAGAAAAACAAGAAGCTGGCATGAAAGTTCAGCTGCAACAAAAAATGAAGGCACTAAACTGCTGAGCAGGATTGGTGGTCATTTAGCAAACAAAGTATTGCAATGCAGGTAACTGCAAGTGAAATATGGTTTAGGAACATACAAAGGGGGGCGGGATTTAGAAAAGTGGGGAACGGCCTGAAAGAGGCTATTAGAGAAGCCTGAGAATATAGAACTTTTTTTGTTTGGGATCAGCACTTACCCCTCAGCCCCAGTAAACGTCCCTGGTGGAGGATTACAGCTAAAGTAAGAAAGGAGGAAAGGGGACAATGGATAGGTGTGACAGCAGAGGAGAAGGATTAATGAGAACCCACCACTTGTGCTCTGGTGTTTAATAAGAGCTTTATATAGTAGCTCCTAACCATAGAAGGTACAAATAAGTGGATATTATAAACCAAGTTTTCAGCTTAAATGGAGAAAAGGAAGTAGCTACACTGTAAATAATGTGATGTGTTGGCAAACTGTGTTTCCTCTTTCTCACTTTTCTTTCAAAGGGGCATTATCAAATTTGACAGGACTCAAGTTGTCATATCCTCCTTTAGAAAAAAAATTCCATCAGCCTGTCACAATGAGCACTACACATCAAATGTTAGCTTGTTTGCTGCCTAGGGCATTCATCTTGTTTGAAACAGGTTTGCGGTTATGCCTAATGGGCATCTTGAATAAGGAGTGGCTTTCAAATCCAGGACTTCTTTCTACTGCCTATCTGTACTTACCTAAATCTCTTGGAGGTCCACTTCTCAAGTCATAAGGGAAGTGTTTCATTCAAACATTACCACCACAAATCCATGAACACTTTTTACAGCAGAGGTGAACAACCTGATGCGTCCCGGCTCCAGATGTTGCTGGCTGCATATGCTGCAGCCCTGTACCATTTGCTATACTGGTTGTTTGAAGTTATACTGCAACAACATCTAAACAGCTGGCAGTGTGGTTCTATAGGGACATACCAATGCTTCATTATGTGGCATGGTAAGCATTTGTGACTGAGTGAATAATTGCAAAGCTCAACAATTCTTTTAAGTTGCTGTCCAATTTTAAAGAGTCTGATATAAGAATATTTTTAAATGACACTCCCATCCTATAAATAATACTCTTGGTATTTTAAAGATCCTAGGAAAGTAATTTTAGAAGCATTTTTACTATTTTGAAACCTTTTATGAGTTTTGGTCTTAACTGAATACACATATGCAATGCAAAACCAGACATTTAATGGATGATCAATGTAATGGCACAGCATGAAAAACAATGTACATGGTGTTCAAAGCAATTCATATGAAATAATTCATTACTGTCATTATCTCCCAACAATTCAATTTGTGGTAAAACCTTACAATAACTTACTCTAGCATGTTACCAATACTGCAGAATTGAGAAAGTTGTGTTTACCACAGCCGTTAAGAAAATTCTCTATAAATTTCATGTTATTAATTTAATTATTCGTGTATGAAACCCTCAAACAAAGTTTTTCACCAAAGATTTATGGAATGAGTTAGACTAAGAATGAAAAGAAATAGTGCAAAATCTAAAACAGAATTAATATTCTTGTGTTCTGAAGAAAGCTCTTTTATCTCCTTGCCTATTTTTTTCTAGCTAGTGGATATAACTGAAAAAATCAGAGAAGATAAAGTGGTTATATCTGTGATCAATCAGGAATTTCATACTAGACAGGAGAAGAAACGGGAAGCATGACAATTTGGGGAAATAACAGGATGCAGAAAGAAACTAAGGGGGTAGGATGTTGTTACCTCACCACCCACTCTTGCTTTTTAATAAAAAGCCCTTCCCTATTGAAGCCATTTAGCATAATATGTAATTTGGCTCTGCACCACTAAACAATCTTCTTCAAATTTTTAATTGGAGTTCTTCATGTGACCAAACAGTCAAAACTGAAAGATCAAAGCTGCAATCCTATACACATGCATCAAACTGGGCTGTAAGATTCTGAATCTTACATAAGTTTCTTCTAACACTCTTGTACCTACCAAGGCTGTATTTATATTTGGGTGTGAAGCTGCAAGCCCAAACTAGAGTTTGCATTTGGTATGCAACTGTTGGGATTCTTGCAACATTTGTACTTACTTTCTGTTAAGGGTATGGAGATGATGACCCCATTTCCTGTTCCAACCCACAGGCGATTACAGGAGACCATAAGAGCTGTGATTCTCACAAAGGAAAATCCTAGTTTTCCAGTACCTGGAACGACACAACAACATTAAAGATATTTCTACATAGTACAGAAAGCTTCCATTGTATCTCTAATGTTCCTCTTAATTCCACACTTTGCAAACAAATATACAAGATCTGGAAGCTATTTAGTTTTAACAGAGTTGGTACTAAAATCCCACAGAGGTTTTTCAAATGATGTTTTGGAATCAGTTTCCTAAGGAACCGAAACTCAGCAGAGATGCCTGCAGTGGTTATTAAGCTTTGCTAATATGCTTTTTGCCCTGCAGGCCCTAGAATCACTTACAATGCTACCTGAGGGTCCTCTGACTCTCCAGAACATCTTTTGACATGCACAGTGAGCTGGATGGAAAAACGGCACAAAATCACTTCCCCACCCATTCCCTCCAAGTAGGAGAATCCTGCAGGTATCTGTCTGAACTCTGGATTCAAGCAAAACATTCTAGTGAAAATCTCATTTATATTTGTAAATAGGGTTTTATTGCTGACCGTTTTAGATAATCAGGTTGTTATAAGGAATTTATCTCGTTTCAATCTGTTTTAATTTTTACTTTGTATGTTCTTACTGTATTGATAGCTGCTTTGAGTCTTGCCTTGGTGTGGGAGAAAAGCAGGCAAAAATCTACTCAAAAAATAATTTCCTATCTGGTTGAATGTCTTGTACCACAAAACAAATGTATCAAGATCCCATCTAACTAATAAGTATTCAGCCTAATAAGTGTGCATATTCCCCCAACAGAGAAAATGACATATAGCTTTTTGCACTTAATTGAATGTAAAGTATCTGCATTTGTATTAATTAGACTGTGGGGATGCATATCCATCAATTTACCATGATGCCACCCCTTATCCACTATAGCTGAATAAAGTCCATGCTAGAATCTCTCCTCTGAAGTCAACATATAATTTTGAAAGCACACAAATGAGTCATAATGTGTTAATTTTAACAGAAAGCTATCTTCGTGCTTAAGTAAAATACAATTTAGAGTCTCCAAACTGAAAAATAGAAAGACATATTTGTTAACATGTGCAATTGAGACCTGAACAGAAAACATTCACTTAAAAATACACTCTGCAATGCCCTTCTGCGGTAGGTCTCTGTGCTCTATTTTTGCTGACAGGTGAAGAGATTTCACCTGCCAGCTTCTTATTTATTCATTTTTAAACATATGTGTTTTTAAAATACTTTATACTATTTTAAAGTGATGGTTAAAATTGTTTTTTTAACATTTCATTGTTGAGTTTTAATTTATTTCTTTTGTGATTCACCTAGACACTCACTCTGGGAGAAAGGCTTCATATAAAGGAAATGCATAAATAATAACAAAGTCGCCTACATCTTTTATTCCTCTCTTCTCCCAATGAGAACATTTCTGCATTTCAAAAGACAAAATAAAGGCAAGCCTCTCCCCTGTAGTGATGCTGAAGTCAGGAGCCTTTCTAGCGCTATCTTCTCATAAGCAAAGTTAAGCAATAATAATAGAATAATAATAATATATGTACTAACCGCCTCTCCTTGTGGCCCACTTTTACAAACAGTATGTCATCGCTAAATAGAAAGTTATTGTATAATTACTTGTTGTATTTTTATAGCAACACAATCCCTTATGTCATTTCAGCTATATGTAAAAGAAAACAACAATTTCTTGGATTGAAGGCTAAATGACTTACCTAGCATTTTGCTAACATAGGGCTCAATATCGACATCTTGCAGATGCTGATAAGTGTGTGCATGATAAAGACGGAGTGTAGAATCTAAACGAATGGACACCCAGACTCCATCTCCAACCCAAGCAAGTTGTCTAACTTGGCTCTCCTTTCTTGGGTGTGCATCAAATGATTTCTAAGAAAAAATATGGCTTGATTAAGATTTTACAACAAAACACTTATCAGAATTCCCATTTATATTTTAAAAATACACATAGATGAGCACTAGTCTTCCTTGAAAATCAATATAAAGCCAATTCTATTTTTTCTAAATATTCCTACTCATTTGGACAGATATGGATTTGTATTTATACAAAAGAGAGACAACATAAGAGGGCTTGTATCATGAGCATGTAAAAGAGGGGTGTCTTTGCCTGTAAGAGTTTAGAACCAAATTTAGACCACAAACAAAAAACAACAGAGGAAGGGATGAGAAGGCAAAGCGAGAATAAAAAATGAAAGCATTCTTAAACTTAGCTGCAGGCTGACTTACAGCAGGATATGAGAACTATTACAGGTTTAAGGGAGGACCTGAGGAAGCAGGAACACATATTTCTGAGGCACTGCAGGCAAGATGGGAGAAAGAGCAGAATATGTTGAAGGAGCAAGAAATCTTCAGATGATATAGAATGGTATAGCTGAAGGAGCAAAAATCATGAATGGGGATATATGATGATACTTAAGCTGAGTGATATGTTATGGATCACAAGTGATTAGAAAGGAAAGGATAATGCGCCTCTGCTGGACAAGAGCAGCCATTGTAGCATCTAAAGAAGAGTTTCACATTTCTGAAGTAACTGTGCTGGAATAGTTTTTTTTATTATCTAAGTTGTGCTTCTCTATTAAAGATGTTAATCAGAGATGCTGAACAGTGATTATACAGACAAGTGCCTGGCAGTCTATTCCCTGGTTTTCTGGCTTTAAAAAGGACTGAGGGAATAGAAACGTTTTAGTCAGTTTGGTTTTATGAAGCACAGGTTCAACTTGCCTCTATTTTCATGGCTTTTGGCTGTACCACATAGATTTTGTTTCTGTAGCCACACCAGACTTTATCATGAACCACAGTCATGCAGCGGATTGAATGATGAGGACGGCCCAGATCTAGAAGGTGATAATTTGTCAAATCCCACTGTCCATCTTTAAAAGAGAAAAGATTCAAGGATCAGGTGAAAAATCATAAATATTAGTTTGTGCAAAACTTGGGGAAAAAATACCTCTGTAGATTACAGTTCCTGTAATTCTTCAGCAAGCATGGAGAGTGACCAAGAGGTACTGTAAGAGTTGTAGTTCAAAAGGAAACATTTCCCATTTCTGGCTTTCCGTACCTGGCTATTTTTTCTTTGGTTTTTTAGAATGCTAGTCTCACTTATAACACAAATTCACAAAACTGCAGAACTGGAAAGTTCCTCAAAGATCAGTAGTGCAGAAAACCCAGTACTCAAGAGAACATTTGCCCAAATCCATTAATTATTTAAAAAATCAATGTTCAACAGACACAGGCTTTATTTTTTAAAAAAAAAAATAGCAATAAAAGGTGTGTTGGCTAGTACCATTCAATTGCATGAATATAAAAATAAACAGCAGAAACAGAAAATGTCTAGAGATCAAGAAAATCTGTAACAGCAGTTTTATAAAAAGAAAACCAAAGGCAGCCTGTTCACATTGAATCATTCTTTCAAATTCTGTTTAGCGCACCATTGTTTTGAAACTGGCTCTACACAAGCCACTGAGTATCCAGTGTTCTATCTTCAGTGTATACAAGATCAGCATACAGCCCCTTCACATAGTAAATTAGGTCTGCATATTTTGGAGGCAAAAATAATCTGTGAAAGCAAGCAAAAATGCCACCCACACACCAAAAACCAGCCCAGAACTACCTACACTTCTCTTTTCACACCCTCTTAAAATGGTGACAGAAGTGATGTGACATCACTTGCTGGTGCCATTTTAATAGGAATCACAAAGGAAAACAGAGATATCTGTGGAAAGGAAATTGGCTGCTAATCCCCTGAAGTCTCCTATGCCTCAAGTGTAAACAGGATGAAACAAATATTTTTTAATACTATCACAACGACTACAAAACTTTCTACTAAGTATATAGTCTCAAAAATAAACAAAGGTTGCAATATCAATTTCTTTCTGAAACACATCAGAGACAAACTATGTGAGAATTCTAGGCATCTAATTAAAATGCTTACCTACTCCTCTGTGAAATATTGCTAAAGTTCCATCCGCTAGTGCAACTAATACGATTCCTTTTACATGCCTGCATAAGAGAAAGAGGGAAAATGTACATATTAAGAGAATAAAAAGCAGAGAAGCAAAACACAGTGCTTGTTCAGTTATCTCGATACCACTCCCATAAAAGTGCTCAGTGTCCCTTTTGCTCACATTTGGGTAATGAGTATTCCAGATGTTGCTGGAATATATTTCTCTCCTTCAGCCCAGTTATCCTAGTCAATGGTGAGGAACGCTTCAAAAGTTGTAATTCAAAATCTGAAAGGACGCAAATTGATAACCCCTTCCCTTAAGTGATTGATGTTGTCAGAGTACACCGTGGCAATAAAGGCGGCAAAGAAATCTTTCTTTGCGGCCAATATTGCATCCGCAAAGAACCGTCCGGCTGAGCTGTTTCGAGTTGTCAGAGGTCTATTAAATCCCACCACTCCGGATGGGAACCCTGACAACTCGACGGCCCTTTGTGAAGCATTTGCTCGGTTCTTTGCGGACAAAGTCGCTTTGATCCGTTCTGACCTGGACACCATGTTAACGGCAGTCTCAGAGGATGTAACACGAGCATCTGCTTATCCGATTTTGTTGGATTCATTTCAATTGGTGAAACCTGAGGATGTGGACAAGATACTTGGAGGAATGAGGGCAACCACATGCATCCTAGACCCCTGCCCATCCTGGCTTCTAAAGGAGGCCAGAGGGGGATTGGCTGAGTGGGTGAAGGTGGTGGTTAATGCCTCCCTTCGGGAAGGCAAAATTCCAGCCAGCTTAAAACAAGCTGTGATAAAACCGCTGTTGAAAAAACCATCACTGGATCCCACTCAATTCGTCAACTATTGGCCTGTTTCCAATCTTCCCTTTTTGGGCAAAGTCCTGGAACGTGTGGTGGCCTCACAACTCCAGGTATTCTTGGTAGACACTGATTATCTAGATCCGGCACAGTCTGGTTTCAGGCAGGGACATGCTACCGAGACAGCCTTGGTCGCCTTAGTGGATGATCTGCACAGGGAGCTAGACAGGGGGAGTGTGTCCTTGTTAGTTCTGCTGGACCTCTCAGCGGCTTTCGATACCGTCGACCACGGTATCCTTCTGAGACGCCTCGCGGGAATGGGCCTTGGTGGCACTGTTCTGCAGTGGCTCAGGTCCTTCCTAGAGGATCGTACTCAGAAGGTGTTGCTGGGGGACAACTGCTCTACCTCACAACCATTGTCTTGTGGGGTCCCGCAGGGCTCAATATTGTCCCCCATGTTATTTAACATCTACATGAAGCCGTTGGGAGAGATCATCCGGAGTTTCGGGGTGCGGTGTTATCTGTACGCAGATGACGTCCAACTCTGTCACTCCTTCCCACCTACTACTAAGGAGGCTGTTCAGGTCCTGAACCGCTGCTTGGCCGCTGTGTCGGACTGGATGAGGGCTAACAAATTGAAACTGAATCCAGATAAGACAGAGGCACTCCTGGTCAGTCGAAAGGCCGAACAGGGTATAGGGTTACAGCCTGTGTTAGACGGGGTTACACTCCCCCTGAAGACGCAGGTTCGCAGCTTGGGTGTGATCCTGGACTCTTCGCTAAGCTTGGAACCCCAGGTTTCGGCGGTGTCCAGGGGAGCATTTGCACAACTCAAACTTGTGCGCCAGCTGCGCCCGTACCTTGGGAAGTCTGATTTGGCCACGGTAGTCCACGCTCTGGTTACATCCCGGATTGATTACTGCAACGCGCTCTACGTGGGGTTGCCCTTGAAGACTGCCCGGAAGCTTCAGATGGTCCAGCGCTCGGCAGCCAGGTTGCTAACGGGAGCGACACTCAGGGAGCACACCACCCCCCTGTTGAGCCAGCTCCACTGGCTGCCCACGCTACCGGGCACAATTCAAGGTGCTGGCTTTAGCCTATAAAGCCCTAACCGGTTCTGGCCCTGCTTACCTCTCCGAACGCATCTCCACCTATGAACCGACTAGAACATTAAGATCGTCTGGGGAGGCCCTGCTCTCGATCCCGCCTGCGTCACAGGCGCGCTTGGCGGGGACGAGAGACAGGGCCTTCTCAGTGGTGGCCCCTCGGCTATGGAATGCCCTACCGGCAGACATCAGACAGGCACCTTCGCTGCTGACGTTTCGGAGAATGGTTAAGACCTGGCTTTATGAACAAGCGTTTGGTTAAGCAGTGCAACCAATCATAGGAAGACGGTAAATGGAACATAGGAATGGCACAAGGATTATGAGAACGGATCTGATTTCAACTGAGGCGTTATGTTATGTCTGTTTTGTTGATCTGTCTTGTTGATTGTTAACTGTTGTGGATTGATGCTGTTGATCCTGTTTGTTGCATTGTTATGTTTTAATTGCACTGACACTGTTTGATAATTGTACCATGTAAACCGCATTGAGTCGCCTGTTAAGGGCTGAAAAATGCGGTATAGAAATAAAGCAAATAAATAAATAAATAAATAAATACACTAACACGTATGTCTGAAGTACCCATTAAAATACTTGCAAAAATAGTATCCTCAAAATAGCATATTGTCCCCATTTTATTCAGAGTGTTCCTCATGCTTTGAACGATTAATTTGATAGTTCACTATTTTATGATGGAACAATTTTTTTCCAGTTTTACATTATTCCATTAACAAAGTTTTTATATTCCACAGCTTAAGCAACAACATAGTTCATGTTATATTGGTGTTCAAAGTAGAGAAATATACAGATCCTGAAAGGCTACTCATCACATACTCCAGGAATGGAAGAAGAAGTCATATATTTCTGCAGTGGTGTTACATGAAGATACATTTCTTTTTATCCATTGATTGCTGCATTTTTAAAGTAAAGCTTAAAGAAAATCTGCTTGTATACTTTCCCCTCAAAAAATTCAGCAAAATTTATACAGCAAAATCTCAAATGTGAACTTCTCTAGGAAGTATTTGCACATCACTGACATGGTGAGAAACAAAACTTTTTTGAGCTCCTTGTTAACTAATCCCAACTCATTTTTCTCATCTCCAAAATGTAATTACAGCAGCAGGTAACAGTAAGGTGCAGAGAGAGGCAGTGTGGTGTAGTGGTTTGAGTGTAGGGTTATGATTCTAAAAACCAAGGTTCAAGTCTCCACTTGGCTATTGAAACCAAGTGGATGAAACTGAACAAGTCATTCTCTCTCTGCCTCAGAGGAAGGTAGTGGCAAACTCCCTCTAAACCAATCTTGCCAAGAAAAACTTGGGACTGGTTCACCTTTGGGTCATCATAAGTCAGAAGCTATAAGAAGGCAAACAACAACCACAAGAGAATGCATTCTTATAGTTATTATTTTTCATTTCACAAAATCTATTTCATTATGGAAATATACTGAATTTTGTAGTAACTTACACTATACTGAGTATAGAATCTTTAAGTTTAATGGCATGAACACATTTTCTCCACTGAGCCACTGAAGAATGAACATACAAACTGCAACGACAAAAGCAGAATGAATTAAAACACCAACATCCCCAAATCTACAATAGCATTTACAAATTTAACATAAATTATATCTGTTAGTGTAATAAAAAATACAGAGATGGAACAAAGGCTACAAGATGGCTGAAACTTTTCTAATTTGTTGGGTCAGCTTTAGATTTCCTCGATAGGTTTTCTATATCATTTCTCCAGCATTGTCCAAGATACTTTATCTTGCTTTAGTGCTTAATTATTCCTTCAATTTACACTTCAGATGCTTCCCTATAAAGCAACTTGTGGAGGTTGTTTCCAAAAGGTACCAAATTCATCTCACCAAATTTTACAGGAATTGAAAAGAAAAAAAACATGCTGAGGATATGCATTCTTTTGCTATAAAATGCAATTCTCCAAGCCCCGTAACAAATAATTTTAATATTTTTGATCTGTATATAATATGCTACTCCTAGCCAACAATGTGCCACCACCAATCACTAATTTTTCAATGTTTTTGGGTTTAGTACCTTTTGGAAACAAACTCCACATTTGTGTTTTGAAATGCACGTATTCATAGGCTTCCTCCCTTTCACATACACTTATCCATGAGTTTAAGCTGGATTTAGAGACCTTTATTCAGATGCTGAGAAAATCAGGCAGATGGCAACCACAAAAAAGGCATTTTCTGTCATAATGCCCAATTAAAGGATCATTTTCAATAAGGAGATATGCCTTTAAGTCATTCCCTTCTAGCAAATTTGTTCCCTGGATTTTTCTGTAATGTTTGCTGCCATCTGCTGACCTAAATTTGAAATGCATATCACCCTCCCAAAATGGCAGTGTATCCATGAAGGAATCTTTCAAGAATCAAATAGAAATTACAAACTCCCTCTGTCTTTTCTGTGCAACAGGAGGAGATGGTAACTCACAGCTCAATTACTAGTTCATAGCAAATGGAAAGCCATGCTGCCGTGGCTCCACATCATCTTTATTATCTCAGTAAGAACCAAAGCCTCTCTACCATGTACCCTAAACCTCTCATCCAAAGTGCATGCTCAAATATTACTTTAATTGGTTGTATCTCTCATTATTGACTGCACATGTACAACACAGCTTGTCAACATGGGTAAGCAATGTGTGAAAACTCCCAATTCATATTAATTAACAGAAATCACATCTGAAGCTAAAATTGAGGGAAGACTTCAACATTAATGTTTCATTTTCAATGTAATATTTAGCAGTCTTTGGAAAAGAAGAAGTAAACTAATCACATCATTATTTTCTATGTACAAGACTGTACAGAATTAAGGTTTCTGCTTTACCATCCATTCTGTGCTCCAAGCCACATAGTGGGTAAAAGGCTGCTCATTTTCTGTGCTTCTTCTCTTACGAGATCCTGTTCATTTGGCAATACAGCGACATCTTTATACAAGTCTGCTTCATTACTGGGAGGGGGGAATAAAGTGTTATGAGCAAGATGTTCAAATACATTAATCTGCAAAATCTCACTACAACTGCTATAACATTCCATGTGAAACTTTTAAAAGGTTCATTTTAGAGGGGTTTTTTTGTTTTGTTTTGTTTTGTTTTTGATAACTGGCTAATCAATTTGAAGCTACCTAAAACTGTTTGGAAAGAACTATACAGAGTTTCCAAGGAAGAATACATATTTCAGGTTGAATATCCATTATCAAAAGAGCTTGAGACCAGATGTGTTTTGGGTTTCAGATTTTGGAATATGGCATAATGAGATAGCTTAAGAGATAGAACTCAAGACTAAACACAAAATCCATTAAATATAAATTAATATACACAAAACCTGAAGGTAATTTTATGTAATTTTCAAATAATTTTGCACATGAAAAAATGGTGTACATATTGAAACATCAGAAAGCAAAGGTATTATCTAAGCAAGTTATATTGAGTATTTCAGAATTCCAAATAAGGGATGTTCAATCTGTATCTAAAATCTGTTTAAAATACTGGATACAGATGAGATAGGATACAGATGAAAACAAACATCTTCTTACTAAGTATGAAGTGTAATCTTTTTCCTTTATGAGACATTTTCTTGTTAATGAAAAGATAAGCATACCTAGGCTGAAATGCCGGAGAACCCTCTACTGTATCTTGAACTCCCAAAGGATCTGTGAAAACATGCTCCGTGTAAACTCCTGTCTGTGCAACATCTGCTACTTCTTCTCCTGAGCCAGCATTTTCTGTTGCTTCCGTTGCTTCCTCTGCTGTCTGAACGTTTTCATCTACCGCATCCGTTTCAGCTTCAACGTCTGGAGACAATTTTTAATTACAGGTGAGCCTGAATGATCATTTAGGTTTCATGCATGAAGTGTGAATGTGCATTAATCCACCTAGCTTCTTCCTATTTTGTTTTATGAGAAAGCCGTATTTAAAAGGAGAAAATATGTAATGGTGCATCCAAGCAGCAGAACAAATGTCAACTGTATCATCAAGGTAGCATTCCCACATCCCTGCATTCCTGCTTTGTGTCCATCACAAACAAGACATGCTTTTCTCTATCAAAACGTGCTTATTGCCCTTTCATAAGTTCAGAGAGTCAATAATTATGTTTCCTATCAATGGTCACAAGGTGCTTTTTAATGTGCTGACTGTATAGGAAGGAGATGTATAGGAAGGAGCTTATATCTTTAAGATCATCTTAAGGAAGCCATTTTGGGGAAGAATCGTTTGCTTATCTGTAACTATGTTTTTTAAGTGGTCATTTGTGAATCTGTACATATGGATCACTCTGGCCCTGCACAGATCTGGCTGGGAATGTCTAGAGGTAGCTGAAGCATTTTGGTGGGAGACACACACCTGCAAACCTCACAATCTTACTCAAAATCCTTAGGCTCTTTCTTTCGATTCCATCTGCTTGGGAAGAAACCTGCAGATTTTTTGTTTAAGAATTGGCATCTTTATCCTTTTACTCCATCTGTGCCCATTCTTCAGTCTACAAATGTATTTCTTCAATTTTTTCACAGAACTATCAATGTGAATGAGTCACAAGAGGCCACAAAGAAAAACTATGTTCCAAGGATGCCTTTACCCTCAGAAAAGGTGGAAATAAGGGGTATATCCACAAATGTCTGTAAAGCTTGCTAAACTCCCAGGGTCTGTTGCAGTAACTATGAATGAGATGTGTGCAGACAATGAAACAAAGCTGTAAATACATAACACCAACAGCAACTGACATCCAGGTGTCCATTGGAAATGAGGGAATCATTCAGACAGATATGCTACCAACAACATCTTACTGGCTACTGGACTAGACAAAAAAATTGGTTGGTGTGTGTTTTTCTTTTTTCTTTTTTTCTTTGTTTTGTTTTGAAAAACAGAATGCAAATGGAACGTGGGACGGCAATAAATGTCATACAAGGCAGAGGGACATACGGTGATCACAAGGTCACGTGTATATTTTCTTACCTGGCTGTTTATTTGCCTCGGGAGAGGCACCATTAGCACTGTGAGGAGCAGAAGGCCCTGTAATTCCCTCTGCAGTACAACCAACTACTGTGATTCCTCCTAAGAGACTGTCTGTTTCTGCTGAACTGTTGCTATTCATACTGCTACACAAGGATGATTTGTCCGCCACACCCGAATCTGTTTCTTGTGATCCTTCTTCCCCTGTAGGATAGTCAGTTTCCAGAGCTCCTGAAAGGAAACAATGAATTACTTTCATTAATATGGACATAGTTAATAGTTCTGCATTCTTTTAGAGGACTATGGGAACCAAACTTCATTTCTCATTTGAAACAAGGTCCACCTACGTTTCCTATCAACTGAATGCTAAAGAAGCAAATCTAAAAAGTGGGTAATCAAGGAAAGGCAGTAGGCTCATATCTGGTACTTCAACACAAAAGTACAAACAAAGTATACACTAATTTGTATAGAGACATGAAGGGTTTTCCAACACTTATTAAAGTTTACTTATTAATAAGAAATTACTGCAGCTAAGATATAATCCTATTCGGGCTAAGTGTGCACACATCTCATTTAATTCAGTGTTGGGGATGGATGGGACGAAAACTTTGTTTTCCTGTTTTGCATTTGGCGGGTCTTTTATTCATTCCATCCTTGTTCCATACAAATTTCCAACTTTTAAAAAACATGGCAACTTCTTTGCATATTCTAACATTTATGGGTGTTTTGCACTGATTTATGTGCTTTTGGTGCACACGTTTCTTCAATAGACATGTTTCTGGATCAGAATAACAGTGCTACACAATTCTGAGATGTGCTAATGCAAAAGGATTAACTATATGCCAGTGCATATATTAATGCAGAAGAATGAGCTTGGTAAGGCACTTATCAAAATGCAACCAAAATGTAATTGCTTCCATTTCTGCTCAATAGAATCAGCTTTGTGAAGCCAGTATATCTGACAGTAAAGTATTCAAATGTGAATATGATATCACTACCCTGAGCAATGTAGGATTTTTAAAAATTTAGGCTTTCGCCACATTGTGCACAGAGATTCAGTTCTACAACTTAGAGGATGCCAGCATGTTGCTGTTAACTCCCAACACTCATCATTGGCTATGCTGTTTCAGGATGATAGGAATTGCAACCCAACAATATCTGAAGGGATACACTTTGCCTAGGGAGAAAGACAATGTAATCTCACCAAAAACATGAAGTGAGTTATTCTATACTTCCTTTTGAGTTACAGTTTCAACTGCTAAGCTTTTTTTAAATAGTGACTTGACATGTGGAGATTTGTTGCACTTTTAAAGCAAATTAAACATAACATGTAACTCTGCAGCAGTATCCGAACTAAGAGATACATTAGTTTCCTATCCCAACATGATGGCTGCTTGAAAATCGTTCACTGTCTGGTTAAATAAAACAGAAGGTTGGATTTTTCAGCATTTCCAGAACAGGCAGTCTCCACCGCAAAACCTTATATTATTCATACATTAACAATAGTTGACTCTTATATGAACAATTGCTCCCATGCATCCCTTACCTGGCACACTAGCTATACAGAGTACGTGAGAATTGCAAACAATGAAACTGTCCAAGATGTTTCCTGGCTGGTTAGCATCTACAACGATAACCTTTGTTGCAGAGTGAGTACTAGTACATATCCAAACGAGGCTTGATAGTTCTTCCTGATTTTTCAGCTCTTTCTGCTGGTCCTGCACAGAGAAAACCCAAACCAAGCAACGTAAATGTACAGCTACAGAACAAATTGTATAATTTTACAGCTGTTTGCAAGAGGGAGTTTGAAGGCACAGAAATATTGCTTCTTTGCTTTTTAAATATCAAGAATACTCTAAATCCTTGAGTGAGCTAATTATGGCATCCAAACATTATGTAAAAGGGGAACTGTAAAACTGGTGTCAATTGTGTCTGAACCAGACTGAATGAATGCCTATGCATTACATTAAGCCATTTAGATTTATTAAAGATCTATTAATCAAAAACAGAATTATAAACACGGATGTTTATTTAAATTCATAATTATGAATATCTGTATTTTAAAAATTACAAGTGCAATACTGATGTCCACCAGTTGCTTGGAATATTACTACGCTATCGGGAATGTTCCATGCTTTTGATTTCATTACTGGCCTTACCTTGAGTTCTTGGTCCAATCTGTCCAAACTACTCTGAGATGCACTTCGTTGTTTGTTGCTCTCCGCATCCACAGTTGCCACATCACTGTAGAACACACTGGCACCAACCACTGAACCTCCGTCTCTAGTCTTCCCTCCTGATAAATTCACTCCTACAGCACACCATAGCTTAAAACAAAAGAGAGTTCCAGAAAAGGTTAAATAAACATGGTACTGCCTAGAGAAGACAATTATGCTGGGGAAAGTGGAAGGCAAAAGGAAGAGGGGCCGACCAAGGGCAAGATGGATGGATGGCATCCTTGAAGCAACTGGACTGACCTTGAAGGAGCTGGGGGTGGTGACGGCCGACAGGGAGCTCTGGCGTGGACTGGTCCATGAGGTCACGAAGAGTCGGAGACGACTGAACGAATGAACAACAACAACTGTCTCTTAGGAAAGTACATGTCAAAGACCTCATGACAATACTTTACAGCAACGTTTCTCAACTGGAAGGTTGGGACCTCTAAGGGAGTCACGAGGCGGTTTCAAAGGGGTCGCCAAAGACCATCTGATGGTCTTAGGGAGCCCTTTGACAAAGAAGGCTGAAGATCTCTCTGCCTATCATTCTCTTCCTTTTTGGAGACAGATGGTGAATCCTCCCACCAAAAGCCCTCTTCCGCTGTGATTGGGCAGCCTCTCAGCCAAAGGGAGGGTTGTTTCTGAGACTTCAAGTGGGGAGGGGAGAGCAGGTGTGTTCGGCGCATGGTAGTGTGGTGCGCATGTACAGGCTAGGGGAGAGTGCGAAGCTGGAAGGAGGTTCACGTCAGTGAGTCCCTTCAAGGCATAGGGGTTCTGTGTGAGAAGTTTGGCCCAATTCTATCGTTGGTAGGGTTCAGAATGCTGTTTAATTGTAGGTGATCAATAAATCCCAGCAACTACAACTCCCAAATATCAAGATCTATTTTCCCCAAATTCCACCAGTCTTCACATTTGGGCATATTGAGTATTTGTGCCAAGTTTGATCCAGATTCATCATTGTTTGAGTCCACAGTACTCTCAAGAGGTAGGTGAACTACAACCCCAATACTCAAGGTCAATCCTCACCAAACCCTTCCAGTATTTTCTGTTGGTTGTGGAAGTTTTGTGCGCCAAGTTTAGTTCAATTCCATTGTTGGTGGAGTTCAGGATGCTCTTTGTAGGTTAACTATCAATCCCAGCAACTACAACTACCAAATGACAAAATCAATAACCATCCCCCAACCCCACCAGCATTCATATTTAGGCGTATCGGGTTTTTGTGTCAAATTTGGCCCAGTGAATGAAAATACATCCTGCATATCAGATATTTACATTATGATTCATAACAATAGCAAAATTACAGTTATGAAGTAGCAACGAAAATAAGTTTATGGTTGGGGGTCACCAACTATATTAAGGGGTAGGAAGGTTGAAAAACACTGCTTTATTTAAGGTCCAGAAATCCTTTAAAACATTATTATATGAAGCCAAACCAATATGTCAAACCTATTAGAATTGTTCAGAATCTAAAATTCATCCTATAATAGGGATGCACACTCAGTGAATTAAAAATCCACGACTGTGGAAATCTCATATATTTTTAAGAGGAAGATTTAAAAATGAAAAGTAATGTACCTTCATAGATGTATCCTTCTCATCAAGTGGCCTCAAGTAAACAGGCACTGGTAAATTCTTCATTTTGTTATCACTCTGACCACCACCATTTACAGCCTAGAAGTGGGAAAAAACAAAATTCTCATCACTGGTTTTCATCATAAAATCTACAGACAGTACTTTAAGGGCCTGTATAACCTCTTTGCACACTAAATATATAAAGCTACTGATGCTTTTACTAAAAAAATATTTTCTTTTTTTGTTTTTTTGGAACAGAATATGCTATCCAATAGGGGTTGCATGAAAACTGAATATTCCTACGCCATAGCCTTCCTTTTATACCTCAAGCAAACATTCACCTTCATAGGTTCAAAGAAATTACCCTGTTCTCATCATGACATAAGTTTTATTACCAATCCAAGCAGGTTGGACATCAGCCGTCTACAAAGACATTGCCCAGGGGACACCCAGCCAATAAAGAAAGGACCAAGACACTGACATCTCCAGCTCATCCCCTGTTCGGATATCTTCCAGCATGCCAACACCTTAAATCTTAGATCTTAGAAACAGCTTCCTAAGATCTACAGAGACACTTGCAGGAACACCTCGGCAAGCAAGAGTCTGAATGAGAGACTCCCTCCCTCATGATGTCTTATGGAATGATACATCTTGGACTCACCATCTTTGAGGCTCACCATCTTTGAGACACACAAAAGACTGGGTGACTTGGAAGGCGCTGAATAGACTGCGCTCTGGCACCACAAGATGCAGAGCCAGCCTTAAGAAATGGGGTCACAAAGTGGAGTCTATGACATGGGAGTGTGGAGAAGAGCAAACCACAGACCACTTATTTCAATGCAGCCTGAGCCCTGCCACATGCACAATTGAGGACTTTCTTATAGCAACAACAGAGGCACTCCAAGTGGCCAGCTACTGGTCAAAGGACATTTAACAGAATGCCAAGTTTTTAAACTTTGTGTTTTTTAAATACATTACAACTGTACCCTCGGTTCACTATTAATATGATAAATAAATTAATTATATTTCAATCATTTTATTTTCCCAGTCTTGGAGAAAAGGCAAGATATAAACAAAGTGTAAGGAAAGGAATTTTGTTTCTCTCATTGCTGATTTCTTTTGTTTTTCTCTTCTTACATCTACGTGCCTCACTCCAATATTTTGCCACAGGCACAGGATGGCTATGGAATGATTTTCCTACACCAAATGTAGTAATAAAATCTTGGTCTCATGGTGATAGGAGGAACTAATACACTGTAAGATGCTTTCAGATGCAAACTACATAATTTTAGGCTTCAATGCCCCATCACACTTTTATTTCATGTTTCCCCCACAATGTTGAGATGCCAAAGGGAAAAAATCCTGAAAAAAGAAATACTGATAACTCTGATAAAAAAAAATACTCGGAACAAGAATTCTTTTGTATTTTAATATAAGATAAACCAGAGGAATAAGATGAAAGTTTTTGTCTGCTACAAGAGCTTAAATATGGTTAGTTAAGGAACCATCAGAATTTTGTTGCAGGAAAAGTCTACAACATATTTAAAGTAAAAATGAGAAAGTGAGTATTAGTAGCCCTGTAGTACATACTCTGAAAGAGCCAACATAGTATAGTATTCTGAAAACTGGATTACAACTCTGGAAACCAGGATATGAAACCTCCTCACTCAACCATGGCAACCCACAGGGCAAGCTTGGGAAAGTCAAACTTGGACTCAGAGAAAGGCTTACAAAAAGACACCTTTGAACAAATCGTGCCCATAAAATCCTATGATAGGCAAATACATTAGGATTGCCATAAGCTGAAAAAGCCTTGAAGGCACACAAAAACAACACTACCACAACCACACACCTAGTTAGCAACCAATGTGCTGTAACAACCAGAAACAGTCCCAGTGAGCTCAAGTACACGGAAGCCAGGCAAACTACAGGTATTAGGCCAGTTTGCGACACACATCTCAGGAGTTTGATAGGCTTGGCAAAAAGACCAGAATGTCAGGCTACTGGGAAACATAATGCAGGGAGAATCACGGATTCACTTTGAATGAGATAAGGTTAATTCGTTTTGTTGTAAAATGCTGATCACAGCAGATAAGTCAATATCCACTCGACTTGAATGTTCACCTTTTTTTTTTTTTGGCTAAACCACATTGCCAAAATTGAGGTGCACATTACATCTGATGGTGCACTGGACTTGCACACATAAACCCACCTGCATGAAAAAGCCTGGAAGAACCTGGAACCCTAGAGGGAGGCTGGGGGAATGAAAAGGCTATTCCCGGTGATGGCAGTGGCCTCAGAGCTCTGTGGCACCCAGAGGAGGAACGTTCGGCTGATGACCCAGTCTTTTTGCCACCTAGCCAGATCCTGCTTCTTGGGTGGCCCTCAAGGTCTCACCCACACAGTCCCATGCAATTCCCAAATGTCCCCCCCCCCCTCCTCAGTGTTGAAGGCCTTGAGAATGTGGTCAGCTGGGAAAAGTGCAAGGCTGGTGAATTTGCCAGTCTTGGCCTGACGGAGAGGCGTAACTTCCCAAATGGTCTTTTTCATGTTGCCGGCCTTCCTTACATACTACACCTGTGCTGTTGGGCATATTATATTGAGGGGGCAAATCCATATTTTTTTTTTGTAATATGCACTTTTAAAATTGAGGTGTACATTACATTCACATTATACGCAAATAAATATGGATATAAACATTAACTGCAACAAATACAGAACTGGCATACAAAGTATACACATTATCTTCTGTTTAGTTCTTTTGATTAGCCTTCAAAGTATTTTGCATACCAAGCATACAGGGGAGCACACAGAGATTTTAAATTCCAGGAATGTCCAGCATGAATGCTCCATTATAATGAAGTCTATACATGCAGTCATCCCACTCTTCTTACAGTGCATGACCTTTCACGGCTATCCTTTTTCAAACATCAGCATTTGTATTCAAATGGGAAAAATGCTGGTTTTTCGTAAGCAGGACATGAAGGCCTGACATCTCAGCTCTGAATATATACAGATTTCATGTTTAAAGCAAACATGACAGCTGCACTTGATTGCCATTCTGGAAATATTTGGCTATATTTTCCATGATTGCTCTCATAAGTGTACCCCATCTGTTGACCAGCCACTATAAACAATACCATGTTGAATAATAGAACAATAAAATTTCTGATTCTTTCCTCTTTGCTAAAAGATTAATTATTGAAGCACATCTTCAGTTAACCAACCAAGATACCTGCTTATATTTCTGAGGAAGACTCCAACCAAAAGCTTGCACTCTACCATCTTCCTTTTGAACATGTGCTTTCACTTGGCGGTATTGTTCTCTCTTCTGCTCTCTGCGCGAGGCAAGGCTGGCCTCAGACCTGGACAGAAGGAAAATAAATTTATTCCCCAAGCCAATCTACTTCTTTCCAGTTCTTGTTTGTTCTAATATGACTTTTCAAAGTTATGCAGCCATAGTTAAAAGGAGGTGTTCTTTCAAGTTAATAGGTCAATGACAATGACGATTCACCTTCAGCTATCTAAAGATTAACTCCGACAATGCTCTCTACATGAAGTTGCTTTTCAAAACTGCACACTGGATTCCATTAGAGTTGCATATAGCTCTAATAAACTACAGTGGCACTCTGAGGTAACCGCATCATCTCATTCCCTATTCATTTTCAAGCACACCTCAGGGGTGCTGCGTACAATTGATTTTGTTCTATGTGTCCCAAAGCTGCTCAGAGAGACACCTACTGTTCACCTTTTCAGTTTTGAATATTGAGATCTCATTAGAGGACATGAACAACCAAAGAGAAGGCATCTCACTCAGTTTTTGGAAAACTGTATCTAAAAATGTGATAGCTTGTTTGGAACAGCATCAGAAAACATTTGAAAAAGTAAAGGGATGTGGTTGCATAGGAAGTGGGAAAGAGCTCTGTTCCTTTTAAACATCACAAGCTGCACCTACAAATATTCACTAAAATCATGCCAACCTCCAAAGTTCACATAATTCTGCAGTAAAAAAAATGGCTGCATTGTGTAAAGCACAGCACTTTTAACAAAAATGAATGCCCTGATTCCTTGTGATCTCCCTTTAAGAAAAATGCTACCCAGGCAAACATATGCAAATTGTGTGCTATGAATGGAAATAATGTTAAAGGGGAGGGAAGGGGTGGGGTAGGGGTGGAACATTGTGCAACATGGCTCTAGGGTATATTTGGGAGGAGGGGAGACTGAACCAGAATCAAGTAATTCAATAGAAAGCATTATTATTTTGTTTGCTTTTGTGTACCTTCAAATAATTTTTGACTTATAATGATGCTAAGGAGAACCTATCATGACGTTTTTTGGCAAGATTTATTCAGAAGGGTTTTCATTGTCTTCCTCAGTTAATGTATCCTTGGATAATTTTGGTTGTTTATAAGTTATATTGAGTTTATGTATTTCTTGTTTTGTCTTGATTGCTGTTTACTTGTTTCTGGAATTGAATGTTTGCCATTTTTGTTATATTTTGGAAACCACCCTGAGTCCCTTTGGGGAAATAGGGCGGGTTATAAATAAAGTATATTATTATTATTATTATTATTATTATTATTATTATTATTTGACTGATACAAAAACACAGTATGTCACAGCAAATGAGATCTATCTGCTGGATTTCATATCACAAAATCACAAGTCTTAACACTTCTCAAGCAGCTAGGACTGTGTGATGTATTTTTGAATTATGTGAGCAGATCCAAGTAAGGTAGCCTTTTGCAGTTGGCTGATCTCGATTTTGTCAATGTTTATTGTTTCCAAACGCCAGCTGAGACCTTTTGGCACGGCACCCAGTGTGCCAATGACCACTGGGACAACCTGTACTGGTTTATGCCAGAGCCTCTGCAGTTCAGTTTTGATAACGGCTGTGTTTTTCCTGTTGTTTTTCCTCAATGCGACTGTCACCTGGTATGCTGACATCAAGTATTATTATTATTATTATTATTATTATTATTCCTCTGTGTCTAAGGCAGTATGACTTGGCCAAGGTGATCGGGGGGGGGGGGGGGGGTTGCCATAGCTAAATGGGAAATTCAACCCTGGTCTCCCAGAGACCTAATCAATGCTCAAACTGTTACACCATGCTAGCTGTTTACTTTAGCATGCAATAATGTGAGCATTTGGCACATTCATAATGGAGCGGGAAGGACATGCTTTATCCTAGAAAACTAGGGCATTTTTGCAGGATCGATAGTTGCCATATTCATTAACTATACAGGAAACATGGTCACAAAAATGTAGGTCAAAACCTGACCATTGTACTCTGTTTTGATAAATGATTTTTTTTAAGAAAGTTAGATCAATCTAAGATTACTTTGATATCTTTACTATTACATTCTATCCATCTACATGCTGGCACTACTGATATAGTTAATTTTACAACTACCTGCCTGCGGTTTTATTTTACAAACGAAAGGAAACTTACTCTTCACTGAGGAAATCAAATGCTTTCGATTTGTCACTTGGAAGCTGAGATAAAGTGCTGCTTCTTTTCTTGACAGACGGAGTAATGTGTGAGGTTGGGGCATTGTATTTAACATTAACGGGTGGCTCCGGTTTCTTAGCAGCAGTGCCTGATGAGCTGAATAGCCGGCTAAAACTGGAAACAAGTAAAAAAGAAGAATCGTGTGAATAGATAAGAAAACTTAATTTGGCATTCAGGGTTTCATGTGCTGGTATGGCAATCCACACACTGCTCTATTCAAAGCAATAGGTAAATATGAGTAGCGGAAAAGGAATGGGCCCAAATACAGCAGCCATTAGCTGTCCAGTACAGTTTTGCTTTTTGAACATTAACATATCTTTATAACATTCATTATGGTTACTGCATGCACTTCCAAGCCAAAAGTACAGAGGAGATTAGACATTTATATAAAGGGGATGAAGAACAGCCACGTATCCAAAAACATGAAAAAAGGAGACAATTTTCCCTATAGATTTCATTTTAGGTTCAGGTTTTGGTACCTAAAAGAAAATGCTGGCTCCTAGAAAGGAGATCTTAACACCAAGACCTTGAAAACACATTCTAAGTTTGCTAAGACATTGAACAAATTTCTGTCACTGAAATAGTTAAAGCATCCACAGTTCAGAGATCCCCAGTCTTTGAGTCAGAGTCCCAGCAATGTAGCCTATAAACATCCATGTTGATGCACCACAATGCTCAAATGCATGCCCAATTACTGTAAATCACTCATTACATAGGGTTTTCTGGGAATAGCTAGGAAAGACATGATATGGGACTAATTTATAATATGGGAGAAATGTAAAATGACAACCCTCACTGTACAGCAAATTCAAAACACATTGCATAACTTCAAGTACCATCATGTATGTGCAGGCTACCTAGATTAGATTTCATCAGACAAAATATATAATGGCTCTTTAGCCCTATATATTCAAGTACTCCCACAAAGAAGGAAAAAGATGGATAAAACAGCCAGCTTAGCTTCAGGATTTGAACTATGTAGAGAAACCTAATCCTTCAGAAGTCCAAGTGAAGCAGCAGTTTAGAAAGCTAGTCCTCAACCTAGTAGCCCAATCCATTTTTATCAACTAAAAAAGAACCAAAATATTCCTCGACTGTTCACAACAGAAATATAAAAGCTTCAAAGATAAAAAGGCCATTCAAAAATCACAACTGTGTAACTTTAGTAATTTGTCACATTCTCATGCTTAGGAATCATCAGAATACTAAAATTAAATTAGCACATCATAAATTCTCAAATGAAAAACTGAAATTGCACACAAGCCACACCACAATCTACTGAAAGGTGTTTATTTTAACACTCAGAGAAGAACTTCTACAAAAAGTTCTGAATTCCTTTATGAGGATTGTTTCCTTTTTTAAAAAAAAAGAAAAAAGCAGAAATAGTTTAAGACAATTACATTTCTTTGCCAGGTATATAAATATTGCAAGATGCAGCTTACGATACAATTTGTCTTTAAGATGCGTCTTACCCAGATGGCATACTAGATAGCAAAAAGAAAAGGAAGTTTATGGTTATCAGTCTCTCTGCTACTGAAGAAACACAAAACACAAGTACATGATTATAATTCAATACGTACAACTGCCAAAGGCTTGTCCGCTTTTTCTCTTGCATGGCTGGGTTTTCTCTTGATGCCCTAAAGGACAATATAGAAACACTAATTAGTTGAGCAAGGCAATCAATGACCTAGGATTTCTTTGTCTTGCACTTTGGAGTAACAACTGGATTGCAAGCCATCAAATTATATACTGCATGAAGACAATTAGAAAAAGAAGAGTGTATATTGTATTATTATTATTATTATTATTATTATTATGTTTATTTATATCCCACTTTTTTCTATACAGAGACTCAAAGTACTGTAATGCTTTTAGTTGTCTCTTTGAGTACAACTTAAAATATACAAATATACAAATATTCAAACAGTATTAAACATCATTAATATTAAAACAATTCAGGTTACAACCATAAAAGCATATAAAATCACAGCAACCCAATGATCTTAAAAACCTTCTTCTTTAAAGGCCTGCCTGAATAAAAAGGTTTTAACCTGCCACCTGAAGGACAGCAGGTAGGGGGCCATTCTGGCTTCTCTAGGCAGGGAGTTCCAGAGTCGAGGAGCAGTCATAGAAAAGGCCCACTCTCTTGCTTGCTCCCACCAACCAAACTTGAGGTGGAGGTGGGACTGAGAGAAGGGCCTCTCCTGAAGATCCCACAGCTCGGACAGGTTCATACAAGGGGATGTTGTCCAAATATCCTGGACCTGAACCTCCTAGGGCTTTAAAGGGCTTAACCAGAACTTTGAATTGGGTCCGGTAACAGACTGGCAGCCAGTGGAGCTACTTCAACAGGGAGGTTATCCATTCCCTGTAGTCAGCCCCAGTTCGCAACCTGGCTGCAGCTCTTTGGACCAACTGGAGTTTCTGAGCACTCTTCAGAGGCAGCCCCATGTAAAGCATGTTACAGTAATCCAGATGGGATTTAACTAAGGCATGTACTACCATGGCCAGATCTGGTTTCTCAAGGAACAGGTGCAGTTGGTGAACAAGTTTTAATTGTGCAAAGGTCCTCCTGAATACTGCCAAAATCTGGGCCTCCAGGTTCAGTGCAGAGTACAGGAGGGCCCACAAACTGCGGACCTGTGTCTTCAGGGGGAGTGTGACCCCATAAGGCACAAGCTGGATCCCTATTCCATGATCTGCCTTACGACTGACTAGGAAGACCTCTGTCTTATCTGGATTAAGTTTTGATTTGTTTGTCCATGCAGTCCATTACTGATGACAGCCACTGGTTTAAGGTCAGGACAGCCTAAACCAGTGCACATTCACACATGCACATTCACACATGCATACACCCAAGCCCAAAGATTATCTCTATATAATGCAGTAATACAAAATGAGAAGCCAGATCTCATATAAAACAGAAAATTTCCATCCTAATACAAGCTGTATCATACTTTGGACAAATGACAAAGCAGTTGAGAAATCTGGCAAATTAAAAATGATTTCTGACTTTCAGATACATATAGGAGAAACACCCCTGAAGCTTTTGCTGAATTACCCATTCTTTCATCAACAAACAGCAATATCCAAAGTTACAAAACATTCTTATATATAATAGATACAGTTTCCACATATCCAAACATTTGCCTTTGGAGATATTTGAATTCTTAAGGCATTCATTAAAAATGGTTATTCCCTTAAAAGCTTGTCTTTAAGTTGCCACATGACTCTCTTACTACACAGACTTTAAAAGAGCTATTAACTGAAAAAGGTTGATGTCAAATCAATATTGATATGAGAAATACAAAGTTTTCCATCTGTAATGAAAAGTAATTTTTTTAAAAATTATAAATGTTATTTGATACATCCCAACAAATAACAAACTTTTGCCATACAGGACTTATTTCAGTATACATTATTCCAAAAGTAAACATTTCTTAAATGACATTTTATACATTCCTTAGTTATGACATCATTTAGAATTGCTGTTCCAGGAGGGTTGGGGGGAATGGGGGGAGGGCGGGGTGATGGGCGATACATAACTAAGGAATGTAACAAAAAGTAGATTACTTGGGATTTTTTTTCAGAAGAAGCTTTCAGTTGCTTCACTTGAGATCAACACTACAATAAGATATTTACAACATAATGAAGTAACTGAATTGTTTTTCTGTAGTTAAGTTATTTGGGTGGGATTGCTATACATTGAATTCATCTATAAGATGCATTAACTCAAGCATACCATAAAAACAAATAAACTGCACTTGCCGTATCATCTCAGTCCATCGCACAGCCTCCTGGAGTTCCATCAGCCTCTCTTTATACTGATTTCGTTCCATGAGAACACGGGCCATCTCAACCCGAGTGAAGCGCTTCCTCTGAGCAGTAGGAATGTCACTCTGCATTGGGAGCAGGGGGGATGGGGGACGGGACACAAATATGTTTAATGTACTAGATTTGGGAACATGACTGTTTAAGGAAAAGTTACAATACTTCATTCTCAGGAAACCTCCCATGAGACCTAACTCAGAAGAATTCAGTGGTCTTTATAGTCAAGCAAAATGTGCTAGAATAGATTGTGTAATGAAAGGAACCCCTCCCCAACTCCATACAAAAGGGAGAGGGAGTTGGATTAAGCACATTCCCTTATATACAAAGCCTTTATTCTCTCTGAAAATCCATTCTCCAGCTTCAAAACAAATTCCAGGCCAGATACACCTGAGGAAAAGCAAGTGCATTGCTCCTGCCACATGTATTTAACCTGTTTTAGAATAGTACATATTGAGCATCCCTTATCCAGAATTACAAAATCCAAAACCATCAAAATCCCAAAATTATCCAAATGGGTGGCTGAGGCAGTGGTACCTTTGCTTTCTGATGGTTCAATGAACACAAACTTTGCTTATACACTACTAACATAGTGTAAAAAATTCCCTTCAGGTTATGTGTATAAATAACGTTATATAAAATACGAATGAATTTAGTATTTCAACTTGGATCCCAACTCCAAGATATATGTGCGCAAAAACAGTTATTCTTAAATCAGAAATCCAAGACACTTCTGGTCCCCAGCATTTTGGATAAGGAATACCCAACCTGCACTGTGAAAGCCAAGGAATTATTATATAAAATGTAATTTCAATACAGTTACATACATCATCGTCTTCCTTTGCTTTTTGCCTTGCTTCCTCTGCTTCTGCTCGAGCTCTAAGGGAGATTCAAGAGGCATCAAAGAAATTAGTCACAGACTGTTCCTCCGAATCCCCTCTTTCACATAGAAGCAGAGCATGGCACTCACTTTCTAAGTTCTTCTTCCAGCTCCTTATTCTTCTCTTCAAGCTTTTGCTTGGCAAGTTTTACAGCTTCCAATTCTCCTTTTAGAACATCCTTCTCGCAGTTTAGTTCATCTACTTTTGCTATTAAGTCATCCTTCACCACATTCAAGGCATGTCTAAAAACAAATATTACAAAAGTTAATTTCTAGCACTTCTTCAGCCATTGCAAACAGTCACTCATACACTTCATTGCTGACACAGGAATTAATTGAACAAAAGAGCCTTCCCCTGACCATCACCATTGATTTCATATCAATCATGTTTTCCCTGCTTTTGGAAGCAGTGAGAAAAAAGTGATCAGTGTCAAGATCATTGGGGGAGGGAGCATAGAAAAAGTTCTCCAGTCCCCTCCTTATTTATTATATAGATTTCACTTTTCTCACTGAAAAGAGTGACCTACATCAAGAGCACTGGGTTTGGAGAAGGATGCTGAAGTATGCATATGCAGATATCTGTGCTATTGCACTTGTCTGAATGCGTGCGCATGCTCCCATAAATGACTATTTCACTATGAATGCTGCCCCACCCTGCTGTAGACCGATATTCCTATGACTGGCTAATCTGACCCACTACCAGAATGAAGAGGCAATCCAAGGGTATGCTCATATTAGCTTCAGGGCTTACTTCTCCTCCTTTCTCTAGAAGCCAACTGCAGTAGTGAAAGCTGTTTTAAAGGATGCATGGAGGCTTGCAAAAGAAGGGTTGCTCCTTCCAAATACTGAGTACTTCACCAATTAGCCTATAAGTAAAGGTAAAGGTTTCCCCTGACATTAAGTCTAGCCATGTCTGACTCTGGGGGTTGGCGCTCATCTTCATTTCTAAGCTGAAGAGCCGGCATTGTCCATAGACACCTCCAAGGTCATGTGGCCAGCATGACTGCAGGGAATTCCGTTACCTTCCCGCAGAAGTGGTATCTATTGATCTACTCACATTTGCATGTTTTTGAACTGCTAGGTTTGTAGAAGCTGGGCCTAACAGCGCAATCTCACTCCCTGGATTCGAACCGCTGACCTTTCAGTCAGCAAGTTCAGCAGTTTAACCCACTGCGCCACAGGCAGCGTATAAGTCTCACATAATACACTATGTGGAATAAGCATTTTGTGCAGACTTTTGCCCTTGATTGAACAGGAGCCCCCAACAATATCATGACTGATTAAAGACCAGGTGATCTGAAGCATTGCCGAATTTAGAAGCTGAGCAAATGGTTACTCACTTGGTTTCTAGCAGCTGCGTATTTTCTAATATGAGGTTTTCAACTTCACGACCCATTCCTTTCAGAAACAGAACAACATGAACAATTTTAAAATATTGAAACTACCACTGCATGCATTAAGTGTTAAACATATGTGGCTTGAATCAGCATTCAATGTGTACTCTGAGGTTCACATGGAGCTACTGAACAAGTATGGGTTCACATTCACTTTACTGTAAAACATGATTTACACACACAAGGGAGTACACCTGCAGATTAACTTCTTCCATTGCAATAGAAACAGGTAAATTTTGAGTCTACGTCTGAACACATATCTTGAATTGACTGACAACAATTGTAATTTACAACTATGTTTTGCTGCCAGATTTTTAAAGAATTGAGTATAAAGATAGAAGCCAAAGATAGAAATGCAAAACATTCTCTTTCTAAATATCCAATCCCTTCAGTTTAAACATATTTTAAGTAAATTAAAGTTTGTAGCTGTTGCAAATTAATGGATACTCTTAACTCTGTGCAGTTGACACCCAGGCATATCATTCACATCACACAGAACAGATGATGAATATGAAAAGCTCAAAGGTAATGCAGAGCATTTGAAAATGTTTCCCAAATGAGATGATACCTTACCAAAGAAATTATGGTCTTTAAAGCCCATGCATCCCATGTAGAGCAAAAAGAAGAAGAAACAATTCACATAAGGAGAACAGTACAGATGGTCACAGCACAAGAGTAGAAATTCGAGATATAAGCATGATTTCAAAAGCAAAGCCAACCCCAGATGTCGAAAGCCAAATATGTTTTGATTTTAAGAAAGGTGATAGCAAGATGGACAGTTAAAAGAGGATAATGTAATGAGACTGTTGATCACCAAAGTGCAGCCTTGCTGGAATGATTCAAAACTAGGAAGACTGGTTTTGGATTATAGCTCCCATATTCCCCTAGCCAGCATGGCCATGCAAGGGGACGAATAAAAGAATTATAATCCAAAAAGGAATGATGGTCTTGATCTACCATGTCCAGCACATCCCTCACAAGTGGGACATAAAAGCAACAGATTCCCCAGCAGCCAATATTCAGAGACATAATATTCATGTAATGAAGATCCTATCTGGTCACTATGGCTGTCAGAGCCACCCACCACAAATTTGGTTATTTCCTCACTCTCCCCTGCCCTACACTAAGCCATAACTGCAACATCATAGCATGTGGCAGTGCATTCAATAAGATGGCTGCCTAACATGCAAAGTTCTGACTTCTGACTTTGCCTAATCACATTCTTCCCAGAACATGTTCTGAAGATTAGTTCCCATTAATTTCACTAAATGATTCCAAAGCTAACAAACACATACTCACAGAAAAATCTCTATCCATCCAGTATCTCCAGGCCATGCTTACTCTTATAAGCCTAGGGCATTTTATTCCTTTTTCTTTTTCTACATTAGAAAACTCCAAATTCTCTTGCCTTTCTTCAAAATTGAACATGATCTGCACTTTTGTAGTTGTCTTGTTCTGAACTTCTCCAACTTTACAATATCGCTATAGAGAAGAGTGACTCAAAACTGTACACAGTTGATCACAATGAAAAAAACATTGCGAAGAGTGCCATCCACTGCTTCATTAGATATTGGGGGGGGGGGGGCTCCTTCAGGATTATCTCAAAGAATTTAGAGGTTAAAATCAAAACAATTGCAAGAAGATTAATAAGGATTATAATTAAAGAAGATACACAACCAAGAAGATGGAATGGAAGTCAATTTTTATTTTTATTTTTTATTATAATTTTTAATTTTTTATTATTTTTAATGTTTTTTTGTCTCTCCGTCTTTATCTCTATTTTTTCCTGTCTCTTCTTTCCAACTTTCTATTATAAAATTGTTCCCACTCTTTCGATGTTTCTATACTACCTTATTAATTTTAATAAATATATATATATTTGAAAGATATTAGGGGGAAATACATGTAAACCATTAAATTCCAAGAATTGTGGTTTTAGCGAGGTGGCAGAAACACTGCATCACACCCACCAATGGAAAACCCATCCTTCAATCATGCATCAAGACTTATTTTTACAGTTGCTGCTCAAGCTGCAAGAACTACTACTTCTGCTCTGCCCGGGTAGCAGGACTGCAATCCCATCCTTTATCTCCTCCACATAGCCACTACAGGCTTACATTTTAATGAAGATAATAGAAGTTTATCTTATGATCAAGAAAAAGTGAACATAATTTCAGAAAGGATTACTTCCAGTCCTGAGATTATGCTCTGTTTCTTTCTCATGTACAGACCATACTTACATGGAAGAATTTGGACCACTACCAACATTCAGAGTGCAGAAATGTTATTTTAGCCTCCCAGAAACCCTAGCCAACAAAGCCTGTAGTCATGCTGGCTACATATGAAAAACGTGTACAAATGAAGGATATTTCCTTCTTCAACGGCTGCACGATTTTTAGCAATCCTTTTTGACAATACTTTCACAAATGCTTTTCAGGATGCAAAGGTCCACTGCAGTTATTTCCACTATAATTTTAACTGCTGGTGTCTCCAATAGAGGAACATGAAGCAAGCAAAATAAAAAGGAACGAAAATGTATGAAGCAAAGTGCAACATATATCTATATGTATGTCTGCAGAATACATGTTATGATAGCAGCAGCAACCACCAAGAATGCTGAACTTTAAAGCAAACTATAATATATATATATATAAAAAAAACCATACACACCAGAATATTCCCCTGGGTATGCAGCCCAAGAGAAAGCAGATTGGAAAATCCCATTTAACTAATCATTGTGGAATTGTGCATCATAGATCAAATAGCTCATACACAACATAGCAAACTACTAACATAAAACAATTCAGATAAAATGCACACTTTTTTCACACTAAGTCCAATTAAAATCAGCAGTGCTTTTACACAAACATGATAGGATTGTGTTTTGAGTTCCTATTACACTAAACATGCAACCAAAACCAAAAGAACAATTAACAGCTGGCTATAACTAAGCAATAACAGAAATGCTAGAATGACTAAAGATCCTTTCTTATGAGGAGTACCATTAGCTCTATGTTAAGACATTTTTAAAACCGACATAGTTTTACCTCTACATTGTTGTAACATGAAGGGCTGATAAGGATGCCTTTTCAGAATGTCAGCTTTCTCAACTTGTATTAACAATTGAGGAACTGGACAAAAATGTGGCAAGCTACTTGTTACATTCCTTCGTGGAAAGTTCTGCTCCACCTTTTAACATCTGTACACTGACACTTTCTTCTTTTCCTCCTATTAACCACCTTTATGGTCTGGATAATGAGATATCTGCCACAGATGCGTGCAGAAAGAGAACAGGGGGAAAGTGGTGCCTTTGTGACAGCTGCACCCGTAACACAAAGCAACACCTCTAAATCACAACAACATAGACTGCCTTACACAAAAACAGACTACTGGGCTTCATCCAGACCAGTGGTTCCCAACCAAATACCTTGGCCCTCGAGGTATTTAGACTTCAACTCCCAGAAGCCCCAGCCAGACTGACCAACTGTTAGAGATACTGGAAGCTGAAGTCCAAACCACTTCCAAAGGTTTGGAACCACATCTAACCCCATATGGTCAATTCTGAATGTCAGCTGTAAGGCTCATAGATATTTTGGAGAGTGGTCAACAATTAAAGTTCTGATCAATATTCATTTTTCAAAAAAGAACTAAGCATTATTTTGTCATTCCTTTTGTAATGCTAAACGTTTTAAGCTAACCGTTCTCAGGCTGGTGCCCCCTAGACTACCTGGGCAAAATCTATCCAAACACTGGCTAAGGAAGATGGCAGTTCCAGCCTAATACATGAAGGAACGCAGGGATGAGAGGGTGATGTTGGCTAAGTTTCTTTTCACTGTTAGAATTGATACCCCAATGCTAAAGAAATACCAATTAATTAACGTATGGGAAGGAGACTGCAAGATGCAATCTTTTTGCTTAGAAGCCTATTTCCCAACTGTTAATGCAATCCAGTATATATGAAGGAATTACAAACCTTTATAGTATTTGATTAATTCTATTTCAGTAGATAAATAATAGAAATTTCATAAACTCATATGCAATGTTAAAAAATCAGGCAACCATAAGATGTTTTTTAATGCTAAAATGATGTCATAAATGTCTGTAATATCCACTTGAAATTACACTGGAAAATATTTTTTAAAATGGACATCTATACAAGAAAAATCTGTTGTCAACAGATAACTTTTGTTAGACCTTCATGAGCAGTTGTAAAACTAAGATTTCTAGTTTTAGTCTAAAAACTCTGACATCTGGTCCAGTCCAGGGATTGAAGCTAGCTCAATGCAGACAGAATCCTAGAGTTGGAAGAGACCTCATGGGCCATCCAGTCCAACCCCCTGCCAAGAAGCAGGAAAATCGCATTCAAAGCACCCCCGACAGATGGCCATCCAGCCTCTGTTTAAAAGCCCACTACACTCCGGGGCAGAGAGTTCCATTGCTGAACAGCTCTCACAGTCAGGAAGTTCTTCCTAATGTTCAGATGGAATTTCCTTTCTTGTAGTTTGAAGCCATTGTTCCGTGTCCTAGTCTCCAAGGAAGCAGAAAATAAGCTTGCTCCCTGCTCCCTATGATTTCCTATCACATATTTATACATGGCTATCATGTCTCCTCTCAACCTTCTCTTCTTCCGGCTAAACATGCCCAGCTCTTTAAGCCGCTCCTCATAGGGCTTGTTCTCCAGACACTTGATCATTTTAGTAGCCCTCCTCTGGACACATTCCAGCTTGTCAATATCAGTATCTACTAACAAACCCTTTATTCCTGTGAGTGCATTTGGCATGTCCTGTTCCTTGCTCTTAAAGCATTTAGGAAACTTAATTCAGCTAAATTTAAATTTATTTATTTATTTATTTATTTTATTTAACTTGTATACCGCTACTCCCAATTTGGCTCGGAGCTGTTTACAGAAAACAGATTAAAACAATATTTATTTATTTATTTATTTATTTATTTGGTGCATTTATTAACCGCCATTCTCAGCCCTCTAGGGCGACTCATGGCGGTGTACAGCATAAAAAGGCAATTTACAAAAAGAGAATTACAAACAACATATTAGCAATACAGCAATACAACAATTATAAAGTTACACTAACTAATCCGCTTCGTCTCATAGTAGAATCGTAACCAATCTCTTATTCCTTGTTCCATTCCAGTCATCTTTACCACATTATTATTATAGCACTTAATTGAATGCCCTCTCGAACAGCCAGGTCTTAAGGCTTTTTCGAAAGGACATAAGGGAGGGCGCCTGTCTGATGTGTGCCGGGAGAGTGTTCCACAGCCGGGGGGCCACCACTGAGAAGGCCCTCTCCCTCGTCCCCGCCAGCCGTGCCTGTGATGCAGGCGGGATCGAGAGAAGGGCCTCCCCAGACGATCTCAAGGTCCTCGTGGGCTCATAGGCCAAGATGCGGTCTGAAAGGTATTTTGGGCCGGAGCCGTTTAGGGCTTTGTAGGCCAACACCAGCACCTTAAATTGGGCCCGGTAGCAAATCGGCAGCCAGTGGAGCTGGGACAACAAGGGCGTTGTGTGCTCCCTGTATCCCGCTCCAGTTAGTAACATGGCTGCCGCGCGCTGAACCAGCTGAAGCTTCCGGGCCATCTTCAAGGGCAGCCCCACGTAGAGAGCGTTGCAGTAGTCAAGCCGGGATGTGACCAGAGCGTGTACCACCGTGGCCAAGTCAGACTTCCCGAGATACGGGCACAGCTGGCGCACGAGCCGGAGCTGTGCAAATGCTCCCCTGGTCACCGCTGAAACCTGGGGATCCAGGCTCAACGATGAATCCAGGGTCACACCCAAGCTGCGAACCTGCGCCTTCAAGGGGAGTGCGACCCCATCCAGCACAGGCTGTAACCCTATATCCTGTTCGGCCTTGCGACTGACCAGGAGTACCTCTGTCTTGTCTGGATTTAGTTTCAGTTTGTTCGCCCTCATCCAGACCGTCACAGCGGCCAGGCACCGGTTCAGGACCTTGACAGCCTCCTTAGTAGCAGGTGGAAAGGAGTGACAGAGTTGGACATCATCTGCGTACAGATGACACCGCACCCCGAAACTCCGGATGATCTTACCCAGCGGCTTCATGTAGATATTAAACAGCATGGGGGACAGTATGGAACCCTGTGGAACCCCCCAAGTCAAAGGTTGTGGTGTAGAACAGGAGTCCCCCAATAACACCTTCTGGGTGCGGCCCTCCAGAAATGACTGGAGCCACTGCAAAGCAGTGCCCCCAAGGCCCATTTCCGCAAGGCGCCCCAGAAGGATACCGTGGTCGACAGTATCGAAGGCCGCTGAGAGGTCCAGGAGCACCAACAGGGACACACTCCCCCTGTCTAGCTCCCGGCGCAGATCATCCACTAAGGCGACCAAGACCGTCTCGGTACCATGTCCCGGTCTGAAATCAGACTGTGCCGGATCCAGAATATCCGTGTCTCTCAAGAATACCTGGAGTTGTGAGGCCACCACGCTTTCCATGACTTTGCCCAAAAAGGGGAGATTGGAAACAGGCCGAAAGTTGTCAAATTTAGTGGGGTCCAATGATGGTTTCTTCAACAGCGGTTTTATAATTGCTTGTTTTAAGCACGCTGGAATCTTGCCTTCCCGAAGGGAGGCATTAACCACCACCGTTACCCACTCAGCCAATCCCCCTCTGGCCTCCTTCAGAAGCCAGGATGGGCAGGGGTCTAGGATAGACGTGGTGGGCCTCATTCCTCCAAGTATCTTGTCCACATCCTCGGGTTTCACAAACTGAAAAGAATCCATCAAAATAGGACAAGCAGGTGCTCTTGTTACATCCTCAGAGACTGCATTTAACGCGGCGTCCAGCCCAGAACGGATCAAGGCGACTTTGTCTGCGAAGAACCGAGCAAATGCTTCACAGCGCGTGCCCGAATTGTCAGGGCTCCCGCCTGCGGTGGCGGGAGTTAAAAGACCTCTGACAATCCGAAACAACTCCGCCGGACGGTTTTTTGCAGACGCAATAGTGGCCGCAAAGAAAGTTTTCTTTGCGGCCTTTATTGCCGCGGCATATGCCCTAAGAAAGGACACAAACCGTGCTCGGTTTGACTCGCTTGGATCCGAACGCCCCACGCTCTCAGTTAGCTTTAAAAATAACCACAACAATAACAATAGGCAGCGAGGACAGACATAGCCCGGGTTGTTCACCAATCAAATGAAAGCAATAAAGTCTCCACTGTCCTTGCTTCGACCTGAACCCCACCCCCTCCCCCATACTCCATTTTACAATGTCCAAGATGACTCCAAAAGCCACCAGAACAGCTTTCTGGAAGGCAAAAGGGGCGGGGGAGGCAAATTCCCTTCTATTCACTTCCTTCCTTCCACTTCTATGGTTCACATGATCAAAACCGTTATCATCATTTGTTGTTTTTGCAGTCTAGTAGAAACATACATTCTTTAATAACACTAATATAATAAGCCACATATGTCAAAAGTCTTACTTGTCAAAAGACCTTGCCTCCATATATTAAAGAACAGCTACTCACCCAGCAAATCTGCACCTTCATCCACATCCCCAATCAAACCAGAGCCAGCAGAAGACAGCTCTTCAAAGACAGACTCTGTATTACGATCAAATGCTTTGTTCTCTATGCCTTTGGTAGGAGTGCTGCACAAGTAGAACAGTTAAGTCAGGACAGTTTTTTTAAAAAAAATCTCTCCATGCAGTTCATCTAAATTATTTAGAAGGTTTATGTATGTGTACACATGTGAATATGTGTACACAATATATATACAACCATTCAGACATACAATATGGGCGGTAGCCTATAATGGTTTAGTATCACGACAAACTAGTTACAAGTAGGAATGGCTGAAAAAAGTATAGCTAAAACCCCAAAAAGTACAAGCAGCCACTAAGAGGTAGATGGGTCAAACATATAAATGAAGGAAACAGTTTTCCAACATACACATTACAGGTGCCCTACTCATTCTCTAATCCACAGGTTATATCCTCTTGCCCTCCTCCCACTTTATCTACCCATTGCTTCTGTATATTTGGTCATGTTTATGTTCTCATTTTTATAAGCACCATGTAGCCCTCTATACTGAGCATAAATGGCATGAGAGCATGTCATATTGCCCTTAAGAGCCTGGAACCTCTGAGTACAAGGATAACACTGATTCACAACACACTGTTGGCCCTTGATTAGGGACAAAAGGGGAAGATCTAAGGTGAGAAAGAACCTTAGGGCAACATCTTACTCATGAGTCATCCTGAGTAAAGATAGCATAGCAGAAAGTTCATCTGGTGGACCAGTTCTGGCATCAGAGCTCTGGCATTTCTCCACACTCCACACTCTGGATCCTTCCACACAGCCATAATATCAAGACAGAAAATCCCAAAATATCTGTTTTGAACTGGATATTTTGAGAGTCCACACTGCCATATATTCTGGTTCAAAGCAGATATTGTGGGATTTTCAGACTTGATATTCTAGGTTATATGGTTGTATGGAAGGGGTCGCAGTCACAGCTGCAAGACCACTGCAGCTTTTGTATTTCTCCTGACCTGTTTGTTTGATTGACTGATTGATTGTGTGCAAATACCTTGAGCCTTTATATCCACTAAGGTCTTTATCAATATGAAGCTCTGGGGTGGATTCGATGATGGCTTGAACTTCCGACTGGTCTTCATTTTCATTAGAACCTTTGGAAGAAAGCAGTAAATGCTATTTCAGGAGGAAGAATGAAAGAAGAGAGGAGCTCCCATTGCAACATGTTTGATTTTTAGAATTTATTTATTATTTATTTATTTAGAACTTTTATAATCTGGTCTTCTCAACCTCCGAAGAGGGACTCAGGCCGGCTAACAACAGAAAATCCATACACAATTCAACTAATAACATAATAACATCATAATACCTTAAAATACAAACCAAATAAATACATACATAGAAGCCAGGCACAAGCTAATGGATCAAAGTTCCTAGATATTATAAAACTTCAAATTCAACAGTAAAGAACCTTCTTGCTTCCTTCACTCCACTTTTATTTTTCTAAGGCTGTAGACTTTTAAAATGTACAGATGACTTGGGTATAACAAAACTGGTCAAATTATAAGAACTGTACCGGGGATGATTCTCAAACCTCTCCCAAGGAAACCTCCCCAAACGAGTGCCCTCCTGCCCTCCCCTCAGCCATCCAGTGCTCAGGGAAAAGTGCACTTTTTCAGTGGTAGCTTTCCACAGAATAAAATGTTGACACAAAATTAGATAATGCAAAAAAGTTATGATGTGGTAAGTGACCTTGATGCTAAGGAACATTAACTGGGAGTTCCTACCTATGTTGGTTAAGTAGAACAAAGCAATACATACCACAGTTCCAAATAAATTACACATGGAAGTAAGTTTCACAAAAACCAACGAAGCAGCCATGACATGCATTCTGAATCAAGGTGTTAGTCCTTCAAAGTTATGCTATCCTCATCACACCTTAGCAATGATTCTAGATGTCATCAGACCCTCATATGTGAAATGTACACTGATGCTGCCTTGGAATACTCTGAGAATGAATGAAGTAAAGAGAGCAAAGCATTTTTTTTTCTTGCCGCTTATAATGATATCATCCTAATTACTTCAATGACAAAATATTTTTATTTTTATTTTTTGCCTTGTCCAAGAGCTTAATTATATTGATCTATATGTAAATTTTTGTAGCAAACTAGTGAGGTAATGATTCCTACGATGACGCATCCGATGAAGCAGGCTTGTGTCTACAAAGCTTATGGTGCCAATTTCTTTCTCTCAGTTGATCTCAAAGGTGCTATAAGATCCCTTTGTTCTATGATTTCCCAGGCTGTGGTTAAATAGAAAATTCACAGCTGAATGGGGATTTGACAGAAAATATTCCACAGCCAAACCAAGGTCACTAGTTAGTGGACCCTGCTAGACACCCTATGAACTGCATATTAAAATAATAATATATTATTAAGACCAATAGTCGCATGGTCATGCTTTCTGTTTTGGAAACAGTTTCTTATCAGAAATACTCCAAAATGCATCTTTATTACAATCAACTACATATGAGTAAAATTGTGGGCATGCTTTTGAAATTTAGAGAATTTCTCATCAAAAAAGATGTTATAGTGTTTCACAGCATATGGATCTTTAGATGTGACAATTATACCAGTAAATTTGGAAGTTGTGTATATTTTGATTTCTTAAGTGTAAAATACTGAAATATATTTGGGCTCAATTATATAACACCATGTGAACAGAAATCTCATATAAGCATCTACATGATGTGGATTGCCACATATAATCTGTAGATTTTTCTAACTATTACTATGGAACTTAGTGTGCATTCACAGACATATTGATTCAATAATCAATTTTAAATAGGATAACTATAGATTATGAATAAATCAAAATGCTATATCTAGAAAAGTATTTAAAACTTACCAATGGACACACTTCTTGTTTCCTGGGCCACCTGCACTTCAATGTTCTTGCTTACATCCAAGTTCTTGTTTTCAGTTTCAGAGTTTTTCACAAGTCCTTCCTTGTCTTCATTCAGAAGAGATTCAGCAGGTGCAAGCACATCTGAAGCAGCAGTTAAGATTGGTGTCGTCGATTTGGAACCTGCTTGGCTAACATCAGAAATTTCATCCTAAAGTGTGGAGAAGTTTATAGTAATTACAAGATTTATATAAACACATTCCCAGCCCTTGGATAGATGCTAAATGAGCCAAAACCTCTTTCTTCGGCAACATGTCCATATTATTGCTTGCAAAAGTAATGTAATTTGAAATTTTACCGAAAGAGCTACTTTGACTGTGCACTGGCTATTTATCTTAGCATTCAATTACTCATATTCAAAAACCACTCTTGTGACCTGCTACATTCAAGAGCCCAACAGGAAACTGAGCCGAGCAATTACACCATCCCAGAAAAAAAGTCCTTCTCCCTCACACAGATACCTTCTGCCTGCAAGTCCCTGCTCTTATACCAAAGAGCACAAATCTTCAGTCTCCCTCTGCCCACCAGGTTCCAACACCATCAGTCCCTTAAATTTCTTAGTTCAGTTACCAGCACTATTGAAAGACAGAAGACAGACTTGATGGGAAATCAAGTTGTGCAATTCCCAAAATGCTTAGATTCAGTAGCTTCCAATAGAAACTAAACAGTAGTGTTTGGATACCTGTCCGCTACTTCTACCTCTTCCGCAAACTTACATTAACATCACATCTAGAACGTATGCTACCATGATGTGCAGTTTAACTTTATATATCTCCTAACTGTCTAACAAGCCAGGACTTACAATACAGTCTAAACACAGACACTTGCAGGTTGAAAAAAGGATTGTATTGACCCCTTTCTTTCATTGTGACACTTATGAATATAAACAATAAGCAACTATATTAAAAGCTATTTCTGCTATTTTTAATGATTACCATTACAAAACATAACATTTAAAATAATTAACAATGTTTGTTTAAATTTCTTTATTAAAATATGCATAAATAGTTCGTAATACCGTTTCACGTTCATCTATTCATGGCACCCTTAAGAAAGACATCAATCTGAAACAGATTGGGCTCAATTTTTAAAAATAATATAGTTTGTGCACCTAAATGTCCCTTTGTTTTCTTCCTGAAACCCACGTATTTGTCTTCTGCAAAAGATTCAAACATCTAATAATCTCTCTCTTCACACTGGAAGCTGTTACTTCCCTCCTTCTGACAAACCCTTAATTATATGCCACCTCATGGGAAAATATGAAAGGTGACATTCACTAGAGAATATGAGAGACCAGTCATATTTGTTTATTCATACATGTTTCTTTTACACAAAGAATGGTGTAAATGATGTTTAGTTAATTTTTCTCATCACAATAGTTGTTACAGAAATACTACACCAACAATGAACAGTTGTAGTTCTGCACTAATATTTGGCAAACTATCTGATTTATCAAAATGTATAGCAATGTTAGAAGTGATTGATGGAAGCTATAACCCAAAACATCTGCAGAGCACCAGGCTGAGCAATGTTGACGTATAGTTTGATTCTAAGAGCACCTTGCAATGGACCAACTTCAATCTTGTGAAATCTATTTTGTTTTTTCATCAGAGTCTCAAAACTTTCCCATAGGAGCCAAGTACAAAAGGCACAATGAGAATTAAAGAATATAGAGCCCAGGAATTTGTTCTGTAGGTATTACTGGTTACTACTCTGTCTTATGCTTTCATCATTCAATAAAGGAAGGGGAAATAATCATTTTGTTATTGAACAGCCAAGAGTTTGAAACATCTACTGAAAACCACCCTTATATCTATCACGAAGTCTCAGCCTACCTTTTGCTCACCTCTCATATAAACCAAATCGGTCACAAATGTCTATCAAGAGAATGATGGAGGCAGCTACTTGATCTCAATTGCTAGCCTTGATTAGAGTAGATCTACTGAATGAACAACAATTGGGTCAACAAGTCTAACTGAATTGAGAGTGACAAATAGAATGCAAATCTAAGTCCAAAATAGCACATTTCTTTGAGATATTTTCATATTCTAATACTGGTGCTTCACCTGCATGTTTCACACTGTTGTTAGGGGAGAACCTCCAGCATTGAGCAAGTTTTTGTACCTGCTGGCTTATTTTGCTCTACAAACCCTAGATTGGTTAGCCCTTTAGCCACTCTGCTTCCTCTTCTACTTCTCTATTAATCCAGCAGCTGTCATTATAGCTCCCTCTCTTTCTCTCTGAAGTATACTTATGCTTTCCTTTTTTCTATCTAGAGTTCAGCTTAACTGACTTTAGTCCCTGACTGTGTTTCTAAAACAAGAATGTTACACCTGGCTTCAGACTTTGGGCCCTGTGTACTAAGCCAATTTAGTGAAATATTTTTCCCCTTAAAATATATTTCCTGATGAAATGTAGTCGGTAGACTGCACATATGCACACATATTCTTTCATCTTATCTTCAAACACCTTAGATTCATCACAGGAGAGGAGTTTTTTACCTCATGTGTTTTATGGAACGCAACATTTCCTTTAAAATTACTTATGAGGAGACAGTGCTGATGTGACAGTGTAATTTCTACACATTAATTTGAAAGTCCTACTATATTCAATAAGACTTACTCGTGAGTAAATGAAGTTGGAATCAGAACTCAGCATCAAGCAGAAACAGTTGAAAATCATGTCTATCTTAAACTGGACTAAATGCTACCTCAATAGAAATGGTTTTTCAATAAACTGCTCACAAAATGCATTTAGGTGGATTGAATTATGAAGATTGAATTTCTGTCCTGAGACACTAAATCAAAATGCTAAAACCTGAACTTAAAAAGTGTAAAATGCATATACATAGCCTATCTATCCTACTTATCCCAGCCACCAAAATCTAAACAAAACAGAATAGAATTTCCAAAGCATAAAATCTCAGGCAAGGACTTCAGTGTTAAATTCATTACATGCTGGCAGACTCTATTAATAGATGTAGACAAAACAGGGAGTCTTCCTGGACCATATAGGAAATGCTCATTTGCTCTGTGTGTGTGTTTTTTTTATATTGCTGTATATGATATTTTGCCAGTCAGTAAGTCCAAGGTCTGTATATGAAGGGAGCCTCGTGAGATAGTCATTTCACTGAGGTTTGAAGCATAATTACTCAAAAAAGGCTGATATGGAAAAAGTCATTCCACAAGATTACTTTTTTTAAAAGCAGCAAGATTTGCATTACTGCCACTTTTTTCTCCTGTTGGTGGTCCCTTTGTTTCTGAATCCCTGTGCCATATCAAAAGTGGCTTTTATACCTTTTTTTAGTTCCATCAGCTCGGAACAGAAGAAGGAATCACCTGACCAAGAGTGCAACACACGCTTAGGCATTTTGAACAAGGCAAACAGTTAGCGAGATCTTGTTTTAAAATTGCAGCCTTCCTGTCGCAAACCAATTTTCCCCACCACCATGGTGCCAAAATACTCCAGTATGTGGTATCACTATATACTACAGGAACATAAACCTATGTGGATCCGTATTACATTCTGCTTGTTTAGCCAGAAGACAACAAAGCTGTCCATTATTATTCAACAACATGCTTCCATCAGCTGTTTCAGCAAAGCCCTTATAGAAAAGGCTGAACGCAACTGCTCCCCTCCTCCTACCACCGAGTGTCGAATCCTTATTTCCTCAAAAAACAAAAAAAACAAAAAACCAAGACCGTTCAGCACTGCATCTTTAACCTCAGTCAATAACATATCTTTCAATCAACCATTTATGAAAGGAAAGGAAACTGCATTCTTATCAAGTTAATCCAGGGTAACCTGTAATCATGGAATAAAAACTTGGCTTTGCTTAAGCGTTTCTCAGCCTCTGTATTCCAAATGCATCCACAAAAGAATGCAGCACACAGACCACTGACCTTCGCAGAGAAAAAACTCTCGACAAATGGTCTGACTGCCAAGAGAAAAGGGCCAAGGAAAACCCCAGAGCTTACTTTGAACAGCTTAACAAAAGAAAACGACTGGCTCAGTTTCGTAATTAGAATTCTACTGATCAACTGCCATTGTTCCATTTCTGCTCTGGCATTTGAAATATCATGCTGTCTGGGAGAATATTAGCATGTTCAAAAATGCCCAAGGATTTGAATGAGAAAATTATGAAAGGTATCGTCAGATTCAATCCCTCTGTTGTGGGCTCTTACATATTTTGCATTTTCTTTTTTCCTTGCACTTCAGCTGTTTCATCTGTGGTAAAGAGACAACCAGGTAGCATAGACATAAAAATATGGCTTCATATTTAAATAAACCTTTGCAGATAACGCTGATATTCTGGAAATGTCAATGAAAAAAATATTTTCCTCTGTTGGCTTTTTTGGAGAAACTGTTTAAGGGAACAGAAGTCTGGGGGAAATTAAAATATGGAATATGTACACTAAACCTAAATTTATTTTATAGCGTGAGCAAGATAAAATGCTTAATCCCTAACATATATAGCATAAAAATGCAGTACTTGGTATACTTATGGAATTTAGAAGTACAGTACAATACCCCTTATCTAAGGATCAATACCCACACTCCCAAATATATACCACTCCGCTCTGGGAGTGTTATTTTTCTTAGGGCGGGGGGGGGGGGGGGGGGGGAGCTTTCTAGTGTTTCTGACACAAGTACAGTAAAACTATATCCACCATTTCAGGTATGCATGGCAAGGTTTTGCAATTCAATCCCACGCAAACTGGAGGTATATACACACACACACACACACACACACACCCTTTGTTTTATACAAGGAGAGCTGGAATATACCTTCTAGCTGTGCAAGCAGATGTAGTAGATGTAGTCTGTGGTTCTTTGTCAGAACTTTCTTCTACAAACTACCAGATTTTTCCTTTGAGCTTTCTGGTCCACTTTCTCCTCTCTTTTTTTATCATTCAGGAAGACAAGGGAAGACGTTTTTTCCCCAAAAGGCAATAGGGTTTTGTATCACAGTCATTTGAGGGGAGAGTGGTAGGATTGACTGGCATACTTGTTTCTACTCCATCTCTACTGAATTTGAGTGAAAGTCACCAGAAGTAGGAAATCAGCCATTAGAACCCCCTTCCCCCAGTATTCTCTTCTCAAGAAGCCGACAGGCTCTACAAAATACGGAAATGCAGAGTGGATATGATTGCTGTATACATGTACAGAAGGAACAGGAGCTGCAACTTCCAATATTGCTCACTTATAATTTCTGATACTACTAGTAGAGTTATATTAGAGGGGAACATAATTCTCACCTCTGGTCTATAATATATACAAGAATTATTGTTCCCTACTTCTCTCTTAAACACAAATCTTCACACTACTCAGTTCTGAGACTTAAATCTTTTTTTAAAAAAAACATTTCTTTGTTAGGAAACAGAAAATACCTCACTTTTCCCCCTGTGTTTCTCAAAGTTCCAGTTCTTTACATGAAAAGGTGAAAGAATGTGTTGGGGGGAGATAAGTGGGCAAAGCATCCATTCCCCCCCATTCTTGTTCCTGACTGTAACGACGCCAGTTGTAGGGACGTTACTGATTTGTCAGGATCTCCTACAACTTGTAATGAATCTACAAAATCGATAACACAGCCACTAGCCTGTAATATAGTGTTTATCTTCCTTTGATGTGTAGTGCGGCTTGATTCAAAAGTATACGAAACAGAGACTTGGATTTAAGAGAAACTGTAATAAGTTTATGGAAGTATAGAAGCTTAATGGTTTCAATGTTTCTTAACTCCTAGAGGTACATTGCTTTAGTGGTTACATGTATAACCTTTCATAAAATAACTCTTAAGAGGACTGTTCTTTCCACTAGATGGGTTTTTTTAAACTTATTTCCTTCAAAATGTGTTTCTTTCCTTAACAGATCACTCCAGGTACTAGCCTATTCTTTCCCTCTGTTATCTCTATTACAGTAAAGATTCTTACTGGGGTTCTCTCCCCCTTTTTGCTCAAACCCTAACTACTAATCTAAATAAGTCAACTTGACCTATCTAAACCACACAGGCTAGAAGCCTAAACCTTCCTGATTCTCAACACAGTAGAACCAGCTTTCCCTGTGGTTCTCTGACCACAGACTGCCTATTTAAAATGCCTGCTCTTGCCAAGTGGCAGTTGGCTCCTCCCCTTTTTCCATGGCAACCCATCTCAGAGTAAGCTGACCATGCCCCTAGTTATGCTATTTTAAATACTTACCCCTTTAAACACCTACCTATAATTATACATGACTGTTGGTTAAAATTCACACTTCTCCACACTGACTCTCTCATCTGTTCTTAACACTGCCAAACCACAGCAGTGGAAAACCTTCATTCACCCTGACACAACACACAGGATGGTTGTTAGGAAAAAACAGGCTTGGACAAATCTAGTGGATCGCCATGAAGGACATAATAAATATGTAGTGAAGCAAAATTTTGGGTAAATGTCAAACAGCTTTGCAATGTGTTAGTGATTGGATTTACTAATATCTAAACCGAGAATTAGGAGGAACCTTCCTCTGCCTATCTTCTCCAAATAGACTAAAGTGTGGTTGGTTTACTGTTATATTCAGTAAACTACAAAAGCTTCATTGCACATTCTAGCCAACTGGTCTTCATAATCTTCTAACCTTAAAATGTTCTTATGTGATGCAAATAATGAAAGGCTCAAACCCATGAAAATAACTGAAGAAATTATTGAGCGAGCTTATTGATTACATTTTTAAATTATTGTTTTTTACAATTATTCTACCCCATTGCAAAATATTAAGATCTCTCAGGGGTGTGCAATAAAACAATAAGGCTTTCAATATCATACTTTCTGTAAATTGTAATAACTGTACAGTTTAAATGAAATTTAAAAAACTTCCACGTACAATCCAATTCAGATGACATGAAAGGAAATAATTTGAAATATCTGATCATGGACGACACCACATTCAATTTAAGACAGGCTATTAATGGGGGGAAAATGCAGCTACACAAACCTATCCTAGGTATGGAACAACTGGTGACTTTTGAGGAAGGCTAAAGGATAAATATCCACCATTTGGTTGAAAGAATTGTTTCTCCACTTACTTTACAATATTTGTACCTTTCTTTTGCAGTATTTTAATCTACAGGATCCAGCTATACAACACCTTAGACAAGAGTGTAAAGAGTGTCCATTCACCAGAGTGTGACTTGCACACAATCCACATAGCAGAACATACAAATATACAGGAGTGATCAAGGAACACCAGCTCCTGATCTGCTTCCAGGGAGGGGAACCACCCCCAAGCTATAACAGCAGCTCAGAATTTCAGTTTTTAAAAGCCTGAACAATGTAAAAGAAAGCAACTGCAATCAATTTAAAACCATTATAAATGTCTGCTACGTGGACAGAGTACAATCTAGAAGAAAAGGTAATACCATAAACGCCTCCGTAGGATACAGTGCTATGGCCTTTAGCACACATGAAATGTGTTATTCAAATAAGGAATTATTACTCTGGTTATCTTTAAAAGACCATTTAGTATGTGTATGTGTCACAATATATCACAATACATTGCTCTTATCCTATGTGCACTCATAGCGTCTGTCCAACCTAAAAGGTAGCCCTGAGCTCACTGATAATCCAACAGAAAAATGTTGCCTGAACTGTTGATTTGTAAAGGCATTAAAGACAGGCCTTAGAAAGCACTCTACCCATTGAGAAAATCAGATTTTAAAAGTCTATCAGGAAACCTAGAACTAAGGTCCAAGATTTCCAAATCTCCACAAGTGAATAAGACCAATTATCAAAACACATAGAAAAAGAAAAAGACTCACCTTCAACTTACCTGGAATTATTCTTACTTACAAGTATAGAAACTAAAGAGAGACAGTTCAAGGTTTAGATTTCGATCACATACATAATATATTGTAAGAAACTGATTACTAAAAACTCACCATGCATTAAACAATATGCCAGTAGCTCACCTTCAGGCTGGTGCGAGAGCGTGGCTGGCTTATTTCACGGTATTTCCAAGTGTCTGACCCAGGAGTGTCCACCGTTCCTCTCTGAGTGTCAGGTGTAAGAATCGCATCTCCTGGAGGAAGTGGGAAGATGCCCAGTGATATAGGAGGCTCCTTCCTACACAGAAGAGGAAAACCATGCATCAGTTTTAACTTCAAACATTGGCTTCATTTACACATAATACTAAGCCAGGGTTAGTCTGAACAAATCTTACTAGTGGATAAAGTAAGCAAATATTAATTTCTGGATCTTCTCCTCAAATGATTAACAGGTTTGCCAGTGTGACTGCAGATGTGGAGTTTTTATTTACATTGGGCATGCAATTTGTTCATTTCTGTCCTGTTTGTTGTTGTTTTTGATTTGGCAGGGACGTACATTACAAGATACAAGGTTTTTGCAAAAGGTTTTGAGGGGTGGGAGAGGTATTTCTAAGTGGAACGGGTTTGTATTGGGGGTTTATTTTGGTTATCCTGGTTGCTTTGTCTTACCATGTGGATTTATAGAGTAGGCAGTTGTGGGTTTTTCTACTTGTGTCTGTTTCTGAACACCATCAGTTTTCCTTTGTGGATCACTTACATGGTTTGGCATGTGGAAGTAAGACTACTGCCTTAGAGAATTGGAAATATGAAGAGTTTGTGGTCAGGAAGCAAGCAAATCAGCAGAGTCTGAGAGAGTTATGCTTTGGTTGTTCTTGACTCACACATCTATAACTTGGTGTTAAACATGCGTAAGCCCAGAAACAAACTAGAAATAAGATAAAATATGGAGTTCAAGTATAAGAACAAATAAAATAAGCCTATCAGCTATCCTCAACTATGGCTTAAACTGGGTTTTGCTGCCAAACTACAAATATTGTTGGGACCAGGTTTGAGTTCAAGCTTTCAAAGATACTATACTTACACTAAACATACCCTGATTTAGTGTTATGTTAAGCAAAGCCTCTGTATGAACTTTTCAATCTCTGAGGAAATAGCAAAGTCCAATATAAAGAAGAAATCAAACATTGTAAAATACATGCTAGGCAGAACTTTCTTACATGTTTCCACATGTAAGTAATACACAAAATGGATCATATTCACTCACTTTGTGGGAACTATTAGGATTTTTTAAATTGTGATTTAAGTTTACTATTTTTACTATTATTAGAAAATCTCAGTTTACAGCAATACTATGGAATGGGGCACCATTATATAAACATAATGAAATCAGGACAAAGTCCAGCAGAAAATAGAAGAACTACACATCACATTTGAAAACGGACAAAGAAATGTTGAAAGCTATGGAATAAAAGCATTCTGTCCTGATTAAGAGATTATTTGCATGGTAGCTAGTTTCAAACAGTGTCAGTGAAAATGCCTAGCAAACCAACGTTTTTAAAGGGAGCAATTAAACTGAGAGCTTCATGCCTTCCCTGACTGCAAGGCCCACTGCCAAGATTTCCTTATTAGGAAAGAGGTGGTTTTTAAAAGTCTCTATTCCGAAACATATACAATTTCTAACTTATAGTGGAGCAATTCAGGACATGCCAAGAATTGCAAGCTCTAGTAAAGGTAAATGTTTTCCCTTGACATTAAGTCTAGTCATGTCCAACTCTGGGGGGTGGTGCTCATCTCAATTTCTAAGCCGAAGAGCTGGTGTTGTCCATAGACCGCGTTGAGTCGCCAGTTAGGCTAAGAAACGGCGGTATACAAGTAAAGTAAATAAATAAATAAATAAATAGACACCTCCAAGGTCATGTGGCCTGCATGACTGCATGGGGCACCATTACCTTCCCACCAAGGCAGTACCTATTGACCTACTCACATTTGCATGTTCTGAACTGCTAGGTTGGAAGAAGCCCCCCACATATACACACAAACCGGCTATGCTAGTTATAGCTGATGGGATAAACCACTCAGCAACCCTCTAGGCTGCTTCCATTTCCCCCAACTCTGATAAAAATGAACAATTAATCAGGTTATTTCTCAAATGTGAATATTTTCACTCTACCTACCCAATAAAGGCACTTCATTTTGAACTGATGAAAAAAAGAGGTTTTAACCTCCATAGTAAGTATTTAGCCAAACTTCTAGCTATCAGTCACTGACATTATATTGTTCATTACTTTCTTTCTGTGAAGATGTAGTTGGGCCAAGACAGAATGAAAAGTAGAAGGACACAGCAGTGGAAAGAAAATGACAAATATGTACAGTGCACAAGCGCTATATTTCATATTTAATATCGCAGAATGCAGTGAGTGCTGTTCATAAAGACATAATTTATATAGTTAAAATAGGGAAACATACAAAATGCATACAGACAAATGCAAGGGTTGATTGGAAATGTAAAACAGTGTAAATAGCAATTCATTTAGCTGTGAGTTAACATAGTTCCATGGTCACACATTTAAAAGTATTCAGAAAAACACATGAAAAAAAAATATCAAAAGTAAGTCTGATTTAAATCGGATTTTTTTTCTAGCCGATTTAAATTGTTGATTTAAATCTCCATGATTTAAATCAGACTATCCTGGTCTGATAAAATTAGTGCCAGGGAAAAGTAATACCTGTTCAGTGTCCTTACTACGGTTGGCATTGGACTAATGATAAAGAACAACTTGGTTAATTGGCCAATAAAATTTGTATTTAAACATTAACTTATTCAAATGGCAACAAACATACAGACTAATTAGAAAAAGCATTTTTCCTGAAAACTCCAAATTAATTACAGTATGTCACTTGTGCATGCAAAACAGGGAGTTAATGGGCGATATACTGCCCATATGGATGTAACATAATGCAAAATTGATTGGTAGGCAGATATGCTGGTACTGACAGCAGTTATAACACAGAATGCCACACACTATAGGAAGGAGTAAAACACTCCAAAGTAGCATATACATTCATGCATTGGATGGTCATATATACCAAAGAAAGGCATAGTATATTAAGGAAATAATAATCATTTCATCAAGTTCACAAAGCCGAACAACGGACTACAATTGTTGAAAATCGGGCAATCTATATAAAAGTCTCTGATTAGGAGAACTCCTATCTATCTATACTGGAGGAGATGATCTTGCAAAACCAAGGAAGACTATTATTATGAATTGCCTGAACTGCATTTGGAGCAAGTAGAAATGGACAAACAACAAGAAATAAAATGGGAAATGCTCACCTACAGAAAGAATCTGCAAGTGCACTAAATTTATAGAGGAAGAGTCTTTACCATAGCAATGTCCTTCCTACTAAAGACACACTTGTCCAGATCACTGACATCATTTAAGAAGGGCATTTAAAACCTTCCTTTGTAGGAATGTGTGAGTGATTAGGGTGATGCTCCTGGTTCCATTTGTTTTATAGCTGGATTGTTTGATTTAGTTAACTATGTATGCTGTTAAAGAGCTTTGGTTGAATGGTGGGATAACATTTTCACTAGGTACGCATGAATGACTGAAACAAATCATCACATCAGTGAAGGTCACATCACTGCAAATTTTGAATGTAATGTGAAAGTGAATATAATGGTATGACTGAACAGACCAGTTGGTCCAAAGAAGGAAAAACAAGTTTAAAAAATAATAATAATTAAGCAGTTTTCTGAGTGTTCTCACATTTGCAAAACGCTGGTGGGCACATTGCAAGTGGGGAGGAAAAAAGTTCACTTATATTAGTGCAACTGATGAAGTCTTCACAAATTTCCAATAATTGTTCAGTATACTACAATTATGCAAAAAAGTGGTGGCAGAAAATTTCTATATGACAAACTCTTGCCCCCATTAGGATGCAAAATCCTTGTTCACAACAGGATATAATATCAAATTATTTACAACAGAATGCTACATAAAACTCAAATTGCTGGCAAGGATTTATAATATATGAAAGAAATATGTTTTTTGCAAATGAATATATATACTGAGGAAAGCAAACTCATACAGGACTCAATTTATCTCAGATTGATATACTATTTAGTTCTAGTCACATTATACCTATCAAGATTTTAACTCAGAATCAAGCTGAGCGATCAGGAATCTTTTTAGTTCAATTTAAAATGAACATCTGTGTCTGTGATAAAGAGGATGTTGAGAGGCACAGACAGGCATTTGCCAAGGGAAATTCACCTTGGATTGCTGCATGCATAGCTCCAATTACTGTTTTTGCCACCTTAACACTTTGATCAGTATTCTGGATTCTGCAGACATGTAAAGACTGCATACCAGACACAGTATCCACAGACTGTGCATCCACAGACTCCACCAACTAAGGCATGAAAATACTACAAAAGCAAAATCCCAAAAGAAAACTTTGATTTTAACATTTAATACAAGGGATACCATTTTACTATAATGGGAGTTGAGCAGCCACGGATTTTGATATCCACAGATTGCGTGCTGGAACCAAACCCAGGGGATACAAAGGAACCACTGAATTCAAAATAAACTAATATATACAAAATTCTATTTAGCCTGTACATACATGTCCTTATTGACTTTTACACATCTCACCTGAACCCCTGCCATTCTAAAAAGATCAATGAAACAGCTGATTTTAAGACAAACAGCATATAAACTGTGTTGGTTGCTAATCAAATGACAGTAGTCTGACCAGGTCACAGTGTGGTCCAACACTTTGAAACTGAGCCATTGTGTGCTTGATGGCAGCTACAGCACAATATCTGCCTATAGTTTCATAACCCTGCAGATGCCTGAACATTTCTCTGTGCATACATACTTGTGCATGCTTATATTTTTGTTTGAAAAGCAAGCACGCCCTCCATGCCACGAATAACTGTCAAACTTAAAAACTCATGTATGTCTTTTCATTTCAATAGCAAAATCATCAGTTTCAAAAATAAAAACGATCAAAACACTCTGTTTTCTTGAATACTGTAGGCATATGTTTGTTGCTTTTCCATGCCTTCAAGTCAACTCTGAGTTACGAGAAAGCTATCCTAGAGTTTTCCCAGCAAGTTTTAGTCAGAGGGGGTTTTCCACTGCCTTCCACTAACACTGAGAGTGTCACTGCCCAAGGTCACTCTCTTGCCCACTGGACTTTCACGGCTCAGTAGGAATTCAAATGCTGGCCTCCCAAAGTCTTAATCTAATCTCCAATTGACTACACTATGCAAAAAATATTTTAGAATGTATTTTCCTTTCAAAGTAAGTACCCAAAGGAGTCTTAAAACTGCAACAAATCAATGACATACTTTAAATAGTTGCTTATCATTTTTTTTACTATGAAGCTATGCAATGACAAACCACAGTCCAACACATACCCGGAACTAGCTTTGTGCTTGCACACTGCCTTTTCTTCTGCATGACAAACACACAACCTAATTAATTAATAATTATGCTGCTCTTGGACTGTATATGGCCTGAAGCAATGTTGCCATCAGGTTTATATCCTCCTAGTAGTTTAAAATTTCTCTATTATTCTAACTGTCTATTAGCATATACCAATATATATAATCCATATTGCATAATACTAATGATAATATACCGAAATATTTGAACACACAAAGGCACCAGAGGGCTACACATTAATATTGTTTTAACATTAACACTGCTTTTTCATGAAAAGATTATTTGACATAGTCAAAGATACTGCTTCCTAATTAAGTTTTCTTTACTTCCCTGTCTGTGAGACTGTTGTTTTCTTCTACTATTAAGTTATATATAACCAGATTGGGTTCTTAGGATTCTTGTGGTAATATTGAATATTTCCAGCCAATTTTGCACTTCCAGGTAACATGAAATTTGTTTCAAATGGGGGGAGCCTAAACTGTGACTCCTTCCTCTGCCAGGATAAATTGAAGATTTAATCTTAATCTTTTTCTTACATGTTTTACTGGTCATGATAAAGCTTTGTGAAAGACATGCTTACAGATCACTTAATGTTTATACTTAATTTTTAAAATGTAGATGCTGCTAGTTACAATATACATAAGATTGTAGTTCTTATCATTAGATAATTCTTATCAGAAAGCACTGTTGCCCTACTGTAAAAGTTGTAAAAACTCTGGCAGACTCTGCTGTAATTATGATGTCAAATCTATAGCATGCAATTATGTTTTATGTTATTCTGTGTTTTATGTTTTTAGAGGTTTTCAGAAATCAATTTTTGGATATGTTGCAACCCTGTATGAATGTGGGTTTGTTTCCACATTGCATAATAAGCAGTTTATAAAATAACAAAATCACAAATAACATGTAATATGCAGAGGATTAGGACCATACTACTAAGCATATGGTTATAAATGTGTCTTTGAATCCCATTTTATTCATGTTAGTATGCTAAAATTGTGCCTTTGCTTTTAAGAAATCTACAAGATGAAAAGAAACACATTTCGACAATACAGTGAACATAAGCTCCATTTGTTTTGTTTTTTTTCATTCATCCATTGTCTTTATTACTGGAGGGTAAATAACACAAAAGTGCTAACACATTTTTTAAAAGAATACTGGCTTTGTAATCTTGGAGAAAGCACAATGAAAATTTCATTTTATGTTTTACAATGGGCATTTCTGTGATCTTTGGACAGTCAACCAATGCCAAAATTGGACTTAATATACATCATTCTGCTGCTCCCTCCCCCCTCCCTTTTCCCTGAGAAGAGAAATAACAGGGAGGCTAAGAACAAAGAACAGAAAACCAGCAGATGCTCCATGGACTGAGTACCTGAGAATCCTTGGCAGGTTCTGCGTCAGAGCTGGCACGCCAGTGGATATAGAAAAGTGCACAAGCAGCAAAACAGAGAGAGAGACTAGTATAGCTGAATTAATGACCACCGCCCCGCCAACGAAGCCAAACACAAATAGCAGCATGCATCCAGGACTCATGGCGCTGAGCTGGCATGGTGAAATGCAACAACCAATGCTACACCGGGGACAAGGGAGTATCTTTGTAGTGAGAGTCTGTCATTCAGAGGCTGCCACAAAAACAATGCCATCGGCAGCAGCTTTCCAATCTCTTCCGCAGCAGCTCCAAAGCAAAATGACATCACCTCGCTCTCCTCCCCCACCTAGTAGGGGGGAAAAAACCACCAGAGCCGCTTCTCTTCTTGCCGGCATCGATGCTGCAGCCTAAAGATACAAGCAAGCTTGTTTGCAGCTTTCTCCTCCCTGCTACCTCAAACCTTCCTACCTTGGCTCTAGTTCATTGTGTAGGAAGCTATGACATTTACATAACACAATCAGAAAGCTATAGTTAAAGATGCTCTTTTGTGAACATATGCCCCAAAAAAGATGCAATCATGCGAACTTAATTTAATTATTTTAAATCCCTTAAATTCTAATGCTTTTCTTGTTGCTTGTCTCTTTGTTCTGAGAATAAAACTGAAAAAACTGCTCTTCTAGATCTGTGTAGACACACCTATCTGCCTAATGAAGATAGCCAACAGCTGAATCCAGGTTTTGAACTATCCCAACAGTAAAATCATTTTCTGCTCCAACTTTTTTATTTCCTCAGTTTTCCAGCAATACAGTTGGTCCAAGGCAAGCTCACTGTTGTTGAAGACAAAGAAGATACAGCACTGCAGAAGACAGAAATGGCAAAGATGAGTAGAGCTTACCTAACCCTAGTGTGCATGACAGGCTCTACCTGATCGCCCCCCGTCAGCTGATGAAGTTTGGCTCTTTCCAGGTGTTCCATGTAATTATGAATCATCTGTCATTGAGAGGGGGGAAATAACACTAAGAATTATTTTTAAAAACACACCTATTTGATAAATGTATGCTCCCCACCTCCTTATAATAAAATTCATTTGAAGGTATTAGGTGCATTCTATTTGTGATGCATGGATTTAATGAAATATTTTTATTGCAATAGTTAATTCTGTTTCTTATAATGACAATGTTATCCTTCTGTGCCCAGAATCCACATTGCCCCTATGCGACCATAATAAATTTTAAAGTTATTATTTCAGGGTAAAAAAAAGTATACAAACATGTACATTTTCAACAGGACAATATACAAATAGTATGTCACCCAAGTGCAAATCAACCGAATAAAAACCAATAAATGAAGCAAACGCCACAGTAAAGTGAGAAAACCTCCAGAAATTTTTCACCACATGTGTTTACAGACATACATTCTGTTCAGACAAAACAGCAGACCCCAATTTTGACTAGATGACTAAGGCATGATGGATCTTGGATACTCTCCGTATTCCTTCCATATCTGTGAGAAGATCTGAAATGCACACTTCCCATTTTAAGCATTCAACTGTTTCCCAGTAGTACCTGAATCTGGCAAAATGAAGTCTGTTCTGAAACCATCAACACAAACAAGTCACAATTAATTTCTTTCATCCCCACTGCTAAATTCAGTTTCTGTGCAATTTCCATCTTCCAATGGTGAGCAAGTAAAAAGTGTGGGACAAAACATAGTGTCATATGTTACCTTACAGCTGTTGCAACTACTAATAAACCTCAGTAGAGTCATTCTAACCTTTAAGACTTGGAGCTGAGGACACACATAGGCTGGGGTAGAACAAAACAATAGTTTTAGGGAGGATGAGGAGTGACCAAATTGGGACCTAAGGACTGAAGCCCCATTCACTCACTCAATTTTGACATTACAGAAGTGGTTCCCAACCTCTAGCACTTCTAGTGGTTGGATTTCAACTCCCAGAAACACTTATCATTATACACAGTGGGCAGGGATTCTGGAAGTTGATGTCCAAACTATCTGAAGAGCCAAAGGTTAAAAACTACTCAGTAACAAAAGGGTTCAGTATATTTAAAATGCACTCTCGATCTCTGCCATGCAAAAGAAGAGGTTTTAATTATATTATGAACTTAAAATTTATATACAATGATGTACAGGAGGCACATGACACAAGAGACAATGTCTAGGAGGAATAACACTGCTTCTATGACAGAAATGTGATGAAGAAAAAGGGATATTTATTATATATAGTGGATTTATGAAAGGGCGAAAAATATTTGGATAAAAATACACATCTTCATGCAGAGGATCAATAAGAAACTAAAACCAGAATTGTTTCACTTGAGACTACTGAATGCAAAGTTGGAGGATACGTACAGAAATCTACTACAGTACAGGATTGCAGTAGCAACACTATTATATGCATAAAAATATAAGAATTCAGTATTATCTACTATAGATAAGTGGCTGGTGGAACAGACAGAGTTAGCAGAAATAGACATTTTGTCTTTTTTGATCAGAGAAAAATCATTAGTGTCAATTTTCAAAAACAGGAAACTCTTTTTACAAAAAAAGATGACAGTAACTTAGTAATCATTGCTTTTGAATATAGGAAGGAACTGACTATGGAAATAAGAAAAGTTGTACTAATATTTGAGTAAATTCTGAAAAATTATACAGTATAATATGTGAAACTACTGAAAAGGCAAGAAAAGACAAGTTGGATGTATTTTATGATGTGTTTTAACTGTGTTATGCCCTGCCTTAAGCTGTGAGAAGCATTTGGCTATTATTATTATTATTATTGTTTTTCCTCTTTTTCTTTCTTCCCCTTTTCTCTTCAATTAGTTTTTCTGTGTTATTTAATGTAATGTTAAAACATTTGATAAATAAATAAAAACAATAGAAGAGAGGGGCACATAGCACTACCTCAAACCAGAGAAATCAGTAGAAAGCCACAGCTGCCTACCCTTGTTTTGCCAACAGAAATCAAAGCCTGGGAACAACTCTGCACAGAACTCTGCATCTGAGCAGCCTCCCTCTTGCATTACTTCTTAAAGCAATAAAATTGGAATTTATAAATAAACAGTTTCACAAGAAGTAGACAAATTTCTTTTCAGAGAATTTAGCTAGCTATTTATCATCTGCCATTTCACCCTATTGTCTTTGTGTGTCACAGTTTTTTTGTGACCACTTTCTAGCCAATTTCATATAAATTATTTGAAGTTTCATTAACTGTTTTCTACACTTAAACAACTCAGCTCCACAAAAAATATTTTGATATATTGCAATAAATAAATAAATTAGGATCAAAAGAGACAAGGCAGATTTATCTCATAGCAGATTCACCTATATCACTTTGCAAGAGTATGGCACCTGTGCACTGTTTGCCAAAAATAAATGATTATGAAACTTAAATTCTTCCTCATGCCCAGCTGTTCTACAAAAAAAACCACACGCAAAAATACATCCTATTTCCTGTATTACAGAAGCAATACTAATTTCTAGTTTTGATGTAGAAGAAGAGACCACCAACTACTAAAGCACTATATGTCCAATAGAACTATTTTGAAAGTGCTACTAGCTTTAAAAAAATACTTAGATGCTAACCAGTAAAGAAAATATCTCTCAACCTTTTTGTCCAGTTGTTAAAATATATAAGCTTAAAATTAAGAATACAAATCTTTAGTACAAATAAACTCTTCTATAGTTAAAAAAATGTTAGTAGACCTAATATATTTTAAACTACTAGTAATTACAGCTGAATACACCATCACATCAGATTATCTCACACTGTGGTTATCAATATGTCACAGCATTCGTTTTCCAACCTTCAGGGCTCATTTTAATTAAGCTTCAAACTGACAAAATGTAGCTCTTCATTACCAGGGCCACAATAGGCAAGATGTAATCAGAAAAAAAGCCACATTCACTGTCATCAATAACTACACTTTTAAACAAAGGCTTTATCTTATTGGTAATATTACAAGCTTTTGACTACCATAACACATTTGAATGATCTAGGTTTGTGAGCAACTACACCATTTATTTCTCCTGAAAGTGTTTGAGGAAATAGTAAAAAAAGCAAACCTCGACTTTGCAATTCACCAAAGACTATATAGAAGTGCAGGCATACCCTACTGTAGCCTCCTACCATTTGGAGATCCTCAGGCTCTCTTTAGCACCATTTTACATTTTTCTATAATGGGATTTGTATATCTATGGATTTAAGGTGTCCCACTAAGATCCTGGAAACAAACCCCAGCAGGCACTTCTGATTAAGTCATAGCTTTTAAAAATATTTGTTTTGCTGTGCCAAAATGCGTTCTGTTGCATTCACTTAATGTTCAACACCTTATATAACAGAACACTACTATCTATGGAGCTTCAAAATGACTTCAGCTGTAGCACAGCCATAAGGGATAACAGCATGTCAAGACCTATATTTCATTTCAGGATTAGCTACACAAATCCAGCTGTCTCAGAATAAACAAGCCGTTTATTACGATTCAGATTTCTGGAGGCGTAAAAAAGGCTCAAAAATAGCGCTTCCCACAATCATTGTTTTTCATCCAATTTGCTTTTACATCTTATGTGTGCTAAGTTGATCATTATGCTGCCATTAATGAACAAGTAGAAGCCGTAAGATAACTAAGTTGTGCTGGAAAACACAGATTAAATAAACACAGGTTAAATAAAATATGGTAGTAAAAAATCACTTTCACAAGGCTTCTGTACCCCTAACTCCAGTGGGATCGCTTTCTCCCATACAATCCTCTGAGGTCCTATGGAAGGCAGCTACTGCAGCCAGCAAGAACCCAACTGGCAACCATCAACCAAAGAACCTGTAATTGTGTTCTCCCTGCATGGCAGGCAGTTAGACTGGATGGCCCATGTGGTCGCTTCCAAATCTATGATATTATGATTCTACAAGCTTTTCAGCAGCTGCTCCATGAACGTGGAATGATCTGTCAGAAGAGATTCGACAGTTAAATGAGCCTGCCGGAAGACCCATCTCTTCCAGCAGGCCTACCCAGTCAGTTTTAACTTGTGAATTTTAAATATATATTCTTTGACTATTGCATTTTAATCTTTGTTCAATGTATTTAAATATGTGTATTTTATAGAAATGTATTTTAATTTATGCATAGTATTGGATGTATTTTATGATGTGTTTTAACTGTGTTATGCCCTGCCTTAAGCTGTGAGGAGAAGCATTTGGCTATTATTATTATTATTATTATTATTATTATTATTATTATTATGTCCTTACTAAATGAATTAGAAACTATGTAAAGCAATAATATAGCCCAAGTACTCATTGCCAAATTTTGGATAATGTGGGCTCCTTATAAGTAAATTAAATCAAAATGAAATTTATTTAGATGATGGAGTATCTTTTTCCTCTTCTGCAAAACATTCATTCCTCTTATATACCATGTGATGCATATCCGATCAGTTATCAGGCCAGTGTTTCATCTGAGTCTATAACTATTGATCCTTATTTATTTATTTATTTATTTATTTGCTTGCTGTATTTGTATACCGCCTTTCTCAGCCAATTGGCGACTCAAAGTGGTTTTCCTCTGCCTCCATTATCATTTTCTTTTCCTGAACTGAGTGTTATCTGGATATCTCTTCCTCCCATTTGCCCCAAACTCTTTCCTCAAAGTCTTTTGCTTTCTGCACTGTGATCAATGTATGCTATTGTTGCTTCTACGTTCTATCTGAATGAAATCTGCTTGCCCTCAGTTTGTCAAAAAATTGTAATTCTTCTGCTTTCTTAAAATTCCTGTTGGAATTTATTTACTTCATGATCACAACTTTCATCAGCACTTCCATCTTCTCTCTAGCCTTCATAGTCTTTTCATTATGATGTATTAGCTCTTGATCCAACATCTGCTTCCTTACAATGAACAATGATATCTCTTGTTAGGCTACATTTACCCATTACCCGTTGTGGACATGTCTGGTTCCAGTGCTTCACTTTAATTCTCCAGGAGCATTGCAGTAACATTGATACTCTTTTCATGACTGTTCTCATTGGGTTGCACATAGATCCCTCTGGCGCAAACACACAATTCTCTTTCACTTACCTTCACTAAAGAAAAAACATCTAAGCTTCTGCCTCTAAATGCTGCACTTTTTATTAATCTCCAATGACAAATGTGTCCACATTTGCTTCACTTCTTTTAGTTTTATGTAAAGTCACAGATGGATTCAACCTTCAATCCTTTCTAATATCAGAGCCATCTGATCTTTAATCAATTGCATTTCACACAGAAGGCTTTAATTTATTTCAGCAGCTTTTGGTGGCATGTCCACTGTTCCACTTCTGGCCTCTGTAGCTTTGGCCTTCAATCAAGTAATAGTGCTCACCAAAACAACAAATACCTTGTATAAATCCATGAAAAAAAGGGAAACCCAGCTTAGATGCAGCTCTACAGTTTCACCACCAGTCGTCACTCTCTTCCAATTACTGTACTTTAAAATGCTGCTATTTATAACAGTCTAGCCTTTCAGCTCTCCGTTGGTCACAAAAACAATGGAAGCATATTGACTGTGTCCTTATATCTTTATATGGGACGTAGTCACTCTTCTAGCATTTAACATTTACTGAATCACCTTTTCAAAATGCACTTTAAAAATCTCATTCTAATTAAAAGGCAAACCTTTTTGCAATTCATTTTTTGTTATAGGTAGAGGTGATGTTGCAGGAGAGTATCAGATTCAGAAAGTTTCCCTAATATGCAACATAAATGTATACTTGACTTCAGAAAGTTGATTTCCTCAGCACTTTTCCAGGCTACCGATGCAGTGAAGCAGGCTGGCAATCTCTGCCCCTTCTGTTCCATATGTGTTCATTTGAAACACAATTGTGGGTCCTGGGTCCCCAGGAAGAAAAATGTAGAACACAAAACTATTGCTTCTATACCAAGGAGAAACTTTTTGCCTGTAATAAACTGCTCAATGGTGTACACACATTGTATTGTCGAAGGCTTTCATGGCTGGAATCACTCAGTTCTTGTGGGTTTTTTCGGGTTATATGGCCATGTTCTAGAGGCATTTCTCCTGACGTTTCGCCTGCATCTATGGCAAGCATCCTCAGAGGTGAGGTCACCTCTGAGGATGCTTGCCATAGATGCAGGCGAAACGTCAGGAGAAATGCCTCTAGAACATGGCCATATAGCCCGAAAAAACCCACAAGAACTGGGTGTACACATTGTTTCCCACAAAGAAGAGTGCTTTTCTGGAGTTACAGTATAATGCTATTTCAAACCAGAAGTCCTACTCTTCTCTAACCTTTATCAATACTTAGTCAAGGTAAACAAATGTATTATCCAAGACAGCACTTCTATGGGTTATATCCTTCTGTCATTACAATAACTGTATTTGAGCTTGCTCTTTGCAGGTTTGGGTATTCAACATATAAGGTACTTAGGGGTTACTGAAGACATTGTAAAGGAGGAAAGAGTGTGATTGGTCACAATCTTCACATGGGAAGCTTCGCCTCTCTTTATGTATTGTCTGCCTTTGTCAATTGTACAAGGCATTGAATGTTTGCCATATATGTACATGTAATCCACTCAGAGGGATAGAGCTGAATATAAATAAATATGTTGTTGTTCAAAATTTTCCTAATAATTGTGACTTAAGTAGCAATTCTTATGAAAATACTGTTTTTAAAATGTTTCCCAACAGAAGTTTTCCCCTGCACAATACACACAAATCTGACCATATTAAATTGGCTTGATCTGTGCTTAAAACATGCAAAAGAATAGAGAACAGAGTACTAACAAAACATTCATGCTATAGAAATACAGACAAAGAATCTATACTGGATTATATTCAGTAATCAGGTGTCAGCACAACCTAGAAAAATGATACTAGATATCATTACCAGATACTTCTCTGAGAAGCTGTAACCATTCTCACTACTTGGAGGACTGAAATGACATTCAGTGGGCTGTGTATACCAGAACAAAACATTGTAACTGATGTAAAAACAAGTTTTCTTGAGGCAAATTTTCAGTAGTTTCCCTCACCCAAGCGATCATGCATAAGTAGAAGAATTAAGCACACTTTATGAACAGATGTCCTTTTCACCCCACATTCAATCATCTAAATGAACATGAGACCCTATCAATTATACTGTTGACATGCATATTTGATTCAGATACAATATTTTACTTCAGTTTAAGGTACTTTAAAATATGCCTGCAGGACTAGTTCCAACAAGCTTCCAAAAGGTCATGGCAAAAAAGCAAAGAAATGTCCTGGCAAAATTGATAAAAGAAACTCTCTTGATATCCCTAACATCAGGTCTCTGAGACATAACTGCCTACAAATCAAATATAAAACATAGCTCAAAAGAAGATTTAGTTACCTACCTCTGTATGTCTTGAATGAAGAGCATTATATTCCTTCTTCAGTTCTGCCTCCCTCTCTTCTAGCCTGCTAACTGAAAAAGACATTAATTTGCTCAAATGAGATGTATTGCCAACAAAATTAATGGAGGTCATTTACATTTCTTCCACTCTCTAAAAATCAGTGATTCACATAGAAGCCAATAATTGTTCAGAAAATCTTTCCCAATACTTGTTCTAAACATTTCACTCAAACACTGAGCAAGTCACAGCATTTGGAATGCACACCAAAACAAGTTTCACATATGATCTATGATCCTTAATCCATTTTCCCTTCTCTCTCTTGTGAATCAAGCTGCCCACAAAATGATAAAGAGTGCTCACAAGAGCCCTCAAATAAAGAATAGTACCATATATACTCATATATAAGTCAATCTCCTGTATACGTCAATGAAAGATTTGTAGGCTAAAATTTATGGATTTTGATATGACCCATGGATCAGTAGAGGGTCATTCAGCTGAGATCAGAAAACACCAATGCTGTCTCAGATGGCCAGCTGCCCCTGTGTGTGCCGCTGCCATTTCCCTGCCCCGACATTCAAAAGTCCAGAAGTGGTGCAACAACAGAAAAAGGAGAATGGATTGGTGCTGCTTTTGGGTTCTCCCAGGCTGGACTGAGTTCTTGCATTTCGCCATTCTACTCAGAGAAATAGATAGTTCCCTTTTTATAAAGCACAGTAGTCACATTGATACATGGATACATCAACCAAAGTTTTTCTAGCTGATTTTTAAACTTACATTTCTAGGCTGACATATATGGCACTTATTAGAAGTCACTGTAAAAGGAAAGAACAACAATCTTGCATGGTAAACTCTAGAGTAATGTCTGTCTTCCACCACTCTAGTGTTCATATGATAGTAGAAAGGAATTACCAGTCCTAAAAATAATGAAGGCAAGAGATAAAAAAGAGACTTTCAAATCATTGTTGTTTGCCATATTTCCAACTTTTTGTAAGCTAAGGGAAACTTATAACAGTGTTTTCCAGGTCTGAGAGTGTGTGACTCCCCAAAGTCAACAGTGGGCTTCCATGTCTCACTGGGGACTCAAATCCCAGTCTAACACTCAAAGTACTGAACCACATTGGCTCTTATTACCATGACCAGCCATATTAGCAATTGCCAAGAAAACAGCTAATTTCCAGTTAGATACTCCAGTTTGAATTATACCCATAAAACCATTAACCATTATGTTGGAAGGGAAATCTGGCTTGTCTCTGTCTCCTAACCTCAAATTCTCTTCATTTAGTTATATGAAAAATAGTATAGTATACCTTGCTCCAATGTAGCTCACAGTAGATACTAAAATTATTTCATGATACATTTTCCTCAAAGCAGTAATAGTTATTTTTATATAAAAATAACAATGAGATTGTAGTCTACACAGAGACTTGACACCATTAAATACATTTACAAACATTGGCATATACCCATTTCAAGCCAATATCTTCATGATCTGATTAGCTACACAAACATGGAAAACAAGCAAGCAGTGTTAACACACTGATCTCTCCACTTCTTTTCATTGTAGTCTCTAGTTCTGTAATATGACTATGGTATTTCTGTCTACCAAACTGTTTGCCAAGTATAGCTTCCACACCATCTAGTGGGCTGATTTAACATCACAGACTCTTGCGAAGTAAAGACTCATTTCAATAATTAAGCTCACTCAAGTATTTTTGGCAACTTTGCCTACTTTGAAAATGTGCTTTTGGGTGGTCAATCAATATATATTCATGTGGTTCCATAGTGGGACCTGAATCATTACTGATATCCTTTGACACCATTTAAAAAGTGCCTTTATAATGGTATTGGCCAGCCTTCTAAACATAACCCTAGTGCCTGTCTACTCTACTGAATGATGTACTCCTCCGCTCACTTTTTTCATGTTATCCCATTGAACTGTAGTTCAGCAGAGTAGACTAGACTGCAGGGTTCTCACTTTCTTTGGTCCTTCAGGTTTTTGGGGTTTTAACTCCCAGAAGTCTCAGTTTGCATGGTTAATGTTCAGGAATGCTGGTAATTTAATACTTCCTTCCTTACAAGTAAACAACAAGCATTTGTTATTTCCTCAAGAAACTTTGGATGGGAACTGGTTGCATACATATACATACCCCCATGTACCCACCTACCCCCCCCCCCCCAAAAAAAAGAAATCCAAAAAGGCAACTACATGGTTCATCCTTTTCTTGGTCTGACTATAACAGCAGATGGTGCAACAAGCAAAGCATACTTTCACAGCTGGTTAAAGCTCTTCATCAAATGAAATGAGAAGTGGGAAACAGATGTGAAGCATCTTCTTACTTCAACTGCCTGAGGGAGAGCAACAGAGTCCCTGCATTACTCCCTTCCACAGAAAAAAACTTCTTTAAGAGAAGAATAATGGTCATCCTGAGACTTGTTTTTGTGTACACTGGACAAATAACACACACGTTTACAGAACATTAAAGAGACTAAAAAAAACCCCACTGAATCTACTCAAAGATACTCCAACCTGAGTCATTAGTGACAGCTGTGGAAAGAGTTTCTTTATTTTATTTCCCTGTAATTAAATTTATTGTCATATTTTTGCTTTTCCCTCTGACTAAGAATCTTCATTCTTCTTCTAAAATGTATTGCACAGTTTGCCAATGTCAGAACAAATAAGCAAGCATCCATGTCTTTGTGTCAGAATATGCACCAGGACTGTGGCACAACTGGCTGGGAGTCAGCTGCATTAAGATCACTACTGACCAAAAGGTTATGAGTTCGAAGCCAGCCTGGGTCGGAGTGAGCTTCCGACCATCTGTGTAGCTTGCTGTCAACCTTTGCAGCCCGAAAGACAGTTGCATCTGTTAAGTAAGAAATTTAGGTACCGCTTATGTGGGGAGGCTAATTTAACTAATCTACAAAACCATAACATCTCCAGCAAGCAAGCAAAAGAATAAGGAAGTACTCCATCAGTGTCATAAATGGACAGTGAAGCGACAGCTCCCCTGGTGGTCAGAATACCCTCATGAAGCTGGAATGTTAAATAGCCTGTGTGTGTCTGTCTATATATGTTGTGTGTCTATGGCATTTAATGTTTGCCATGTACATTGTAATCTGCCCTGAATCCCCTGTGGGGTGAGAAGGGCGGAATATAAATACTGTAAATAAATAAATAAATAAATAAATGTGTATTTATTTGTTTAAATCATTGCTGTCCTGCTCCTCAGTTAAAGATGTTTTAAGTCATTTCAAAACAAAGATCATCAATAAGAACATGGGGATTTTTCAGTAATGATAAACCCCTTTCTGCTGCCGAAGCCTAGCAAATTGAGCAAATGACATCAACACCAGCTCTCCCTAATGCTCAAGTAGCATGAACATCTACTGTGACCCCCTACTCATCAATCCTGTGTCACAAGTGGGCTGTGAGAAGCTAATTCAAGTAATAGCTGCATTTGTACAGAATGGTGAGACAAGATTGTGGAGGACCATGGTGTTTGTGAGCAAACTGCAAACTAGTCTTTACAGGTCACAAGATAAGCAGCTGAACAAATCTAAAATTAAAATCTTAGTATGATGTCCAAATCCAGGCTCATAGGCTACTGTACCCTTACAAGCCAGGATTCCGAAGCAGTATTTGGTCTCATTCCTGGTATACAACTCCTGACTTGATTCAGAGCAATAAAGTAGGAGTCCGGGTTTAGATGGAACAGCAAATACCTGATTTCTGGTTAGTTTGGTCACTCAGGAGCTGCCCAGTGAAACCAAATAAGCTGTATTCATCTTGGTGACAATCAATCAGGGTTCACAGGCTTATCATAACAAACAAATATAACAAGCATCAGTGGATATTAGCTGATTTTAAGCAATTTGGAGAAAGGTATATATTTTTTTATTTCAAAATTATTATGTAGTTCCCAAGGCATGTCTAACTCCCAATAAAGCTGGACACGTTCAAGAAATTCAGCAAAGCTGGAATATCACTTTACAGTTGGCCATAAACAGCTTCAAACAACCTAGTAATAAACTAACGGGGGAAAAAGCAGCAGAACAAGATTTTTGGGTAGTTAATATGCAGAGTTTCACAGTACACATAGCAGAAATTCCTCATTTACATTATGATGCATTATTTATTGAATATACATCTTCTGAGTCTGGGAAAGGTACGATAAACATTTTCTAAATAAATAATTTAGTACTGCCTTGAATCCAACAGAGGTTCAACAATAATAAATAATAACAAAACTTTATTTATATATTGTCATATCTCCCAGAAGGAACAACAAAATCAACAAACATTCAATGCCATACAACAAACATAAGTAAATACCCATCCCCCCCAAATCCCAAAACAAATATACATTTATATCAAAACAAGGTTCAAATACATCAAGAAAATTACATGCTTGTGACTTCAGTAAATTACCAATCTTATTTTAACTAATTCCCCACCGCCCTGCCCCTTATAGTGACTCAAGTGTTAGCTACAGTCCTGATAAGACCCCAGAGAGGTTGCTGATTATGAGTACCCTAGAAGGTCTCTCACCTGTTGAATCATCCCATATTGAAGCTGACATAACAACACATAGCCACAAATAAAAACATAAAAACTCCAACTATCACCCAAGTCAAAAAAGAAGCACCATTAAAGCCTTGGCAGACCGTGCAAAAAGAATCTGCAAACCCCACCTCCTCCAAGATGAACTGAACCACCTCAACTGGGCTCTCCAGGCCAATGGATACTCCACCTCAGACATCAGAAGAGCTGCGAGACCAAGAACAAACCACGAGAGTAAAGATGAAGATCCACCCAGAGGAAAAGTGTTCCTGCCATACATCAAGGGAACCACTGACTGCATAGGGAAGTGATGAGGAAACACAACATACAAACAATCTACAAACCCACCAAGAAAATCCAACAAATGCTACGTTCAGCAAAGGACAAGAGGGATCCTCTCACCTCTGCAGGAGTCTACTGTATACCATGCAGCTGTGGACAAGTCTACATAGGGACCACCAAACGCAGCGCCCAGACACACATCAAGGAACATGAAAGGCACTGCAGACTACTTCAACCAGAGAAGTCAGCCATAGCAGAGCACCTGATGAACCAGCCTGGACACAGCATATTATTTGAGACACAGAAATGCTGGACCACACCAACAAACACCATGTCAGACTACACAGAGAAGCCATTGAAATACACAAGCATGTGACAATTTCAACAGAAAGGAAGAGACCATGAAAATGAACAAAATCTGGCTACCAGTATTAAAAAACTCTAAAATTACAACAGCAAAACAGCAGAGAGGAAACAACCAGGCACAGATTAACACCTCTCAACAAAAGATTTTCCCAGGCTCAGCCAGGCCTTCAAATGCTAATGAAGGTGATCAGTTGAAACATTCACACCTAACTGCAGCAGGGAAGAGCTCTTGCCCCACCCCAGCCATTCCACAGATATATAAACCCATTGTCCTATTTCCAACAGACCTCACTACCTCTGAGGATGCTTGCCATAGATGCAGGCGAAACGTCAGGAGAAATGCCTCTAGAACATGGCTCTATAGCCCGAAAAAACCCACAAGAACCTAGTGATTCCAGCCATGAAAGCCTTCGACAATAATATTATTAATATTATTATTTGATGGATAAGGTGAATCAGAGCTAAGAACTACATATACCTAGTTCTTCAACCTGTGAAAAATATGTTTGAGCAGACAAAGTAACATCACAGCTTTAAAAACACAAGATCTATACAAATTTCAGCGACAGAAAGTAAGTCTTGAATAGCTGGAATAAATATTCCTTAAAATTGCGTCCATGAGAATCTATGCAGGCTAATTTGAAAATAAATGTGATGTATAAAGGAATACTAAGCATGGGATTTCTCCAACCCATCATTTTAAACATTTACAGGCAAGAAATTCATTTTCTGGATCTACAAACCAAATTACTGCATTTGAATATATCCTACCTCTCCTGAGCTCGAGACAGCTTGTTGAAGGCAGGGCTTTAGCACAGCTGGTTAATCACCAGCAGCAATAGATTACACCAATTGAAAGGTTGGCAGTTTGAAGCCTGGGTTGGGGTGAACACCTGACCTTCAGCCCAGCTCACTGTCCACCTAAGCCATTCAAAAACAGCTGTGACCGCTTAAGCGGGGAGTTATTTTATGTCTCCATAAAAAGGAAATACCAGAAAATGCCAGCAATCAAGGGAAGGAGGACGTCTGTGATCAAGGGCTCTTCATCATAGAGGATGGATCGACAGCACACACACTCCTCTATGTGGCCGGAACCAAGCACAACCTCCAAGATGCCGAAGTTGGGGAAAATGCCGGCATATACCTCTACCTGCTTTCTGTCCTGTTTAACGGCACTGAATGTTTGCCGTGTATGTGTTCTGTGATCTGCCCTGAGTCCCCTTCAGGGTGAGAAGGGCCGGACATAAATGCTGCAAATAAATAACTACTGCAATGTTTTGAAAAATAGGTCATATAGGAATAGGTTTAAGTATTGTAAAAACTGACAGCTGTCAAGAAATATACAGCAAAAGACAACGCTGCCCTGTAATTAGGTACCCTCAACCTTCAACACAAGACTTGCAGGCTGTCGTACAAGAAATGGCCATCTCACTATAATATCATATCCTAGAGTCTACTACAAGGTGGTACCAGAAATGTAACTCAAATTCCACTTTAAAGCATGCATTGTCCTAAATGGTGCTTTGAGGTCTATTGTGTTTTTCTCTCTAAACTTATACTCTAGCAATACAATGTCAATTTCAGATTCAATTTAAAATGGCAATCTAACTCTAAAAACCACTTATAAAAAGTGAAATATATTTTTATATATAACATTAGGGGATATAAATTAAATAAAAGCAGCAACTTCACAACTTTTCTTAAAATTCAGGGAAAAACTACAAAGCTCTCTACTGCATCAAACAGCATTCTAAACTCAGAGGTCCATCTTGGAAAAACTCACCACAGTAAAAATGCTAAATCCTACAAAGTATGGTCTGTGTGAAAATATAATTTCCAAGAGCTGTAAGCATGCAGCACTGCTGTATCTAAGAGGAAGTGTCCTAATAGACTTGCTCTCAGTTTCCATCCTCCTCCTTTCCTGTTTTCTATTAAAGAATGCACCTAATAGTCTTAGAAGAAATACTGCAATTGATGTTTAAAAAACACCTCTGTTGGGTATAGTTTATTCAAAAATAGCTAAACAACCCTAAAAATAGTATCAAGAATAACTAATCACAAAAATCATAACTAAAAGAAACTTAAATATAATTAATCATTTATCCAATTTAGATATCAACCAATCCTGATGAATTAACCATGTCCCTCCTTCCTCCAGCACTGGAGCCACTTTTCATCCCTACTGCTTTCTGAGAGGCAATATGTCTGGGCCAAACCAGAGGCAATGGATCACCACTGCCTATTACTGTAAAAAATCAAGTATTTTGGAATGTTTTCTGGGAGTTTGATAGGAGATCAAGAGGTCAAAGTGAACCACAACACCATGCTGTTGTGGGGTTGGGCAGGCTTTACCTAAATAAATCTCATCTTGGAATGGGGGCCAGCATATTTCTCACCTCTATTCTAACATGTCTGTTTAGATATGTATTCCTATATACTCTTTGGTCAAGCAGAGGAAATTGAGGCTTTATCTCAACACCAGTATTACCATGGTAAACATTAATCAAAGCTGAAGCCAATTTAAAATCTTAGCCCTGTAACATGCTCTATTCACTTTGGCTAATGGAACAGGGTGCTACCTCTAACCAACCTGCAAAATTACGTTTTGACTATTATTTCCAAGAAGAAATGTGCAATAATAATATTCACTATCATGCCAATTCTGAAACAAGTTATTCACAACTGTTGTTTTTTAAAAATAAAAGCATTGTGACTAATACTCACGAAACTAAAAAAAACTAGTTTTATCAAGATTTTAGACTTTATTCTCTCTAACCACCACCCCACTGCCCAAACCTTATGCTACTGGGCAAATTATTTTTGAATAATAAAATTAAAAAGTAGTGTGTAACATTACTCAAAAGTCTGCCGCACAAAATAAACATTTCTATTGGTCAGACACAAGCCACTTGCATGAGTCTAAATGGCTCTTTGAATTCTATTCATAGTAAATATTAACTAAACACTTTTCTATTTGAAAATGATGGCATCAAAGTTTCCCTTTAACTCCTTGACATAAATGTTCTTTCTAAATGTTTTTTTAAAAACCAAAATTACTTGTCATTTGATTGGTTAGAAAAATCTAAGACATGTTATTAAACCTGCCTAAATTCTGACTCCCTGAAAGATGCCTCCAAGGAAATGATGGGAAATTTCAGTTAAGATGCTTTCTAGTGGTCAGCTGGTTTAGAGCCAACCACAACAGAAAAAGTCACATGGCATATTCCCTCTGGCATTATACTGCTTCAAAACGCTGGTGGCAGACTGGATGAAGGACTCTTTCAACTGTGATAACTTAATATATCAAGTTCTCTCCCCCACCCCCCAAGTCAACAATATGCATGTTATATCATGTTTTTGAACATTTTGTGTTTGAACATTTGTGTTATTTTACAGAAAAATAGGAAAATGTAATTGAACTAACAGACAATTCTTAACAATTTTAACAAATTTAACTGGTCAACCAGTAAATGTAAAAGAAATAGAATGCATTTATGAATAAAGTAAATCATATCAACTAGTAAACTATCTTGATCCAAAGCCATCAGGCACTTAAAAAAAAATAAAACAGAAACATGGGGAGAGTTGACTAAGGTATGCTATGATAGCCCAATTATAATCTATGGGTGTATTGCTACTTACTTTGATCAGCATAGTTTTTTGCTTTCAGTTCAAGTTGTCGAGTTTGTGACTCCAAAGTTTCCACTCTGATCTGCAGGTCTTTTTTTTCTTGTTCTTGAGAATCTTCAAATTCAATAAATTTCTACAAAATAGAAAAGAGAAATCAGTTCATAGGCATATTTAATGATACATATTACCACTTTTTCTGAAATGAGCCAGCTGTACAAGGGGAAGGCACATTACATTATTTCTCTCCATACTCTTGTGTTCTATGGCAGGTTCCCAAATTGATTAAGCCTCCATCCCCTTTTCAGAAAAAAAAAAGTAAGCAAACAGACGGAAAGAACACTTGCTGGTTAAAAACCGACTGTGCACCTGACCATTGATCAGTTATAACTTGCATTTTGTGTGTTCATAGGGAAAACAAAGAAATCACTAAGACTTTAAGTCTATCTTACATAACAGATGAAAAGGTTATGGGTTTTTTTTAAAAAAAAATCTTCTCTTCTTTATGTTTCCATCCCACCCAACCTCACCCCCTATTTTTATTCAATGCCCCCTAATTGCACCCCAGGCTACTACCACCCCCATAGATCACCTCAGCATTCCTTGGCGGCAATATCACTTTTAAACCTTTAAAGGAAGTATTCTAGATGTAATATCATGTCTCAGCTGTTCAGGCTATAAGACAAGAGGCTGGATTTCAGATAAAGTTGTGTGCAATGTAAGACAGGAGGCTGGAAGAAACTGATATCTTTGTTCCCACAAACTCGCAATAGTTCTTCTTCCGTATGACAAATACAGGTGGTCAGGGTACAGTGTGATTCGGGGGTGTGGAATGTCACTAGATATTATGTGATCAATCAACAAAAGAAAACTGCATACTTATATGTTGCTGTTTTTAACAACAATCATCTCTATGACCTCATCACACAAGCATTTTAAAGTGTAGAAAAAGCGTGTGTGGCTCGCTTTAAATCCCGTGACTGCCTCCTACAGAATTCTAGAGTTTGTAGTTCGGGGCGTTAACATTCTCAGACAGAGAGGTCCTCAGTCTCACTAAACTACAACCCCCAGAAATCTGCAGGAAGGAGCCACAGGATTTAAAGTAGGATGCACACTCTATACCTACTCTTTAAAACATGCAAACACATGCAATCACTAAAATCATTTTTAGAAATCATCACTGGTCTAAGCAATCTTCGATGGAAATAGCCTGATCAGATTAGTTTGTGGAGAATACAAGTTTTTAAACAACATTAAACTGAAAGAACACCTGTACAACGTGAAAGTCTATATTTTTTAAATCCATTATTAGTCTATTCAACTAAAAGATTTCACTCTTTCCCACTCTTTCCTTTTATGTGTCTCATCTAAATGTGTCTCATGTAATACTTTGGAATTACTAATGCAAATATTTATCTAGAATGTGTGGCATAGTGATAAGATTAAGCTACAATTACAGGTAAGTAGTACTATGCAAGATAAAATGTTAAAATAATGTAATAACCTGAGATCTGGTGATGCCAATACACTTCATTTAACTCACAGATAATACCTCCAAGGGAAAAAAATATCTAAGACATCTTTCTCAATACTGTAAATAAAAATTACCCTAGGCTGGACATAGACCAGAGACTGTAAAAATTACTGTTTGAGATTACAGCCCCCCAAATTCCCCAGCCAATCAGGCCAACTAACTTAATGGAATTTCACTTTTTTCAGAGGGAAGTCAACCATAACTAATTACCCTGTTCCACTGATTTCAGTAGAACTACATTCAATTCACATACCGTATCCAAACCACTGATAATACAGCAGCAAATAACAGTCATGTTTGGTGATACCTGACCACAATGGCACTGGTTTTAGAAGATGGACAGAAGAAGCTAACAAAAGTTTTGGGAAAGTAGGTATGTCAGGACCACAGCAGAGGAAAAATGGACTTAATAAATATGCTTTCATTTACAGCAGTCAGAGCCCAATACTTACTCAGAACTGAAAAAAGATACACAAGAGAGTTGTGGAGATCAAAGGCAACTGTGATCTCTTTAATCACCACAATCTACAGTCTTTTGGAGCCAGTAACTCAGTAATCTGACACATTTAAGGAGGCCAAATTTCTACTACTGATTACACAAAAGCTAGGTTCCTTGCTTCTCATGTGTAATCTATTGTCACCTTATGTTTACTTTCTTGCATTCTCCTATAATGTAACCATTCTAGCATAGATAGCTATATTTCAAAACTTTGTATATCTATATCAAAGAAAGATGTCAACACATTTTATTTCCAAAACTCATTTTTCCCACTGCAGTGCAACACTCATTAAAAAAAACCCTCCTTGACCTTAAAACAAGAGTAGATTAGCTCTGCTCCTCCTCCCTGAATTGCTATTTCTATTAATATAAATGTGTTTATTGTCTAGCTGGTAACCACCCTCCCTCCTTCCTAGCAAACAGTATGCCTGTGATGAAAGTTGTTTAATTCCAAAGACCAATAAAGCCCAAGGCATAAAAGATCATATGCCTTAGTTTTGCTGTTGTATAAACCCTTATAAATATGTCTATGTAACTATTAAATCTACTAACACAACCAAAAGAAAATTATTCTGTTAACAGGCTGTTTCCAATACCAAACATGTAGGTTCTTGGCAACAAATTACAGCAAAACATGATTTCTATAGTGGTACAATGCAGGTTTATGTTACTTTGAGGCATGCATAACATAATTCTCCATAAGTAATGTTATGACAGTGTGTTGTCAAAGGCTTTCATGGCGTGTTGTTATTTATTTACTGTCCTGATTTTAGAGGTTTTTTTTAATACTGGTAGACAGATTTTGTTCATTTTTATGGTTTCCTCCTTTCTGTTGAAATTGTCCACATGCTTATGGATTTCAATGGCTTCCCTGTGTAGTCTGACGTGGTTGTTCAAGTGGTCCAGCATTCCTGTGTTCTTCAATAATAAGCTGTGTCCCGGTTGGTTCATCAGGTGCTCTGCTATGGCTGACTTCTCTGGTTGACTTAGCCTGCAGTACCTTTTATGTTCACATCTGGGCGATGCTGCATTTGGTGGTCCCTATATAGACTTGTCCACAGCTGCATGGTATCCTGTAGACTCCTGTAGATGAGAGGATCCCTCTTGTCCTTTGCTGAACGTAGCATTTGTTGAATTTTCTTCCTGGGTCTGTAGATAATTTGTAGGTTGTGTTTCTTCATCAGCTTCCCTAGGCAGTCACTGGTTCCCTTGATGTATAGTAAGAATACTTTTCCTCTGGGTGGATCTTTATTTTTACTCTTGTGGCTTATTCTTGGTCTTCCATTTCTTCTGCTATGTTCAGTTAAGGACAAGAGGGATCCTCTCACCTCTGCAGGAGTTTACCGTATACCATGCAGCTGTGGAAATGTCTACATAGGGACCACTAAACACAGCACCCAAACAAGAAACATGAAATGCACTGCAAACTGATTCAACCAGAGAAATTAGCCATAGCAGAGCACTTGATAACACAGCTTATTATTTGAGAACACAGAAATGCTGGACCACTCTAACAATCACCATGTCAGGCTACACAGAGAAATCAATGAACTCCATAAGCATCTGGACAATTTCAACAGAAAGGAAGAAACCATGAAAATGAACAAAATCTGTCTACCAGTATTTTTAAAAAAATCTAAAATCAGGACAGCGAATAAGAAACAATGCTCAGAAAACAGGGGAAATCCAGGCAAGAAACAATCAGGGCCAGCTAACAACTCCCAACCTGTAGGATGGATGTCCATGATTTCACCTACCCGCATCTGACAAAACAAGTCCTCTCTAGGAATCTTCTAGGTCTTCCAGAAAGTCTATGTTATAGTTCCATAAGAAATTATCATGGTGTCACGTTGAAGAATCTAGCAAGTTCCTAGAAAGGATACTATCTATGAATCTTCCAAGTCCTCCAGACTCACTCTATAATAATTTCTGGCAGAAGTTGTTCATTTCTATAGAACTCACTATTAGCCAGGTCTCTTGTTTCCATTGCAAGCACTGTATACTGGTGTCATACTGTACAATAATATATACAATCAACATTTCTCCAAGACATCTTCCCATTTTCCTTCATGGTCTCCAATATGTTTCCCAACATATTTTGAAACCCTTGTTATGATGCACAGGCCTCTGTATACAAAGCATGTGATTGGTTGGGTCCTAAGGGTAAGCAACAAATCGTTGTAAATATAATGCACTAGGTGCCAAAAGATGCACAACTGACACCACTGAAAAAAGTTTTCAATGGCTATTTCTGACATATAACAATATATTAATACTCTATATCACAACCATATTTTCACATTTTGCTCAATACAGATATAGTTTTTCCATTTGTACCAAAGGTTGCAGAGGCACACCTCAAAAATGGATAGATTTTTGCTTCTATCAAGACCGCACAAGCAAGCAAAAATTAGCCCAACAGTGGGCAATTCCATTTAGGACAAAACCCAACATTACTGTTTATCAACTATTCTCCCTTCTAGAAGTCCACTCAATGCTAACTCCTGCACATATAAGCATTCTGGAAGAAGCAAAAACCACTAGCACTGAAGCAATTATCCTCTGCCATCAACTTTGCAGGACTGTCAAATTGTCAGAATGCCCGATCACGTTTTCCAAAGTAGTTACTTTACTCTCAACTCAACAATGGAAAACTGAATGTTGGTGGATAGCAAAAGAGATTTAAACATGGGCTTAAAGTTAACTTACAAAAATGTGGTATAAACAACGAGAACTGGGAAGCCTTGGCTCTAGAGCTGTGGTTCTCAATGTGTGTCCCCAGGTCTTTTGGCCTACAACTCCCAGAAATCCCAGCCAGTTTACCAGCTGTTAGGATTTCTAGGAGTTGAAGGCCAAAACACCTGGGGACACAGGTTGAGAACCACTGCTCTAGAGAATTCTGACTGGGGGCCAGTTGTTACCAATAATGCTATGGATTTTGAAGAGGTACAAATAGGGGATGAAAGGAAGAAACGTGCCAAGAGGAAGGAGTGTCAAGCAAACACTTGTTGTGACAACCTTAAATCTGGATATTTATGTCCTCATGGCAAAAGACCATACAGATTCAGACTAAATTTTCACAGTCACTTACGGACCCACCGCTAGTACTCTACTCTTGGAAGACGAATCATACTCTGTCACGAGTAATCGTCTATAATGATGACATAACACAATAGTAAAACAGGAAAAAATGTCATGGCCTAGAGACTTTTTGGGATTTGGTGATATGTTGAACTTTAAATGTAATTTTAATTATATTTTATTGTATTTTAATCTTATAGCCATGACACAAATATTTAATTGTTTTTTATGTATTTGCCTTGTTTTAAATTTTATTGGGTTGTGTCATGTATTGTTAGCCACCTTGAGTCCCTATAGGGAGAAAGAAGGGACAGAAATAAAATCATCATCATCATCATCATCATCATTATTCATATTTTACTGCCAGTATAAATTTGAAATGCTTGCAAATAGGCAAAGGTGAACAAAAAAAAGCAGAGTCAGTCATTATAATCACCAGCTTTATGTTTAATGTGTTTAATTGCAACACTTTTTTTCTTTATGGTTTTTAAAATATATGAACCTTAACTGTCACAGATTTTACAAGCCATCTTGCAACCGAAAAAAAAAAGGTTTACAAATGAGCAGATAGAACCTAAAAAGGCAGCTACAACATAGTCATTGGTGAATTCATCAATAAAGTACAGAGAAGGCTACTTAAGTTATGAACTTTAATCTAGTTACGTTTTGGCATTTTACTACCTGTCAAAGGAGATATGTAGGCCAATTTTTTTTCATTTTCAATATGGCACACTAAATCTAGAAAAGTATTTCCTATTTGTAAACACCAGAACCATTAAATGAACAACCAGATTTATGGAATTTCCTTGTTTGAACCATATGCAGAACATTTCCTTCTCTTTTCTAGACTGAAAACAAAACCAACTACACCACAATAAGGAAATATTACTTCTGCTTTCAGGCCTATAAAATGCGTTACTTAGAGTAAACAAAAGCCATGTGAGAAGCATATGAGCTCAACAGCTGTTCAGGGTTTTTATTCAACCACCAGGGACATTAAACTGCATGTGGCAGCAACTGAAACTGGAACTGTATGTATCCAAAGTTTGTGCCCTGGCAAAGACTAAGCTACGGCTAACACTAAATAGTATGATTCTTTTCATCAGCATAGGGTGTTATTTAACTAAAAGATGCCCTGAAGGGCTATGGGAGTAACAAACTCCTTAATCCATTCTCCACTTGCCATTTATTTATTCAAAACCTTCCCACCAGCCAAGCTGGTTTTTGTCCTGCAGGAGAAAAATAGCAGGCTTAAAGTGTTGCATATTTGCTTCAAATTAGCTATATTATAAAAAGGTACATCTACTCAATTTCTAAAAATGCTGTGACCCAACACATAGACAATGCAGACAGTAATAATTTTATTTTTCAATGTACATGATATAGTTCTCAAATGTTACATTAAAAACTGAATTAATGATGTGGCACTTACTACTGGTATTTAATACTTTGGAACTTCAATGAAGAATGCTTCTTATACTACCTGTTGCTTTGACAGATTTGTTAAAAGTTGTCAGCCCTGAAGGCTGCCTGATTCCAGACATTACCAACCCCTACCAAAGCATCCCTTTCTATTTTTCTTAATGCTGCATGGTTTGCATGTGACAGTTACGAATCACTAAAGCCCGTCAGGTGCTCCTGAAAAGAAGCCCTGAAAGAGATCAACAGAACTTTTCCAGCAGACCCCTCTTAGCCAGGCATTCATCCAGAAATCTGAACCTAGCAGCCTACCAACTCTCTGACAGGCCCACAAGACATGATGCCCTCAGGCCAAGGTAGGGCAGTGCGAACTCTTGGCTGGGTCCGAGGAGCAAGGAGGCTTCTCTCGGCTCTGTGACGTGGCTCCTCTTAAAAGCAGGGCCAGGTCTCTCTCGATCTTATGGGGCCAAAATCTGTTGCAAACAAAGTTGCAGAGGGTTGCTGTGAATTTACTAGGCTGTATGGCCATGTTCCAGAAGCATTCTCTCCTGAGGTTTCGCCCACATCTATGACAGGCCTCCTCAGAGATTGAGAGGGCCTGTTGGAACTATGCATGTGAGGTTTATATATCTGTGGAATGTCCACAGTGGGGAAAAAGCAGGGGAATTCCTGACAAGAATCAAATAGGGCCAGGCTTTGAACCTATTTATTTGTCGTGTCAGGACAACCAGTCAAATTATATTACATTTCTAACAGAACAAAGCTGCAAGGCCATTACATGCTAATCAAGGCGGCCAATTGCAACATTCACACTTGCCTCAAGCAGACAAGAGTTCTTTCTCCCACCCTGGACATTTTACAGATATATAAACCCCACTTTCCTAGTTTCCAACAAACCTCACAACTTCTGTGGATGCCTGCCATGGATGTGGGAGAAACGTCAGGAGAGAATGCTTCTGGAACATAGCCGTACAGCCCGGAAAACTCACAGCAACCCAGTGATTCCGGCCATGAAATCTTTCGACAATACGAAGTTGCAGAGCTTCCCAGGGCAGCATCAGGTCTACCTTCGCCACAGTCAAGGCCGGGACGGTGAACCCGTTGGGCTTCGTGTCCACCAAGGCTCCCTTCCTGCCCTTCTCCCACCTTGAAGGAGGGGCCCTTCCGCCCAGACCGGCACCCCGGAGGCCCCCCTTTCTCCCCCACCCCACCCCCTGGCCCCGGGCTCACCTCCTCGGCCTGCTTCCGCAGGGCCTTCTCGCGCTCGTACTGGGTGAGGAGCTGCTCGTTGTCGTCGCGCAGCAGCTCCAGCTCCACGCTGGTCTCCTGGCTGTGGGCGCAGACCGAGTCCAGGTTCTCCAGCACGGCCACCACCAGCGGCATCAGCTCGGCCACCACCTCCTCGTCGTAGCGCCCGATGAGCCGCTCGAACTCGCGGTAGATGGAGCCCGCCAGGCCGGACACCCGCTCCGACATCATGGCCGGGCCGGGACCGCCGGGGTCCTCCTGGTAGACCACGCCGTCCGCCAGCTCCATGGCTGCCGAGCGCAGGGGCGGGAGGCGAGGGGGGCGGCCTTCGGAGGCGGCAGAGGGCCCGGCGGTGGCAACAAGCAGCAGCGCCTCTCCCTCTGCGGCGGGGCCTCGACTCCCCCTCAGCGCAAACAGGAAGGAAGGAAGGAAGGAAGCCTGGCTGACAGGCGCGCAGCACTGACCTCACCCACGGCGCCGGGGCGGAGGGAGGGAGGGTGGGGGCGCGGGGCAGTGACGTTGCAGTGGGCGGGGCCGACGCGCCAGCTCGCGCTCCAGTGGGGCGCCAAGCGGGGGCGGAGCGTCGACGCTGCCTGACGTCACGCCGCGAAGGGCGGGGCCGAGGAGAGAACTAGGACAGGGAGACGTCGACGTCGTCCCGCTTTTCAGGCGAGCCGGAATGCTCCCAAATTGGAGTATCTGTAGGTTTATACCTCCTCTGTGCTCCCTGAGCAGCACTCTCCCCCTCCAACCTGTCTCAGGTTCCCCACAAAAAGTGTGTTTGGGAGACGTGTGGCCCTTTGGACGGAGGCCTGTGAGGGTCTTCCCCGTCCTTCCTGTGTTTCTGACATAGCTGCCAGTGTCAAAGAGGGCCAAGTCTTGCCAGAGAGGGAGAAGGGCAGGGGAGCCCTCGGAAACCCATCAGAAAGGCTGCTGCATCCCAGTCTCCACAAGGGCGCAGCAAAGACTCGACCTGTTTATACTCTGTGTGCCTTCAAGACACCTGTCAGTGAATGGCAATCCCATTCAATTCAGTTTTCTCGGACAAAGCAACATTGGGTGGTTTTGTGAGTGGCCGCCCATCCAGGTTATCACCAGACATGACTCTGTTTGGTTTCAGGTGGGAGTTGAAGCCTTTAGGGCTATCAAACACATTTTCACTGTGGAAAAAATCGATCTTATGGTTGTCTTTAAAAGTCTGTTGGACGTACATAGGTACAGGGGGCCAACTATATATATATATATATATATATATATCTCACACACACACATGATGTTAGGCATTTCTTCAGTTTTTTTTTTCTCATTTTGGGTGTCCAAATTTCATTTATTTATTTATTTGCAACATTTATATGCCGCCTTTCTCACCCCGAAGGGGACTCAAAGCAGCTTACAAGATACATATACATACAATATATTATATTATTAGCAAGTACAATGTCCGTATTATATATTACAATATTGTACTATACCATTATATTATTTATTTATTTATAGTATTTATATTCCGCCCTTCTCACCCCGCAGGGGACTCAGGGCAGATTACAATATACATATACATGGCAAACATTAAATGCCATAGACACACAACATATATAGACAGACACACAGAGGCTATTTAACATTCCAGCTTTTGATGAGGGTATTCTGGCCACCAGGGGAGCTGTCACTTCACTGTCCATTTGTGACACTGATGAAGTACTTCCTCATTCTGTGCATGCTTGCTGGAGATTTTTATGGCATCATAAATTAGTTAAATTAGCCTCCCCGCATACACGATACCTAAATTTCCTACTTGACAGATGCAACTGTCTTTCGGGCTGCAAAGGTCGACAGCAAGCTACACAAATTGGTCGGAAGCTGACTCTGACCCAGGCTGGCTTCAAACTCATGACCTTTCAGTCAGTAGTGATCTTTAATGTAGCTAACTCCCAGCCAGCTGCACCACAGTCCCAGTACTATTATTAGTAATATTACACGTAATATAAAATATATAATTATAATATCATATTATTATATTGTATTACATTATGTTATATTATTATATTATTGAACTACAGCCCTCATCACTTTAGATTACCCTCCCCCACCCCCATTCAGACTAAGGATAATGGGAATTGCATCCCAACAGCACTTGCGCCTCTGAGGTTGTGGAAAGGTTAAAGGACATTTTATAGTCAGGCACTATATCCACAAGCTCTACTATCCTGGCTAAACGGGGGAAAAACTACAGCCTTCCTGATGTTCCTGTCCACCTTAGAACTTGAGTCCAATTGTTAGAGCAGTGATTTTCAACCTTCCTAATACCACAACCTCTTAATACAGTTCAGCATGTTGTGGGGACTCCCAACCATGAAATTATTTTTGTTGCTACTTCATAATTGCAATTTTGCTACTGTTATGAATCATAATGTAAATATCTGATATGCAGGATGTATTTTTATTCACTAGACCAAATTTTACACAAATACCTGATAACCTGATATGCCCAAATTTGAATACTGGTTAGGTTGGGGGGGATTGATTTTGTCATTTGGGAGTCGTAGTTGCTGGGACTTACAGTTCACCTACAATCAAAGAACATTCAGAACTCCACCAACAATGGAATTGAACCAAACTTGGCACACAGGACTCCCATGACCAAAAGAAAATACTGGAAGGGTTTGGTGGGCATTGACCTTAAGTCTTAGAGTTGTAGTTCACCTACATCCAGGGAGCACTGCAGACTCAAACCATGATGGATCTGGACCAAACTTGGCATGGATACCCAATAAGCCTAATTGTGAACACTGGTGGAGTTTGGGGAAATTAGACCTTGACATTTGGGTGTTGTAGTTGCTGAGATTTATAGTTCACCTACAATCAAAGAGCATTCTGAACCCCACCAACAATAGAATTGGGCCAAACTTTCCACACAGAACTCCCATGGCCAACAGAAAATACTGTGCTTTCTGATGGTCTTTGGTGACCTCTCTGAAACCACCTTCGTGACCCCCCCCCCACCCCCCAGGGGTCCAACCCCCAGGTTGAGAAACACTGCTCTATGCCTTCAAGTCACCTCTCAACTTCTGGCAATCTCATTCATTTCAGTTTCTTCAATCAAAGCAAAATTGGGTGGGTTTGTGAGTAGCCACCCGTCCAAGTAATCACTTGACATGACTCTGTTTAGTTTCAGGTGGGAGTTGACGCCTTTAGAGCAGGGCTATTCTGACTCAATAGCTTGGCTGCGAGTGTAAGGTTGTGGGAGTGTCTTGTAGCTATCTCTGTTTAACCAGTACTTACACCAGATATATGTTGTCAGACAGTGTTCAACTCAAATGAAGAGACGAAGCTAAGGTTCCAGATGCTTTAATCCAGGTAAACCTTGTCAAAAATCATACAACAGTAAGTGAAAAATGATAAATTCCCAGGAGCTTAGCAGGCATGTTTTCTCTTCAGAACAAGTATAGCACTGATAGAGAAAGGAGGAGCTATTACACCACATCTAGAGGTATAGAAAGCCAAGAGGGTCAAACTACAAAGGCAGACACAGTATCACAAATGCATGTCAGTGAATATACCAAGTCCTGGCGCATGACAAGGGCTATCAAACATATTTTCACTGAGGGCCACATCAGCCTTATGGTTGCCTTCAAATTGCTGTTAGTTTGAGAATCCATGGATATAGAGGGTCAAGTGGTAGGTGCTCTTCGAGCCCCCTGGTGGTGCAGTGGGTTAAACCGCTGAGCTGCTGAACTTGCTGACTGAAAGGTCAACAGTTCGAATCCAGAGAGTCAGGTGAGTTCACGCTGTTTGCCCCAGCTTCTGCCAACCTAGCAGTTCAAAAACATGTAAATGTGAGATCAATAGGTACCGCTTCTGTGGGAAGGTAATGGCTCTCTGTGCAGTCATGCCAGCCACATCACCTTGGAGGCATCTATGGACAACGACGGTTCTTTGGCTTAGAAATGAAGATGAGCAGCACCCCAGAGTCAGACATGCCTAGACTCAATGTCAGTGGAAACCTTTACCTTTACTTAGGCGCTCTTCGGTTTTTACTCATTTTGTGTGTCCAGATGTTATTGAACTACAGCTCCCATCACTTTTGTGATTCCCCCATGCAGATTGGGGATAATGGGAGTTGTATCCCAACAGCACTTGTGGCTCTGAGGTTGTGGAAAGGTTAAAGAACATTTTACAGTCAGCCATCATATCCACAAACCTCACTATCCTAGCTAAACAGAACAAACCGCAGCCTTCCAGATGTTACTGTCCACCTTAGAACTTGAGTCCTATTGTTGGGAGTTTATCATTTTACCCAGATTTAGAAACCACTTGGATTAATTGTGTGGCTTAAATAAATTGATACCTTCCTAATAAACTATAGACCTCTATTCTAAAATGTCCATGCCTAAATATGTATTGTATTTCCAAGCTGGTAAGCAGGAAACATGAATATTTACTGTCACATGCTTTTGGGCAAAATATAAGTATGTTGGTGATAGCTGAAGGAAAGGATCATGTTTCCTTCGACCATGCCCAAAGTGCAACATTGTACGAGATTTGTTCTGTAGTAAGAAATCATGTAAGGATAACATGAGATATAAATTCCTGGAAATGTTTCCTTTCATGATTCAGAGTAAAATTTAATCATTGAGTAAGAACATAATCATGGGTCAAGGTGCCTTACAAGCAGTCATTCACTAGGGCTATTTAAGGGCATTTGCCTTGGAGAGGTTGATCCTATGATCTCTGTGTGCCAGACAGCCTCTGGACCAGCTTAAGGAAGATGTATTTCAGTGCACTCCCAGCAGCGGCCAAGAAATAAAGACTGTGCTGTTTGGAAAGCAAGTACAGCAATACTTTGAACCCACAACTCTAAGACAACTTCATTATCAAATGCCAGTTACGTTCTCATTTGCTAAACACTATCCCCACCCCCTAAATCCATGCAGCAACACCCCTAGTTATTGCATAGTGACAATATGAATGCTATGGCGGCAATGTAGAATAGGCTTGCACAATCTATGGCTGTTCTGCCCCCACACAATCCAACTGCAGTGATAGTATGATAGCTGGGACCCAGTGCTGCTAGTGTTACGCTGATAGCGCAACAGCGGTTGTGAATGAGGGAAGGAAACACATGTCCGACCATGTGGTTGTGAGAGGGGGCAGACTGAGAAACAAGGGGGGACAAAGTCGGGAAGATAGTTCGTAGTTGCAATAGAAGGAAGGATAGAAAGGAGGGGAGAAATACGAGGAGTGGTGTAAAATCAATCTAATCCACTTTATTGAGGAGTTTCGGACAACAGAGCTGGCCGTGAGTTTTTTGCAGGGATGTAGAATTCTTGCGCAACGCCCTCCAGTTTGTGGACAGCCTGGATGTGGGCTGGGAAGAACATGGAAGGGATTAATAATCTTTTGGGTCAGATTGCTGATTTCTATCCCGTTGAAAATCTTCCCGAACCGTTTCCCAAACTGCTGTTTATCATTTGTCATGAAAGAACTGTTACATTCCTTCAGTGTTATCTGTGTGTCCCCCTGCGTTGAATTACTTCAGTGGTATCCTCCCTCGCCTGCGTTCCGCAATCAGCATTCCCGAAGCACCGTTCCGGAAACAGCAAAACACTAGCAGCTCTGGGTCCCAGCTGTCATACTATCATCCTAACTCCTTGGACAGTGAACTGGTTGTGCAGGGAATAGATGGAGGACACTAAGACAGTAAGATTTAATAACTGAAAAAGCCTTTCTCCTCCCGGGTCTAACTGGCACAGTCCTCGGAGAAGCTGACTAGGGCTTCTGGCAGGCCACAGGTTGTGCAGGTCTGATGTAGAACATAATACATGGTCTCCCTTCCTCCATGTAATATAGAAGCATCCCAAAAAATGTAGGAAATAGTACTTCCTCTTACAGTGATAGCCTAGGTGAGCAACTTATGTCACTGCAGATGTTGCTGAAATACAATTCCCACCATCTTCACCATAGATAGGAAAATCAAGACCTGGTTATGGGACCAAGCATTTGATCAGTGAGCAGCAAGTGGAAGAAGATCACACAACTTATGACAATGAATTGACCCAGACTGTTTTTTTGGATTTCGAATTTGATGGATGTGTCTTAATTAATTGTTTTAATTGTTCTTTCAATATTTCTAATATTTTGATTGTACTGTGGTTGTTTTTATGATGCTAGCATTGTATGATGCTTTTGTTAGGCCGCCCTGAGTCCCCCTTTGGGGGGAGAAGGGTGGGGTATAAATATAGGAAATAAATAAATAAACTACGCTGGTTAAGGCTGATGAGAGTTGCAGTCCAACAACATATAATCCAGCCATCAAATGCTTTCCTTGTAAAACCAGACAACTCCCGGGAGTATGTTCATGTTTGGAATTTTCAAATAATTAGCCATGTTAGTCCTTAAAGCATGAAAAGAAGGAAAGATGGTGTTTTGTTTTGTTTTGTTTTGTTTTGTTTTTCACGTCAGGAGCAACTTGACGCTTCTGGTGTGAGAGAATTGGCCGTCGGCAACGACATTGCCCAGGGGACACCTGGATGTTTTGATATTTTACCATCCTTGTGGAGGCTTCCCTCATGTCCCTGCATGGGGAGCCGGAGCTGACAGAGGGAGCTCATCCACACTCTCCCCGGATTCAAACCTGCAATTCGTCAGTCTTCAGTCCTGCCAGCACAAGGGTTTTAACCCATTGCACCACTGGGGGTTCCTATCAGCATGCTGAAGATAGTTGAAAGAAAGGATCACAGCATCATATTTCCTTAGATTGTGCCAACAAATCAATATCATACAAGATTTATTCTGTAGTAAGGAATTACATAACAATATATAACATGAGGTATACATTCCCTGGAAATATTACAGTCATGTGGTTTGGGGAGGTCCCACTCACAGACTGCCAATAATAAATATGTATCTCTGTTAATGTAGTAGGAGTGTTCTTGAGTATTCCTTCTTTAACAGAAATTTTGGTACCAGAAGCAGAAGTAACATGGAAAGAATAGAGAGACGTTCCTATGTAACGAAAACAAGATCAGCATGGACATGTTTCAGCAGACTTTTTATTGTGAACTAAAGATATGCATATTTGAAATAAGAAACCAGGTCAAGCAAGCATTGCATGACTACAGCCAGCCCTCAACATTCACAGGTTCTACTCCCACTGATTGAACCAACTGGCTTGAAAATACTTGGAGGGAGGGGGGAACCCCGAAACAACCTTGATTATGTCTTGTGCCTAGCACTATCAATGTATAGACATGCTTTACAATAGTCTCTCACCATTTCACAGATCCTTAAACTTTCTCTGACCCTTGTTTTAGCTGTTTCTAAGTACATGCAAACTGTCTGTTTAATTATTTCTTCTAGAATATTTCTTGATACTGATGTCAGGCTAACTAGGCATTAATTATTTGGGTCTTCTTTTTAAATTTTTAATAATAAATAAATAAAAACTTTATTTATATCCTGCCCTATCTCTACGAGCTTCTTTTTGAAAATAGAAACAGCTTTTGATCTTCAGTCTGCAGGGACTTTTCTTGTGCTCCAGAATTATTACCAGTGGCTCAGAGATTCCTGCTGCCATTTGTTTTAATAACCTTCAATGTAGTTTATCCCTAGAGACTTGAATTCATTTAGAGTAGTCAGGTATTCCTGCACTAAATTTTTACATATTCTGTGCCATGCTTCCCCTATTGCATCATCTCTTTAATTTTCCCCAGTTTGTTTGCTGTTTTCCTTTTGGGAGAAGGTGGAGGCAAAAAAGGTGTTGAGTACTGCTACCTTTCATTTGCCCGTTTGTATTTTGCTATTTTGCTATATGTCTATTTCTTGTGTTAAGAGCTCAAGTTCATCTTGTTTATTTCCCATGTTCTGTACATTATTGTAGAGATGTGTCCCTGCTCACAAGACTCAGATGGTGAGGGCGGAAGAGCAGGGTGAAGTGCCAGCTCTTGAGCCTAAGAGTTGTTGCTCCCAGCAACCACAAAACTTGGAGCTGGAAGTAACAGCTTCTGAGCCTGAAAGTAGTTATCCTAAATAGCCACAAAGTCACAGAGGTAGCTAACTTTGTGGAAAGAAGACAAGAAAGAGTGAATATCATAAGATCTCAACACCTTTACCAGAAACACTTGGCAACTGGAACACACAGCTACAATCTGCTGCTGGACTATAAATTCCAGCTGTATGTAACCTTTTTTTGTTGTTGTCAACTGACCTTCATGGTGGCAGCAACAACCCAGCTCTAAATCTTTGACTAATTTTTCCCATGTGACCTAATATTTGCTTCTTTGTAGACTACTTTCTTGGACTTTCCCTGATGGACTCCTTTGATTTATCACTTTTGTGTAGCTCTTGAACTGCTTGATCTAGAGAACACACTCTCTGCTCTGCTGGTAATTCTGGCTTGGATTTTCAGAGAAGAGAAACACACTACTGACTTTGGCCAAAAATAATGGAAAAATCTCACCACTTGGATGTCCTTTCAAATGACAACAATGCAGTTTTTAAAAGGCAGCAAAGCTCTTACAGCACAGACCATGTGCTTTACCACAGATAGAAGGGAGAGGTCTCATGTGGTCCTTGTACTCTGCCAGAAGCCTGGTCTGTGACGCATCACTCACAGATACATACAGATGAGAGAGACTCTGTGAGGAGAATCTAGAGAACCCAGCCTTCAGGGGTTATCAAACCGCAACTCAGTGGAACAGTACAGACCTATGTTGGAGAGGTCACAGGTTTGAGGTCTCAGTTCAAAGAGATTTGAGTAAGGCAGCCCTGTGCCACCCAGGCGAGTATAAGTCGGGAACAGGTCACACTCTAATCCTATTTTACTGCTGTCTTTGACACAGGAGGCAAAAAACTATTAATTGCTGCAAAGACAGGGCTGTAAGAAAAAAAATATTCTTTAAAAGGGATGGGAATGTTCTCTTCCAGATGAACTATCTGCAGGGTACTATACCTCTTTTTTTCATTTTGCAATAATTTTTTATTGAAGACATACAATAAGTTATAATCCACAGAAGTAAACAAGAATAAAAACACCATACATAAGGTAACAAGAAAAAAGAAGTAGAAAAGAAAAAAAGAAGAAAAGAAAAAAGAGAAAAAAGGGAGAAAAAGAGAAAAAAAAAGGGGGGAAAGAAATACAAAATAGAATATATACACACACACACACACATGTTGACTTCCATCTACTTCTTGGTGCTGGTCTCATAATAAGTTGTTACACATAAAACCTCATATTGATTTGCAACACTGCTTTTTAAAATTAATTACAAAGCTGCATGCTTTTCAAACCGATTAGAGATGTGGAAGTCTAGTGAGCAAAAATGGACAAATGGGGGCTCTCCCCTTTCTAAAATATATCAATATTCCAAAGTGGAAAAATACATTAAAAGTAGTGCAGGATAAAATCCCTATGAATGAGGGTGAAATAGAATTTTAAATACAAGGTTTGGGGGTTTAAAAGCACCCCCAATTCACTAGAGTTTTAAAAAATGTTGGAAAGCTTTGGTGGGCCCCTGGAGGGTGGTCCTGTAAGCAGGGGCGGCTCAACCCATTACGCAAAGTAAGCATTTGCAGTATAGTTGATTTTGCCCAGGGGCGCTCTTGAGGCGCTCTTAGGGAAAAATAGATCTTGACATATGCGAGTTGTAGTTACTGGGATGTATAGTTCACCTACAATCAAAGAGCATTCTGAACTCCACCAATGATGGAATTGAACCAAATATTGCACACAGAACTCCCACGACAAACAGAAAATCTATATCAGTGATTGGTTTGGGGGGGGGGGGGGCAATACTGTTTGCTTACCGTTTAAAATTACCTAGGGCCGCCCTGCCTGTAAGTCACATTCAGAGGGCCTGCATGTGAATGATAGCCTACATATCCCCCCCCCCCCCTAATTAGGAAGTACAATTTAGGTGTCCAAGGAAAAGGGGCAGGGTACCAACAAGCTACCAACAAAATGTAAAATAGAACAAATGTAAGAGTTCTAATTGTGAACAATTTTCACTGACATACTCTTCAATGGGTTGCTGTGAGTTTTTCAGGCTGTATGGCCATGTTCCAGTAGCATTCTTTCCTGACGTTTGGCTCACATCTGTGGCTGGCATTTTCAGAGGTCTGTTGGAAGTGAGGTAAATGAAGTGTGTGTGTGTCTGTGGAATGTCCTGTCCAAGGTGGGAGAAAAAACCCTTGTCTGTGTTAAGCAAGTGTGAATGTTGCAATTAGCCAGCTTAAATGGCATTAAGTATCTATGAAGATGCAAAATCAATTGATGAGGGTGTCAGCATAGGACATCTGTGGTTAGCCAAAATCACTAGACAAAGATGACAATTGAGAGGCGGTGTACACATGTCAATCAGAAGCCAGTTTCTGCTCCTGATCTGATATTGTCAGCTGATACCTGCCCAGCTGATTGTCTCCATCAGGCTAAGAGATGGTTGGCCATGGAAACAGGGACTCAAAGTATGTATACTCATTTGAATTCCTTTATTTGACACCCAAGGCCTGATTACGGAAGATCATCACCTTTTGTCTCAAGACCCTTCGTCCCTGTTTTTCCCAGAAAACTTCCTCATTCAAGGACTCATTTACATTTCCTGATATAGACAATTAACTTTCTGAGGCTTGACTCCCTCTGGGAGAGCCACTCACCCACCCAAAGGCTGATTGGCTCTCCCCAAGCCAGCCCCCATCATTTTCTCCCCTCCACCAGAGAGTCTCTGACTAGAGGCAGAAATGTCACAGAAGTGCCAGCCAATCAGAACACTAATTTAGACTGTCCTCTCTGCTGACCAATCAGGAAGGGGAGCAGACAGAGCGGGAAGTCTGAATAGCTGTCAACTGTATAAAAACTCATGTCTCTGTATTGCATGTTATGCTTGTACATTTTGGCATCAGCCCTACTGGCCTGATTGCTAATAAAACTCTATGGCTGTCTTCACTTGGTCAGTGTGTTCTTCAGTTGGGAACTTCAGGTTTTAGTGTAAATGCTTGCCAGGCATGGACCCTCTATATCTGCAGTCCTAGTCTAAATTTGACTTCTCTTTGAAGCTCTTCTGACAGCGATGCCCCAATACACAGATGCTAACAAGTGCAGAGAAAAGGGGTTTAGTCTCAACATCTTTGTGAAGGCCTCTTTGTGAGTTAATTGCTAACTCCCCCAGTCTTTTTTCCAAAAATGTTGTTTGTCAATCATAGAGTTTTAAGACCAGAAGGAAGGACCATCCAGTCCAACCCTCTGCTTTGCAGAAAGACACAATCAAAGCACTAATGACAGATGGCCATCCGGTTTGTGTTTAAAACTCTCAAGAGAAGGAAATTCCATCACACTCCTAGAAAGCATATTCCACCGACATGTTAGATTCATATTTTATTGTTTATCTAGTATGACCTTAAGCAGCAATATTTTATTAATGGGAAATGCTGAGAAAAAGTTAACTTGTCAGAAGTGATGAGTTATCGATGGAGAACATCTCTCAACCAGCTTGCAGAATAAGATCCAAATGAGAGATGGTTCTTATTTTGCTGCATGCCTTTAAAAAAGGTGAAGAGACAGTTGTGGCCTGGAGAAATACACAACTAATGTTCATAATTGTTTTAGTGGTAGAATGAAAGAGACACGCAAATACTGTAGGTACGATAAATATCCACACATACACACACAAACACTTTATAGAGTGATTTGTATTAGCAGACACAGCCACTTTGAACTTATGCTGGCACTAGCAACTGGGGCGTTAAAGGGCAAAGGATAAAAGGATCAAGAGTGTTCACAGGAAGAAAAAAAGGCAGAGGATCAATCCAGTGAGAGGATTAAAAGACAAATATCAACAGGCTGATGTATAAATAAATATTATAAAAAGAATGTGGAAAAGGGATAAGAAAAGTGAGGAGACTGAAATTATATTAATGACTAGCCGTCCCCTGCCAGGCGTTGCTGTAGCCCAGTCTGGTGATCTGGAAAATAAAGTAATGGTTTCTAATCTATGTAATTTCTTTATGCTTGTGGGTAAACAGTATTTCTTGTTGTTTCTTTGTCAGTGTTGATGTGGAGAGTGTCTGGTTTGCCTACTCTGGAATATGCAAGATATAATTGTCCTTCTTTAGGGGTCCCTTTCAAATCTATGATATTATATCTGTGTGTGTGTGAATCATATATATCTATCTGTATCTCTGGCTGGATGGATCTTTGTCAGGAGGGCTTTGATTAGATTTTCTTGCCCTGGTGAAGACAGTTGGACTGGATAGCCTTAAGTATTTTCTGTTGTTATGAGGGTTCTGTGTGGGAAATTTGCCCCAATTCTGTCGTTTGTGGGGTTCAGAATGCTCTTTGATTGTAGGTGAACTATAAATCCTACAACTCCCAAATGTCAAGGTCTATTTCCCCCAAACTCTAGCTGTGTTCATATTTGGGGATATGGAATATTTGTGCCAAGTTTGGTCCAGATCCATCATTGTTTGAATCCACAGTGCTCTCTGGATGTAGGTGAACTACAACTCCCAAACTCAAGGTCAATGCCCATCAAACCCTTCTAGTCTTTTCTATAGGTCATAGGAGTCCTGTATGTCACCTTTGGTTCAATTCCATCATTGGTGGAGTTCAGAATGCTCTTTGATTGTAGGTGAAATATAAATCCCAAGAACTACAACTCCCAAATGACAAAATAAAAAAAAATGAGTAAAGGACATACATTGGGTTGTTAGGTGTATGCTGTCCAAATTTGGTGTCAATTCTCCCACTTGTTTTTGAGTTCTGTTAATCCTACAAACAAACATTACATTTTTATTTATATAGATATGCATTTTTTTAAAAATTGAGAGGCTATTTTTTGTACAAGTTAAGAATGTTGGTCTAAAATTTGGAAGGTCCAGCTGCAAGATGTTACTGAGCCATGAACTTCACTGAGTAACCTTCTGATGTATTTATTCTTTTCTTATTAAACGTTGCTAGAAAAACTCTCAGATGGGTTGCCATATGTCAGAGTTGACTTGAAAGCACAGAACCACCACAAATGGCTACAGATAGCTATCTTTGGCAGCAGCAACACTTGTCCCATTGCATCACTGATTAATCTTTGGGTGTATCTACACTGTAGAATGAATGCAGTTTGACACAACTTTAACTGCCATGGCACAATACTGTGAGATCATAGGATTTGTAGTTTTCTATGGTCTTATGCTTTCTCTGCTAAAGAATGTAAATGTCTCATCAAACTACAAATCCCATAGTTCCACATTACTGAGCCATGGGAGTTAAAATTGTGTCAAACTGCCTTAATTCTACAGACCTTGTTGATTTTGGTGGGCAAATGAGCAGCCTGAATGTCTGTTACATAGAAATGTACACAGCTGTCCTTAAAAGCAACAGCAGATGGCGTCCACTGAGTCAAGAAGTTAGCCCTACATTTGGCAAAACCCCCAAAGAAGAGATGACACCAAAGCAGCCGGCTAATGGACACGTGGGGTCCAGCCTTCTCTCCAAAAGAGTCCAGCTGTGAGGCTGGGCTTTCGCCAGGCTGGGGGCTGCAATAACCTTACCACAGCCGCCAACAGAAGCAGCTCAGCAGAAGCAGCAGCAGGAGCAGCAGCAGCAGCAGCTCTGTAGCAGGTATGATGGATGGATGCTGAGGGGATCCTAAGGTGTTTCTGGTAACAAGGCATGGAGAAGCTATAGAAAAAGTAGTAGAAGCTTATCAATAGGAGTGCTTAGGGACTCAACATTTGGCTGGATTTTCTATAGGCAGAAAAAATGTCAAAAGCACATAGGTATTTGAGGAATATGCTCTGAGAAATGTCAGATGAAATATTATATGACTACCCAAGATCATTGGTGTTGAAGCTGTAGGAGGAGTGGAAGCATGTTCCATTCTGTACAGCCATTTGAGGTCTGAAGAGTGATCGAATTTAGTGAGATAAACTGATCATATGATATGGCAAGTACAGTTTATAATAACATAATTCCTATTTTTATAATGCTCTGTTCCTAAACACACTTCACCAAAATAAGTTTAAATTAAATCAGCAGAATGTTCAAAATGAATTTGTTTAGAAACAGGGTATGAGGACAGTGGAATATATAAAATATAATAATCCATTCTGAAGCATTGTCTTATGTAATTACTTTGGGACTATGTGAAAAATGAAATAAAGTTATTACATTTTGACTCATGAACTATAGTCGGTATCTTTGATCCTGTAGGGGAACAACTTTTGGATATCATAGTTTTCTCTTAATTTCTCATAATGTTATTATATGAACCTATTGATTGTTCCCGATATCTAAATTAGGATTATTGAATAATTGTTTCAGATTCTTTATTGCTAGATCTCTATTATGATGTACCTCTTAATTTACATAATTATTTATATAACTGGGATGCTGGGAGCTGGATTTGGGGGCTTGTGTCGTTTTAAAATGTAGTTTTTACACTTTTATGCTTCATCGCACAAAAGATGTCATTATTATGGTTTTAATTGTGGCATGTTGTTTATTATTGGCTGCCTTGGGTCCCTATATAGGGAGAAAGGCAGGATAAAATGTAAGTAAGTAAATAAATAAATAAATAAATGTATATTTTCTCATGCAAGTGATTGTATAGCAAGATGATGATGATATAATCTTCAAATTATTCATCTTCCAAACATTGTATGCATTTGGTATAATTTTGATTTGAATATTCTGTATACACTTGTACCTAAACCATTCCACTGATGGTTCTCAGTGTAATACTATACCATAGTGCTGCAGCAGACTGTGTTCGTACCATCGAGACATGTAGCCGGATTAATCCTTGCTTTCTATTGCAGTAGAACAATGAGTGAACGCACTTTCATAGCTATCAAGCCTGATGGAGTGCAGCGAGGCTTGGTTGGAGACATTATCAAGCGATTTGAACAGAAGGGATTCAAACTGGTAGCCATGAAATTCATGCATGTAAGTTGTCTTTGTCTCTGTCACTTCTAGTCAGATAGTCTATTATTCTCATTAGAAATACTTGTTTGCCCATAAAGTTTCCTGGTCATTTATGCAGCACTTAACATTGCTAATTTCTCCCACTTTTCAATTAATTCTTTTTAATTAACTATTTTATTGTTTTGACTTTATTTATTTTATTGTTTCTAGTAGTTGGTTTTATTCTCTCATTTTCACTGTAAGCCACTTTTGAGATTCTGAAAATATCAAAGGTCATTAAAATGCTCATTGGTTCACCAATTCAAGCAAATAAATCCATCCTTCTCCGAGATAGCCTTATATTTTGGAATCTTTCCAATACCTGGCAGATGATAAAGCCACGCTGAGTACTCTAATTTTAGTAAGTGGTGGCCTTAGTCTGAAAGGTGAGTCCTCCAACGTAGATTTTAAACTTAAAGCTTTGGGTGTTCTTGGAGCTGCAAAAATCAGTAAACTGGTGTCAGCAGAAAACATATGGACAAACAAACCAAAATAAATATTTCGGACTGGTATTGGGCAGCCCCTCTTCTAATACAGTGCTGGGACCAGTCTTTGAAAAGGATGCATGCAATTTAAGGATTAACACTGCCCCTGTGGCTAATGTTATGTGACATAAGATGCTCTTAAGTTCTTATGCTAAGCATTTTGTTCCTGCAGGCCTCTGAAGATCTACTGAGAGAACACTACATTGACCTGAAAGATAGGCCATTCTATGCTGGTTTAGTTAGATATATGCACTCTGGACCTGTTGTAGCCATGGTAAGTTTTCATATATACGCTTACTGAAAGTTTTAGAATGAGGCAAGTTATCTAGATTATACTTGACTTATATGTGTGTGTGTGTGCACGCATATGCATTCAAATTGCCTGCCAATTTATGGCAATCCCCTTAATTCCATAGGATTTTCGCAGGCAAAGAATATTCAGAGATGGCTTCACCAATTTCTTCTACTTAAATTTGCCTACATCATCTGGTATTTGTTGGTAGGGACAGATTCTGCCAGTAAGAACTACAGGAATAGCTGCTTTCTCTTGTAAGTGATTTTCCAAGCTCTAATGCTCTGGTTGTCAAAGGCAGGAAGGTTAAACTATCTGCTGAGAAATACCCATGCCAATATCTTTTAGTTCTAATAGTCTGTCTGTAGAATTCAAAGACATAGCCATGCCAGTCTGGAATCTTGTAGTATTTTAGAGACTAACGGAGCAGCCCCAGTTAGTCTCTAGTCGCCTCAGGGTCAACAGTTCTCAGAAATGATTTGATAACACAACAGCAACAAAGCATAGCTTTAATAGACGAAAAAGCTCTTTGTTGCGTGGCAAGGACAGGGCCTGTCATGTGCCATCGGGCAAAGCATGGCAGTCCCTGCCCATATTCCTCCTGAAATGGAGTGGAAGCACCAAAAGACGCTTCCTCCTCCATTCTGGGGAGGAAAGTAGTTTGGGTAGCTCTGATGGAGGTACCCGGACTTTCCTCCCCTTTCCCCTTTTGATGGGGGGAAAAGGTGGAGGGGCCACCCTTCGTCTCACCTAATGAGCTGCCCCATGCGCCTTCCTTTTGCTGGCAATTGCTGGCACAACGGCACGGCCCAAAAGAGCCGTGTGAAGAGATAGTCTACTTCTTCAGATGCACGTGTGTCCATCTGTGATAATTCACCACAGATATGAGTGACCACAATATGGCTAACTGGTTTGTGATGGTAAAAGAGAGGGACTAAAGCACATAGATATGTTATTACTGAGGTCAGAGAGTTAATCTGTTCCTGTGAGATTTGAATGTGTTTCTGCATTTAGTAACTCTTTTGATTTATCAGGCTTTTTGAACTGAGCATATTTATATTTATTTTAAGTTGATTCATCTACTCCCCTTGGATTTCAAGGCAGCCAACACAGGTGGAGTCCTTTTGTAGTCTTTCATCCAGGCATTGACCAAAGAACTTGTAAATGTTCTGGTACATATTAACTGACATTGTTTTGCTAATGTCTTAATGATTTTAAAAACTCTGATCAGTGGAATTAATAAAAAGATCCATAAAACACAAAAAAGTCAGTAGTACTATACACTACTGAATTGCTGTTTTCACTTACTGTATCAACACAAGGAAAACAAGGTGGAAGCAGTCCAAGGTCCCATCTAGACTGACCATTTAATGGAATTTCAAGCCAGTATTAATGAGTGGTTCTTTGTGCAGATAATTACATAGAATCATAGAATCAAAGAGTTGGAAGAGACCACATGGGCCATCCAGTCCAACCCCCTGCCAAGAAGCAGGAATATTGCATTCAAATCACCCCTGACAGATGGCCATCCAGCCTCTGTTTAAAAGCTTCCAAAGAAGGAGCCTCCACCACACTCCGGGGCAGAGAGTTCCACTGCTGAACGGCTCTCACAATCAGGAAATTCTTCCTCATGTTCAGATGGAATCTCCTTTCTTGTAATTTGAAAAGGAAATCCTAGAACCAGTTTGAGGCCCATAGGGTTATGACACAAACCACAAAACACTGGTGCGCATTTAGGACTCTCTTTTACACATTTTTGTAGGAATTTGATGTATGGCTGCCACAGTTTGAAGCTAGTTTTGAACTGAATTAAATGGTCAGTGTAGATGGGTTTGCCTCCTCTCTAAAGTTCCAAAGCCTGAGAACAGCCACAAAGAAAGTCTTCTTCAGACTTAACTTTAGGAGACAGCTAGCTTCAAAACTGTCTTCTAGCAACAAATTATAATTGCCAATTCACAGTTAAATACCATATGCAAAGAACTGAGCTGAAATGTGAATAATGCTGCTTTGAGATCTGTATACTGATTGAGTTCTATTCATATTGATACAAACCTGTTAATAATGTGGCCTTTGTTTTTTAAGCTGATTTGGATTGGATATACCTAATTTTACTCTAGTCTAATGCCCCATTGAATCTAATGCACACCAGTTTTCAAAACACTAAAATTTAACAAAATGCTGCCGAATGTAATGTGAAGCAGCAAGAACTGCACTATTTGAAATTTGGTCAAAAACAGTATGCATTACTGTCACTGCCTGCTTAGAATTCCTTCATTACAGCAGTGGAAAAGAAAACCTTGGAGTACATCTGTGCTTTTGAATGAATCCACTTTTTTTGCCTTGGTTCAATGCTAAGGAATCCTAGGGGCTGTAGTTTTACAAGGTTTTGAGCTTCCTCTGCCAAAGAATGCTGGTATCTCACTAAACTACAGATCTCAGAACTGCATAGTATTGAACCCTAGCCATTTAATTAGAGATGGCATCCCTCAAAGAGAAGCCCCAGGTGCATCACCTGAAGCAGCTTCCCCTTTTGCTTTCACTCTGCACTAAGATTGATGGAAATCTAGTGCACACCCCAATTTTGGAAAGGTCATTTAGCCAAAAAAGGTGAGCATTAGATTCTAGTAAATAAGATATATACCTGCTAACAATATTTATTTATTTGTTTGTTTGTTTGTTTGTTTGTTTGTTTGTTTATTTACTGTATTTGTATACCGCCTTTCTCAGCCAGTCGGCGACTCACTAGAACCCACTAATACCTTTAAAAACTCATAGAACAGAGCTAGGACTACAGAATATAACAACATATTCAAAAAACATGTACAAAATAGAAGCAAAGTAAAACGAATCTAATTGACAGGATTTAAACAAGTGCAATGCAGTTTTTAAAAACTGGAGAAGTCTGGGATAATAAAAATGTCCTTTCATTGTGCTAGAAAAAAAAATCAAAGACAGTCCTTTCAATCTCAGTTCTTTGGCTGTTGAAGGTATGGGAAGGCCTTAATGTGGTAAAGACTGGGAGAGTAATGCTGGGAGAAACTAATCCTGCAGACTCCAAGCCCGGGACAATTCGTGGAGATTTCTGCGTACAAGTTGGCAGGTAAACTTGTTGTTGTTGTTGTTGTTAAAATGTCAGCTTCAATTTATGGTGATCTTATAAATGAGATAACTCCAAGTCACCCACTTGTTCAAATCTTGCAGACGTGATACCATGGCTTTTTTAATTGAGTCTGTCATCCTCTAGTACCACCTTCTTCTTTTCCTACTGCCTTTATTGTCTTTTCTAGAAAGTCATGTTTTGTCATGGTATCTCCAAAGTATAGAAGTGTCAGTTCAATTATCTAGAAAGGGTTCAGGCTTAATTTGCTCAAGGACCAATTTAAAGGTCTTTTTAAAGCAATCCACAGTATCTGGAGAATTCTCCTCTACTGTCACATTCCAGATGTGTTTGATTTTCTTCCTAATGGCTTTCTTCATTGCCCGATTTTACCAAGCATACATAGAAATGAGAAATATAATGGGATGGACAATTCTAATGATATTAAGTGATAGATCTTCACACCTTAGGTACTTGTCTAGTTCTTTCACAGCTGCCCATCCTAGTCTTCTGATTTCTTGACGACAGTCTCCTTTCTGACTATCGCTTGAGCTGAGATATTGAAAATCTTGTTAACACCTTCATCCACTTTAATCAGCCATGGTCATTATTTTTGTTTTCTGTTCATCTGTAAAACTGCCTTTGCACTTTCTTCCTTGACTTTTTTCAGTAAATCTTTCCAAGTTTTTGCATTTTTTGCTAATAATATGTCATTTGCATCTTTTAAATTGTCGCTCTCCAATTTTCATGATTCCTTCCTCCAAGTGCAATCCTGCATTATATTCAGCATATAAGTGAAACAAGGTGATAAAATGGAGTATTGCCTCACTTCCTGATCAACTGGAAACCATTCCAGTCTGAATTCTGTCCTGACAGGAGTCTCTTGTCTGGAGTACAGGTTATGCGGGTCAAACAAATATTGTGGCACACTCATGTTTTAAAGAATGATTCATCATTCTTCATAATCTCTACACTATCAAAGGCTTTGTTATAATCTATAAAGCTAAGACTGATTTTATTTTGGAATTATTTGGTGCACTCCATTATCCAATGAGTGTTTGCAATATGATCCCCAGTGTGTTTTCCTTTCCTTAACTTAGCTTGAACATCTAGTATTTCTTGCTCCATACATGGTATATGGTTTTGTTGTAGAAGTTTGAGCATGGGAAATTAATGTAATGTAATCCTGTGGTTACTACAATTCCTGGTGTATCCTTTCTTGAAGAGAGAAATGTATGTTAAAAGTTTCCAATCTGTAGGTCGTTCTTTTGTTTTCCATTTTTAGCTAGAACTAGAGTAACTTCTGCCTCTTGCACTTGAAGCTGCACTACCGGTGTGCCATCTGTTCCTGATTATTCATTTCCCAAAGTGCCTTGAGTGCAGCTTCCACTTTTACCTTCTAAAACTGCATGCCCATCTTCAAATGGTTCTTCCTTGAATTAATGTCATCTTTTCATCTCCTTTATATAGTATCTCGGTATATTGTTTCTACCATCTTTTAAATTGTACTTGGTTATGTAATGTATTATTCTGCTGCTTGTAGAACATCCCCACTCTTGGCTTAAAGTTTCATTTGGTTTCTCTGATCTTGTAAAAGAGGTTTCTTGTTCTGCCCTTTGTATTGTCATCTTCTATTTTTCTGCATGGATTATTATAGTAGTTTGCTTTGTCCCTGTGTCCAAGTCACTGAACAGCTTTCCCTATTTCATTCTTCTCACATTCTGTTTGTCAAGCTGCTTCAGACTTTACTTTCTCCTCTGAGAACGTTGATGCTGAAGGCCCTTTCGGCTTTAGTCCAGTTCTATCATTAGCCATGGTGCTACTCCTCCTTGTCTGGTACTGTACCCCAGTACCTTGTGAATTTCTACTAACCTGAGAGTGTTAGTGTATGGAACTATCGCTTGCTTCATATCGCTTGCTTCATGTCTTGTAGGATTTTTTAGTTAAAAGACATTCCAAAAGATTTAACATGCCCCCTTTTGTGCAGTATTAGCAAGTACTAGCTATGGTGCCACTGCTGTTATATTTGAGAGATGTCATACCCCATGACAACTGCTGCATAGGAGCTGTTTGGCACATTCTGTCTGGCTACTCAGCAAAAGCCTGCGTACCCCGGGGGAGCCCTCTACCTCCACTGATGCCATCAGCATAGTATCTTCATCGAATCATAGAGCTGGAAGAGACCACATGAGCCATCTAGTCAAACCCCCTGCCATGTAGGAAAAGCCCAAAGTATCCCCGACAGATGGCCATCCAGCCTCTCTTTAAACTTTTCCAAGGAAGGAGCCTCCACCACACTTTGAGGCAGAGAGTTCCACTGTTGAGCAACTCATTTGGTCATTTGGAAGTTCTTCCTAATGTTCAGGTTGAATCTCCTTTCCTGTAATTTGAATCAGTTGCTCCTAGTCCCTGTTTCAAGAGCAGCAGGAAACAAGTCTGCTCCCTCTTCCTTATAACACTATTTCACATATTTATAAAGGCTATTATGTCTCCTCTCAACCTTCTCTTCTGCAGGCTAAACATACTGAGTTCTTTAAGATGCTTCTCATAGGGATTTATAGTCCCCAGACCTTTGATCATTTTAGTTGCCTTCCTCTGGAAACTTTCCAGCTTGTCAATATTTCTTTTGAACTGTGGTGCCCAGAATTCGGTACAGTATTCCAGTTGAGGTTTGACCAAAGCAGAATACAAAGGCACCATGACTTCCCTCAATCAAGACACTACACTCCTTTTGATGCAGCCCAAAATTCCATTGGCTTTTAAAGCTTTGCATCACACTGTTAGCTCATGTTCAACTTGTTGTCCACAAAGACTCTTAAGATCTTGCCTCACAGACAGATAGTTACCTCACCCTGCAGAGGTAGTGCCTTGGAGGGTTTAAAGATCATAACATTAAAATAGCCAAGTATTTTCTTGTGTGTGTGCGTGGGGTTTTTTTGTTGTTTTTTTTAAAAGGAGGCAAAAGAAAACTTATTATTCTTATATATGTTTATATTTCTGTTTGTTTAACACGATAACCGCAGTTTAATTTTATTTTAATTATGTTTATTTAGAAATATAATTCATGGCAGTGACTCTGTAGAAAGTGCTGAGACGGAAATCAACCTATGGTTCACTCCTGAAGAACTGGTTGACTACACAAGGTGTGATCATGCATGGATCTATGACTGAAACCTAACATGCTATCCTAGGCTATGTCTTTGTTCTGTTGACTATTGGTCTTTAAACAGTCCCTACTGCCATTATTCTTTAGGGTTGTTTTCCTCAACATAATTTCAAGTATATTTTTGGAAGTATTACCTGAGCTTCAAAGTATATATGTAATAATGTTTGCTATTTTGCCTCAAGTAAAAGGTTCTAATTATTGAATTGTTTTTCTTATTTATTTTTTTGTCTAGTCCATTTATTTTATTTTTCTGTATGGAGTATAATTATTTTAGTATTGAAAACAGAAAAATTTAAAAGAACCTCTCGTTGAAAATAAGTACAACAAAAGTGATTAAATAGAAATAAAAGTTATTTCATTTTATAATACCCCAAATGAAATGCCTGAGGGGGCTGCCTCACTCTGCCTAATAGTAGGTCTGGCCCAGAAGGCTAATACTTAATTCTGTATTTCTTTAATTCTATGACATCATCAACTGTAAGACGCACACTGATTTTAGTACCACCAACAGAAAAAAGTTTTCTTATGCATATGTATATACATACACACAAACACCTGTAATTCTAAGATGCATCACATTTTAGAGAAATCTATATTGGGGGGGGGGTGCATCTTAGAATCGAATAATACAAAATTATAATCTTAATTATATTTATTTGTATTTAATGGATTCAACCCAGTATTTTAGATTAAGTTAAGCTTGTGTTTATATGTTTTAAAGATCATACAATATACCCTGGTTGCACAACAGATCACACAAATGATTTAGGGTATAACTAGTATATGACCTAACATTGATTCATAGAGGAGTTGCTTTGTTAAAGTTTGAAATGTCAAAGGATGGATGCTCTAAGACAAACAACAGCATTATAAGGTGATTGAAATACTGTGTAAATAACTGCATATTGAAGAATGATCAAATTTGTACTACAATGAGGTTGTATGTAGTGTAGCAAATGTTAGTAAGGATAGCCACATTATTTCAATGTAAAAAGGATGAGTCTTGAAACACTTTGAAGAGTAACCTTTTTTTCAGCATATTTTACTGAATGAGGACTTATTTTGATGCAACATTTTGAAATGTTAAGTTGAACATTGTTTTTGCTTCAACTGAATATGCCTCAGGTTACAATATCACTTTGAAAATAAAACTTTCTACAGATGGTTATTCCTGTATTTTGTTCCCCCTCCCTCTCTGGCATTGCTCATTTGTGTCATTTTAAAGCAAGATAAATATAGCTGCTTATGAAATGTGCTTCTATTAGAAAAGAAGATTACTGTGTAAGCTCAGTCCTTCTGCTACCGATTTCTGTAATACTGTTCAATGTGGAAAATGAGGGTATTATAGAATTGCTGCTTCATTCAGCTGAGCTATCCATTTTCTTTATTACATCTACATGGATGTTTCTTTTTCCTGATTATCTGGATTAAAAATAAAACATACCCAAACAAGATCGTTTCTGATAACATGTCAAATGGGAGCTGAGAATCTGGGCTATGGTTTGAGATGGTGTCTGAAATGAAAAAGCAGTTTGTAGTGTGACAGGAAACCAAGAATCAAAAATAGTTTAAAATGGGTTTGCAAATCATGGATGGAACCATGTTAGCAGAACCATGTTCCCATCAGAAAAAAATCCAGAGAGGTAGTCATGTTAATCTTTTCATGCGGAAACAGCAAGGAACCTAGTCAAACTTTAAAGACTGGCAATATGGACAAGTTTTCCTAAAATAGGCCTGCACTGATGCCTCTATTAAGAATTATGATGTGGTCCCAAAAGTTTATGGAAAATAGAACTTGCTAGTTTTTAAGATGCCACAATTTCATTTCGCGTTTAAATTGATATGAGAAAGTCTTAAATCCCATTGATCTCAGTGGGTACTAAATTTTAACTGTGAATCTAGTGCCATTGTTTATATTAATTAGAAATTACAAAGATGTGTGAGTTACCCTGTTATAGAGGTCTCTGAAGACTGAAGAGCTAGGCTAATAGAAAATGAAAGCAAATTGGTGGCTCTATATATCAGTTGTCGGTACATTTGGAAGCATATAGTTTGATTTCTCAAAACTGAACACAGGAAACATATACTAGTCTGTTGCGGTATTGTCTGGTGTGACTGGCTCCAATTCTACAACATACGTGGAACTTCTTTCCTGTCATCTGCTATTTGATTTTTCTAACTGGAGATGTGCAACTGAACTTGGGCTCTTCTGAACAGAGCATGTACTCTGGTCCTTCTCTTGCTGTATACCATATTTCATTGCATGATAGTCACCATTGCATAATAGTCACCCACCCCAATTCTGGGTGCCCCATTTTTGGGATTTATGTATCCCTTGCATAATAGTTGCAGCGTCGCCTACACGCCTGTCCCTCAGAGTAGCCCTCATAGCTCCATGGGGAAGGCGTACGGGTGGGTGAAGGCGAAAGACCTAGGAGACTTCCCTTGCTATTTCTACCCCCTATCCTAAACAAATGTTTAGATGGAGTGGAATTTAAGTATGGAAATGGTACACAAAATGTCTCCTTAGCTCTTTGGAGTGAGTTTTCAGTCTATTTGTGGGAATCGTGCGCTTATTTGGAACATCCATCTGTCCCTTGCACTATACAGTGGTTAGTACTGGACTACAAAAGTTTATGTGTTCAAGACGAAGGCTGATGTTCAAATCTCCATTTGGGAGGAATCCCGAAATAGACATCCTTAAATACAAAGAGTTTTTCAAACACAAAATGTACTCCATGTGTTTAGTGGAGCTTACTACCAGGTAGGTGTTCATACAAAAGATGGCAGGCAACTATTATTATTTGCTGGTCTCAATGACAGTCAGGGTTTTAGTCTTTCTTAGCCTGTGGTCATTTCCTACAGTTCTCTTTGATAATGCCTGAGGAGCTGAAACTACATAGGAGTCTAACAACTTATCCCATGAGCAGGAAGGGAGGAGGAGAAAGCAGGGGAAAACATCCTTAATAGTGGGGATGTGACCTATCCTGAAAAGATCTGTATTTGGGGATGGTTTCCCATCTCATGGTTTTGTTTTTTTTTGTTTTTTTGGATTTTTTTTGTTGTTGTTTGTTTTTTGTTTTTGTTTTGCCGTGTCAGGAGTGACTTGAGAAACTGCAAGTCACTTCTGGCATGAGAGAATTGGCCGTCTGCAAGGACGTTGCCCAGGGGACGCCTGGATGATTTTTGATGTTTTATCATCCTTGTGGGAGGTTTCTCTCATGTCCCTGCATGAGGAGCTGGAGCTGATAGAGGGAGCTCATCCGCGCTCCCCCCGGATTCAAACCTGCAACCTGACGGTCTTCAGTCCTGCTGGCACAGGGCTTTAACCCACTGCGTCCCCGGGGGCTCATAATGGTGTTTTCCTGCTTTCCTCCGCTTCCTGTTGCTGTCATCTTTCAGGAGTTGGTGGAACACCTGATTCCTGAAAACAGACTTTTATCTCTGTCTTTTCGATATGGATTTCAATGCACAGCCACCAGATATGGCTGTGTATTGCAAGAAGACCTATATTTGACTCAATTAGCCAGCGTATGAAGATCGTGAGAAAATGGGGGAAATTTAGGTTGGGATAAGATCCTTAGTGGTCCAATTTGTCAAATTATTTGAGAGGGAGCTTCAGCTTTCATGGGATGACCCTCCCATTCTTGATTCATGACACATTGTTATGAAGTTCACCATTTTATTTTAGGCCAATCTATTTCACAAGTATGTTATGGTGATAACGGTATGGACAGTCATGTAGTTTGTGATCATTTGAGGAACAATTAAATATAAATGAAACTAGCAGACATACTTCTTTGACTATCCAGAAGAACAAAGAGTTATATAGTCACACAAATAGTGGGATGGGCGTGAGTCAAAGGTCATTCACAGTCACAACCTATGTATGCTTGTTCAGATGCAGGTCCTGGGAATCCAATGAGAATTCCTTTTAAACTTAGTGTAAGCTTGGTGAAGAGTCTGAATCTGCAGCTTTTGTCTGCAGGGTGGATGAAGCTTGGCTGCTTTCATAGCACTCATAGTAGTTCATTGCTATGGGGCAATGTAACCCTTTTTATTTTAATCTGTGGAAATTTGTGGGCTTGCAGTGCATTACAACCTATGTTTGCTGAATACAAGGAATGACTGCAACTGACAAATCATTGACCCTGCAAGTGAAAGTTATTTTCCCAGATTTGTCTATGGATTCTCCCAATACCATCCCTTAGTCCAGGCATCTTCAAATTGAGGCCCTCCAGCCCAAAATTCCTGACAATTGAACAAGCTTGTTGGAGGCCCAAACAGCTGGAGGGCTGCAGTTTGAGGATGCCTGCATTAGTCAGTGGTTTTCAACCTGTGGGTCCCCAGGTGTTTTGGCCTACAGCTCCCAGAAATCCCAGCCAATTTACCAATTCTTAGGATTTCTGGGAGTTGAAGGCCAAAACATCTGGGGACCCACAGGTTGAGAACCACTGTTAGGTTTTGCCCTTATGTTTATGCTACTTGTAACGGATTAGCCTACCTTACAAGGTTGGTGTAACGGATTAGCCTACCTTACAGGCAGTAAACAGGCCTGGCTTAGAAAAGCTAAGGAGAGCAGAGGGGAGGAGCAATCAGGCAGCTTCATGGCTGGAAGTGAAGTCTGATTGGCTGATGGAGGGAGTTGCTTAGCAACTGGAGATGGGCGGAGCCAGGGGACAAGTAAGAGCTAATGTAGTCAGAGTTCAGTTCAGTTGGGAGTTTGGTGTTTGAAGAATTATTTAGGAGTTTTGAAGGAGAAGGAAGAGTTTTGGGAACTGTTTCTTAGTAAGATACTTCTTTGAAGAAAATAGTTAAAGCCTTATAGTAGGCCTCTCTAGTGTTAGAGTGCTGGAGGGGAAAGAAGGTTCAAAAGGTTCAAAATATCCTGTTTGTATTCCCGTGTGAAACATTGCTTTTAAGAAACTCAAGTTATAAGACCATTCTCCATAAAAAGTAAACCTGATAGATTATTGAAACCACTACACATCTTTACTGTCCAAGAACAAAATAAACAACATAGTCTTGTTTTATTTCATCTGAAGAGTTTGTGTGGCTTCTTGAACATTCTAGTGACGGAGGTGGCCTATGAATCAATAAATGGTGGCAGCAAAAGAAACCTTTAATAATAATTTGGTGGCAGCAAGGTATGTGTGTGTATACACACACACACACACATACAGTGGCAGCATCCCACTGTGTATGTGTGTGTCCTTGCCCCTCGGCCTTCCCTGGCCAATCTGTCATTTATTGCAATTTATGGCAGTAGTGGGATTCGAACCCACACCCCTGAAGAGACTAAAGAGACTGCGACTCATGGTTATGGCACCCTAATTGTCACTGCATGTGGATGGCAATGTTTCCACACCACATGCATGAATGGGAACAAAGTGAAGAAATGTTAACAACACACAGCAGACAGAAGGATATCCGGTAAGTGTGGTTTATTTATTTATTTCGTATATTTGTATTCCATCCTTCTCACCCCTTTAGGGACCTCAGGGCCGCCTCACAATCAGTAACCATGAGATGCCCAAACAAGACAATTATAATAACAATCTACATTGGTTTATGTCTTTAAAAATAAATACTTCAACACGATACCTTTTGTTGGGGAGAATCCAATCCTGTGAAGAATCTGCCTGGCTCCCTCTGACGAAGACAGTAGTCCCACCACAGTCACCTGGAGGACTGTGTTCAGTTCTGGACCAACTCGTTTTAAGAAAGATACAGAGAAGCTGGAGTCCTGAGAGAAAAGCAATCAGGATCATTTGAGACATGGCGCAGGAAACATCTGAAAGAGCGGCTGAAGGAGCTGGGCATGTTCACCTCGGTGAAGAGAAGGCTGAGGGATAGCATATTCGCTCTCTTTAAATACCTCAAAATGACCGCAAAGAGCTGGGCGCAGCAAGCTTGCCTTCCCAAATTCTTGATAGTTTTAGTATTCTCTGGAACATAAGTTTGGTCTCTTTGGTAGGAATTCTAGACCTCTTTTGTGCATTCTCTCATTGGGTTGCTGTGAGTTTTCCAGAATGTATGGCCATGTTCCAGAAGCATTCTCTCATGACATTTCACCCACATCTATGGCAGGCACCCTCAGAGGTTGTGAGGTGTGTTGGAAACTATGCCAGTGGGATTTATATATCTGTGGAATGTCCAGGGTAGGAGAAAGAACTCATCTGCTTGAGGCAAGTGAGAATGTTGCAATTGGCCACCTTGATTAGCATTGAATGACCTTGTAGCTTCAAAGCCTGGCTGGTTGCTTCCTGGGGGATCCTTTGTTGGGAAGTGTTAGCTGATTGATCCTTGTCTGGAATCCCCCTGCTTTTTGAGTGTTGCTTTTTATTTATTTATTTATTTATTTATTTACAGTTCTTGTATTCCGCCCTTCTCACCCCGCAGGGGACTCAGGGCGGATTACAGTAAACACATATATGGCAAACATTCAATGCCAGTTTGACAAACAACATTTAAAGACAAAGGCTATTTAACTTTTTTTTTTCTGGCCGCCAGGGGAGCTGCTGCTTTTCATCGTCCATCAACGACACCGATGAAGTTCTTCCGCATTCCACATTCCCCGGAGTCTTCTTTCTTTATGGCCTCATAAATTAGTTATATTTACAGTCCTCAGACAGCAACCATCTGCCTTTTTTGTTGAGGAGAACCCAGGCCTGTGAAGAATTTGCCTGGCACCATCTGAGGAAAGCAATAGTTCCACTACATTTGATCACAATAATCAAGGGTCTGGAGAACAAGCCCTATGAGGAGCGGCTTAAAGAGCTGGGCATGTTTAGCCTGAAGAAGAGAAGGCTGAGAGGAGACATGATATCCATGTATAAATATGTGAGAGGAAGTCATAGGGAGGAGGGAGCAAGCTTGTTTTCTGCTGCCCTGGAGACTAGGACGCAGAACAATGGCTTAAAACTAAAGGAAATTCCTCTGAACATGAAGAACTTCCTGACTGTGAGAGCCGTTCAGCAGTGGAACTCTCTGCCCCAGAGTGTGGTGGAGGCTCCTTCTTTGGAAGCTTTTAAACAGAGGCTGGATGGCTATCTGTCGGGGGTGCTTTGAATGCAATTTTCCTGCTTCTTGGCAAGGGGTTGGACTGGATGGCCCATGAGGTCTCTTCCAACTCTATGATTCTATCTATGACGCCACAAGTCTTGCGGAGGTTTACCGAGCCCCCGGTGGCGCAGTGGGTTAAAGCATTGAGCTGCTGAGCTTGTTGATCGAAAGGTCGCAGGTTCGATTCCGGGGAGCGGCGTGAGCTTCCGCTGTCAGCCCTAGCTTCTGCCAACCTAGCAGTTCGAAAACATGCAAATGTGAGTAGATCAATAGGTACCGCTCCGGCGGGAAGGTAAGGGCGCTGCCGGCCACATGACTTCGGAGGTGTCTACGGACAACGCTGGCTCTTCGGCTTAGGAATGGAGATGAGCACCACACCCCAGAGTCAGACATGACTGGACTTAATGTCAGGGGACTACCTTTACCTTTACCCAGGCCTTACTTGGAGGACTGTGTTCGGGGAGGGGAGGGGCGGGGCTCTTCTTGGCCGCGTCGGCGCGGGGCGGGGCCGGTGTCCTTCTGGGCGCCGCCGGGCCTGGCTCCGCCTCTCTTTCTTTCTCCGCAGCATCCGGGGAGGACGGCAGCTGCAGCCACGTTGCCCAGGCGAGTGGCCCTTCGCTCTTCTGGGGCCGGGGAGGGAGGCAAGGGGTCCTGGGGGGAAGCGAGGCGGCTTCTCCCTCAGAGGGGAGGCCCCCGGCGTGAGGGGAGGCGGCCTCTGAGGCGGGAGGGAGACCCAGTGTTGTGGTCGCATGGCTCTCAGGCCTTCCCAAGCTTCCGAAGGAGGGGAAACGGAGGCTCCCTCCTAGGATAGGCCCTGGTGCGTCTCCGGGAAGGGGAGGGAGCCTCGCATTTCCAAAATGGCTCCTTTGAAAGGCCCTCGCCCGGCAGAATGGCAGCTGAGGGCGGGCCCGAAGGGTTCAATGGCGCCCAGCGCTGCCCTTGCCTTGCACTGCTTGGGGGGGGGGGGGGGAGAGAACGGGACGCCCGCAAGGCTTCGAAAGGCCCTCATCCCTCGCACATGCGCACTACGGCTCTCCCCGGGCGCCACGAGGATTCCGGAAAGGGCGCACTTCGGCCTCCCTCCAAGAGTTTTGGACTTCAGCTCCCACAATCCCTAACAGCTGCTGTGGGAGTTGGAAGCCCAGAACACACAGAGGTCGAAAATTGGCATGCCTGTCTTATGGAGATGTCACATTTCTGATTGGTTGATAACGGTTCTGTCTCATGTGCCCACCTCCCATTAGAAATAGAAATGCCTACAACAGATTTGTGTCAAAAAATTAGCAGAATGGTAATTCAAGGCAAGGGTGAATTGGAGGCTCCCTGCTGGCGAATTGCTGTCAAATTCAAATGAATCTCCATAGTTCCTTTGCCCCATCCATCAGATTCAAAATGTCATAAAAGAACAAAGGGTGGGCACATGTTGAAAATTGTTCTAGAGCAGGAGGATTACAGGAAGAAGTGGGGAAGAGGCAAAAGAATTAAGAGACAGGGATTTTTTTTCGTGTCAGGAGCGACTTGAGAAACTGCAAGTTGCTTCTGGTGTGAGAGAATTGCAAAGACGTTGCCCAGGGGACACACTAATGTTTTACCGTCTTTGTGGGAGACTTTCATATTGTAAGAAGGGCCCTTCCAGGGAGGCCCTATATCCCAGGATCCGATCCCAGGTTTTTTGTTTATCCCAGATTACCTGGCAGTGCAAACTCATATAATCCAGTTAAAGCAGAAAACCTGGGATCAGAATCTGGGATATATGGCCTGCCTGGAAATGCCCTAAAATGGAGTAAGATGAGGGTTGCACAGAGGAAATTATGGAAGCTGGGAAAGAGAGGGTGGTTTTTAATCCAGCACTTTTTAATCTGTACCCATTACTTGGCCCGGCCCTGTTTTTATTGTGTTATGGTGTATTGTTTTGTTGTTTTTACTGTTATTGCTTTAATATTTTTGATTTGCTTTGAATTGTATTTGTTATGCTATTGTTTTGTTGAGGCCTTGGCCTTTGTAAGCTGCATCGATTCCTTCGGGAGATGCTAGCGGGGTACAAATAAAGTTAATAATAATAATAATAATAATAATAATTTTCTCCTTTTGCTCTGCATGTTCTGGGATCATTGCTCTGCATAGCAAGGACTTGACTTTCCCCTATGTGACCGTATCTACATAGATAAAAGCAGAGTACTACATCTCTCCAATGCAAGGCAGAGAACTCCACAAAGATGTAGAAGGGGCTTTTCTACACACAAAAAGCCTGGATCACTGAGAGACAGGGCCTTCTCGGTGGTGGCCCCTCCGCTATGGAACACCCTCCCTAGGGATATCAGATCGGCCCCCTCCCTTTTAACATTTCGGAATAAAGTCAAGACGTGGCTTTTTGAACAAGCGTTTGCAAATGCAGAGTAACTGACATAGGAAAATGGAAAGATTAGACCAGGGGTCCCCAAACTAAGTCCCGAGGGCCGGATACGGCCCTCCAAGGTCATTTACCCGGTCCTCTCTCAGGTGTCTTAAAAGCACACAACAACAACAATCCTATCTTATTAGCCAAAAGCAGGGTCACACTTCCCATTGAAATACTAATAAGTTTATATTTGTTAAAATTATTCATTTCAGTTATTGTATTGTTTTTAAGTGTTTTTTGCACTACATGTAAGATATGTGCAGTGTGCATTCATCATGTGTTTCTTTTCCAAATTATAATCTGGCCCTCCAACAGTCTGAGGGACAGTGACCTGACCCTCTTTAAAAAGTTTGAGAACCCCTGGACTAGATGATGGGACCAGACAATGTTTTTAACAAGGAGATACTAATGATTTTGTTATGGTTTTTATTCTATGTTAATGTTTTTAATTGTATTTATGGTATTGTGGGCATTGAATTTTACCCTGTAAACCGCCTTGAGTCACCTGCGGGCTGAGAAAGGCGGTATACAAATACAGTAAGTAAATAAATAAATCTAACATTCCTGCATTCTTTTTACTATCAAGGAATCTCCTAGTATTAACCAGAAGTCTCCAGCCCTATATCATCCTGTTGGATCTGGCCATAATAACCATTCCATCTTTTAGAGAGGACTGTTGTGTTTTCACTGAGACTAAACTTGGTTCAGTCAGCCTTTTCTTCACAGTTCCTCCTTCATATGCTGAGCAGTTTTATGTTGTTTGGACTGCTTTAAAACCTTGCTGATGCTTTCCTTGCTCCACTGTTTTTGTGTGTGTGTGTTGTTTTTGTTTTTTTGCTTTTTAAAAAAGAAAATGAAACTAGTGGCCTAGTTGGCTGTTGGCGTCTTACAGTTTTTCTTTGCATTTCTCTTGCAGTGGAATCATGGCTCCAAACACAGAACGCACATTCATTGCCATCAAGCCTGATGGAGTCCAGCGGGGATTAGTCGGGGAAATCATCAAGCGATTCGAACAGAAGGGTTTTCACATGGTGGGAATGAAATTTTTGCACGTAAGTTTAGTTTTCCCGTGCCTGTAGTGATGCTGCAAACTTCAGAGTACGAGTGCTAGTGAATAAGTGACACATTATTTGCCTTTGTTTGAAACAGGGCTGTATCCCCAACATCTTGGCACAAGTCTTGTATCAATATGGGTCCTCTATAATTCGAGTCCTGCCATGTCACCATAGTAAATTTATCTTCGTATGCTTGTGTTTGTACGAGAAAAATACAGTTAAATGGACAGGATACTAGAGATCACGCCAAATCAAAGGAGTCTGTGACGAGGATTATTAAATCATTTGTGGCACAGCTTGAAACATGGCATCTGCTGATGGTCATACAGTTTTTAAGTATCGGTTGGTTTATATTACATATCTCTTAGGTTTGGAGGCAAATATTGTAAATCAGGATATTTGGTGGTCTATGCATGTATCATTTTAATTCAAATACAACCAATTTGAGAGAATAGGTCAAAATGTGTCCCAATTATTTTTGATATTGCATCAGTGTGGCTTTTCAACTGATTCAGTCGTTTTCACACTGATCAGTCTGGTAATTTTCCATTTTGTCTTAAAGCAACTTGTGTAATCCAGTACAAATAAACTTGAATGACTTTGACTTGACATGTGGTTTGTTCAGCAACAAGACTTACTAGATCTCTGGAAACTCACTACCGAAATGTGAGATGCCATGAGGTTAAGCTTTTTCACAACTTAACTGTGACTTAGTTACATGTATCTTACTGTTTGCCGTTTGAGACAGTATTCTTTTAGTTATTTCAGAAGGATTGAAAGTAGGGATAAATAGGAAGCTTCTTTTGGTGACTGAAAATGAGGTATTAATTCATTACTGTACTTTTTCTTTCTAGGCGTCTGAAGAACTTCTCAAGCAACATTACATTGACTTGAAAGACAAGCCATTTTACCCTGGTTTGGTTAAATATATGAATTCTGGGCCTATAGTAGCCATGGTACGTGTTCATATGTAAAGCTGGTAGCCATCCATTCATTGTTCTCATGGGTACTAACTGCCTGAATTGACTAGCAAGAACAGACCGATGATGCAGGGCTTTCAGTTGAAGGGGGCAGTGTAGGGGCTGCTTTTGTGCCCCATGCATTTATTTTCAGGTCTCCTCAGACACAGGACCGATGCATGGTATCTAGGAGCCAGGGCTAGCATATAGAGTGGGCCTTGGGATATGCTGCAGTTTAATGGCCCTTGTGGATATTAAATTCCATGGATACTCAAGTCCCATTGTATACAGTGGTGTGATAAAAACATTGAATTAGTTTGCTTTTGGGATTTTCAAACTGGATAGTTGACACCATGGACACAGAGGGTCGACTCCACAATCAGTACCACTGAATCTTTCATGAATGGTTCTGAGTGAAAACCATTTAGGTTTTTTTTTTTTTTTTTAAAAAAAGCTCTTATTCAATAGTTTTACCAACTAGCACTTTGGATCATGAAGTAGGTATTGATACAGGATGATGGTAATAACTATTTTCACATTATCTCTCCCCCCCCCCCCCCCCCCCCCCCCCCCCAACAGTTTACCAGGGGCTTCCCTGGCTCTTTTGCATTGTATTCATTAAAAGACCCGCTTTTTCATCATAATTTTTTAAAACTCTTTGCTTTGGTAAAATGTTGTGAGTATCCATACTTGCATAAGAATACTATGAAATTCACATTGTCTCCATAAATCAACAGGCATCTTAGTGCCATACACACTCATGTATTAAGCAAGCCTATTCTTACAGGTCTGGGAAGGTCTCAATGTTGTGAAGACGGGAAGGCTCATGTTGGGAGAAACTAACCCAGCAGATTCCAAACCTGGCACTATCCGTGGTGATTTCTGCATTCAAGTTGGCAGGTTGGTGTGGGAATTTTCCCATTTTGTATGTTTTAACATTTGCAAGCTGCTGTTGAAATGTTGCTAAGGTCTTTTAAAAAACAATGTACAGGATTAGAGGCTTCACTCCCATCAAGGAGATATAGATTGTCTAAATTTGTCAAGGCAAAGGCTGTACTTCTGTTGCAGGATGGGCTAACATGCTTGTTCAGGGGCTACTTTGATCACAGTGTTTACAATTGTTCATTTTCTTTCAGGGCTTAATCATAGTGCTGTTCTGTATTAATGGGAGTATAAAGAGCTATGCTACTATTACAGTTGAGCAGTCACTTAATTGATGAAAGGTGATGTGTTGATCTTTATGTGTGTAGTTGAGAAATTCTTAGGTCTTACTTGAATGATGAGTAGTTTAGGCTTACAAAAAGTACATGTATCAGTGATGTAAGCTTAGCTGTGAGTAGTCCACTCAAACTCAAAAAGTAGCTAATTCTATATAAGTCTTGTAACTACATTCTTGGTCTTCTCTAAAGGAATATAATTCATGGCAGCGACTCTGTGGAAAGTGCTCAGAAGGAGATCAATCTGTGGTTCAAGCCTGCAGAACTTGTGGACTACAAATCATGTGCTCACGACTGGATTTATGAATAAAACAGACTTTACAATGAATTGTGCCTTCTTCCAATGAAGCATCTCAATCCACTTAGTTATTAACATGGGAGCAATCATCACGGTTATCTTTGTGATTGTTGGCACTAATAAAATATCAGTAACAAAGTATCAGTAACTTGTGTTTTTTTAAAAAATAAACAGAAGATAAGGTCTGTGGTCAGCTGTGAATAACAAGAAAAGTCCAGAAATGATAAAGTCCCAGCATATCTAATTTTTTGCAAAAACTCAAGTAGCCTAGCCATAATACAAGTGAGTCTGTTTGTTTTGCCCCAATTTATAATGTTTCTCCAGAAGTAAATGAAAGTCTCACTCACAATGCATTGGAGAAAAAAGTAGTTGCCATGTTGGCAATGCTGGAATCTTACTAAGTGATTTCTATCCCTGTCAATAATCCTTGAGTAATTAAAACATACATGAAGAAGTGGAGGGATAATATAGGAAGAGAGATAAAAAAAGAAGAATGGGAAGAAGTTTGGAATAAGAAGCTGAGATATTCAAAGGCAACGGAACTCAAAGAAAATTGGTTTAAGGTAGCTTACAGGTGGTATATAACACCCCACAGACTAGGGAAATTCAACAAAAATACTAACACCAAATGTTGGAAATGCGGAAAACAGGAAGGGACATACTACCACCTATGGTGGACATGCCCAAAAGCAATAAATTATTGGAGAAAAATACAAAAAACATTACAAAAAATATTGAAGACGGATATACCGTGGAAACCTGAAACCTTTCTATTAGGGATACACAATATAAAGTTGGAAAAAAATAAAGATAAGATACTATTCCTTTTGACGACAGCAGCTAGAATAGTCTATGCAAGACACTGGAAAGGAAAAGACCCGCCAGAAGAAGAGGAATGGCTAACGAAAATCCTAGATATAAGAAACATGGAYAAATTAACATATATACTTTCTAAAAGAAGGGGCACCCCAACAGCTGAAACAGACTGGAAAGATGTAACAACATATCTAGCAGAAGCGAAAAATATGGAAATACTCATATGAAAGAAGTTGAAGGAAAGGACAAAGAAGRGGAGAGCTGAAAAGAAACGAAGAGGGAAAGCAAGAAGAGGGAAAGAACGAAGGAATAGGAAGAACCTCCTAAAGATACCGGGAAGTCAACGACAAAACAGAATATACATACCCCMCCCCCCCACGTTTTTTCCTCACAATTCCTTCCCAATTTCTTGCTTCAACACCAGGCACAATATAGTTACATATACACACATCCGTAGTAAATACTCAGAAACCACTTCGCTCTATACTGTTCTCAAGCTTTTTAAACCCCTCCCTACCCTCCCTAAACCTTTTTCCCTATCCCTCCCATCAGACTGCTCATGTTTATGTTTCTTTTTTGTTTTGTTTTTTTTACTTTTCTTTTATATGGAAAACTGAATAAAGATTATTTTAAACACAATAATCCTTGAGTAATTTAACATCCTAAATTCATGTTTGGACATTTGTCATGTAGGTGAGTGAGTGTCAAATGGTACTGAATCCAGATGATGAAATTTTGTTTGTGACCATCTCAGATTTGGGATAAGGAGTAAAGTTGCCTAAAATAAAATTGCATTTTCTATTCTGGCTCAGTCTAGCTTTTTCATGGCCATATTTATTGCAGTAACTAGAAGCACAAATATGCCTTATTTGTGGGGAGAGACAAGAGAAAATAGTTGATTAAAACCATTACTAAAAAGGAAATTCCCACAGAGTCCCAAAAAAGGCCATATAACTGGTTTTACTTTTAACATTTTATTCTGTGTAAAAAAGGCAAATTTAGTGAATTATTTTCATCTTGTACACAAAGTTATATCTTTAATGTTTTCCCCACATCCATGCTTGAAAATCTGCAGTCTGGTAAAAATGAAAGTAACATTAATTTTTTTTCAAAAGCATTTTTCACTGAGTTATTTACATTTCATTAGAGGCTTTAAAATGCTCCCATTTGACCACACATTACCAGGAAAATAAAAGATTAAATTTATACAGATATTGATCTATATATCAAATACATACAGAAATGATGTAAAAACCCTAATCATTTTTTTAAAAACTTCTGCCCTGAAAGAGTTTTCCCAAGCAGAAGTTGATGCTTTTTTCTTTTTTTTATAAATGGCTGAGACCTTACTTAAATATGAAAATTAAAAAGAACAAATCAATTTAATCACAGTTTTAATCCCTTTCCAATAAAGGATTGTTTCCAAATATATTAGCACCAATAATACAAATATTGATGGGAGAAGGTGTTCACATCACATAAAAATGACAACAATAAAAACAAACAAACACTGAAACCCGTGTTAGCATCAATAGAACAAGAACTTGATAACTGCTCTTGCTTTCCTCAGATTCAGCAAGAAAATGCAAAACATGGATAAATGTCAGCCATAAAAATTTGAGCTGTAGAAGGAAGGAGCACTTACAATGTAACTCGCCTTGTGTGTGGTGCCTTATTTTTTTTCAAAATCCCACCTTGTGCCAAATACTGAGCTTGTTAGCTGGCCCTTAGCATCAGTACAGGCTTCAACCGCCTGGCCAACTCCCTATCCTAATATCCTCCTGACCTGTGTAATGTGTTCACAGTAAAATAAAGAGACTGTTCTTAAAATTAAATGCATGCATACCAAAGCAACTGATCCAGTACTAAGAAAGCCCACCACCACCACATCTGCTGTGTTAAAGAGGCCACAAAAAAGCATTGCTTAGTCTCAACACTGAATTAACAAAAAGGACAGGCAACTAAATTAGAACAAGGGCTCATTTGAGAAAGCTTCATGGCATTTACATTACAAGCCGCTTTACGAACAGAAGTGAGTTTCCATACTTCAAATTTCTGTCATACGCACACCCTTATATCAGGATGTATTATCCTGCCCCAGAGCGGAAATGAACAAAGCTATAAAGATTGGCAGTGCTGCAAACTTGACATAAATATGCAAACCTACCTTCAAAAACCTGAGGACTAGCAATTTAACACAAATTAAGATGGTCATGCTGCAGCATGAGTCCAAGTCTATTCGGTCTGGCAGGATACTTTGAGACTGGCTGAGGTTTACGTTCTGGATGAATGTGGCACAGATTAAGTGTGGCTATATATTTTCCAGGAGCTGCCATGTTCAACAGAGGTAGAAGGAGCATTGCCACATTTGATGTCAATAAAGGCCCCGTGCCTTTTGACAGTCACACAACTGGCAGAAATTTAATAGGTAAAGTTTTCTTGGCATAAAATGTGCAGTGAAGAGAAAAGACGAACCTTATTAATTTCTGCCCATCAGGCAAGTGTTGAAGGTGCAATATTCTGTCAGGAAAAAAGGGGCCAACTCAACCTAAAAGGTGTGCTGTGATGGTTCTAGCTCAAGTTTGAATTTTATGATGAATAAAGCGCTCGACCTAGGTCCAAGCTTTCATGCTGGCTTACTTTTCATGAAAGGGGACACTAGTAACGCTCTTTCTCTTTTTCACATTGCAAAGAATTAGCTATGCAGGTGGTCCCCACTGAAATCAGAAGAAATACTTGTGCAATTGCTAAATAAGTCGTTTGAAGATAAACTCAGTAACAAACAGAAGTAGCATGTCCCGGCTCTTGAGCACTACAGCCTCACAGAGTTTACCATCTTTAGTATGTGTAGACAAGGTTAACATACTCTCATCTTAATGAACTGCATGTTTCAATTAGAACCCTTTCTAAAATCAGTTTGCCTTTTGGGTCACTCTAACCCTAAACATGGTGGCATTGTGTAAGGGTCATCCTTGTTTTGGGAAGCACTGCCTTACAAGAAATATTGTCCCCAAGTCAAAATGTTACAGAAGAAAGAAGATAGGCAGTCCAATGGAAGAGATCTTAAGGTAACCTTGACTACACTTTTTGAAAACATTGGTTGTAATTAGTGTATACTGCATGTGCGCCTTCTGCACTCCTTCAAGAGCAGCCCTCTTTGTGACATTATGAGCTGCTTTTCAAACTAAAAAGGTTTTTTTTTAAAATAGCTGCAATGCAGCATTGGTAGAAGGAAAAGGGCATTCTACCCAAGAGAAAAGGGTAGCCTAGCCAAGACCAGACCTCTCCTCACTCGTCTGAATCACAAACACAATCTTTTAAGAAACAAGTGTAATAGTCGCCTAAATTGACAAGTATTTGACACCTGATACTCAGTTTTTTAAAATATGTATACATGAAGCAGTTGTCAAAAATGGCCCAGCTATATGAAAAATGGCTAGAAACAGTTCATACATTCCTATACTATACAGAAAAAAATGTACTTCCAGTAGTTACTACAAAATTTTACACCATTATCCCCTCTTGCATAGAATGTGGTAAACCTTTGCATATCACCAATGGTATATACCCAACAATAGAGCAAGATAACTAAGAAAAGAATCAAAATTGCTGGTTTTCAAACTTTCTATGCACTTTTTAAAATTCAAAACCTTTATATGCCAAAAATTGTTTCTGGAGCTTTGTAAGTTGCTAGTCAGAGTGCCCTAGCCTTAAAGGGTGTAGAGATTAATCTACAGGATCAATTTCTTCTAACTTCTACCTTAAAGAGTCAAGCATTTGAATGACACTGCTCTAAGGAGAACTTACTACGACCCAGAAGCAGTTACAGAACATAAGAAGTTAATTCCTGAGAGTTTAGTTAATGAACCTTACTGGTAAAAGCAAAATTCTTTGACACACATCATCCTGTCACAACACTGCAGAGTGGAAATGTCAGCATGTTAAATTCTGTGAATGAAGCCATCAGTTAATAGCCACAGAGAGTTAACTCTCTTGGAAAAATCCTAGGTCATTTAGTATCATCGTCTCAGCAGTTACTACAAACTTTTGAAAACATTTTGCTTGGCAACAACACCAGCAGCCAAATCACAGAAAATATAATGCTGAAAGCACATCCCAAGCCATCTTCAGGCAAGTTAGCTCAATTCATAACAAGATGAGATCTCCAACAGGGTGAGGGAAGAATGCTATGTCCCAAGCAGACTTCTGTCTTTCTCCTCTGCCATTACCTCTTCAGTAGCAACATCTTCAACCAGACAGAAAGTAAAGTCCGCTAACATTTTAGTTTTTAAAAGGGCCATTTGAGTCTGTCTCCTTTTCTTGAACAAGACAAAAAGTCCCAAAATCATGTCATCTGATAACAACTCTAGTTGAATCTTTGCTGATCTTTTGCACAGGTATCTCAAGAACACAGAACTATTGTGTTTCCAGTCCATGAGGGGATGACCTCGAGAAGGATGGGAACAAAGCTGAATTATCCAGAACCTTAAGCATTCTCCCATCAGTTATGTTGCCACTTCCTGGAGATATTCTTCTCAGATTCTATCTTTCAATTTATTTTGATATGTATTCACCACTCTAAAATTTGAGTCTTGTGATGTAACTCCGGAAAAGACAGGGTGCGATTAGTGTAGCTTCAAAATCCAGAATCTTCCAGCTTGTACCAGAAGGTTCACTTGTTTGCAAACAGTTCTTTTGTGTTTTCTACCATACCACCTCACCTTCTTCAAATGGTTTCCTGCAATCCTGCTATAATTAAGCTTTCAATTTTTTTTACCAAAAATTAGAATTTCATTTTTAAACAATGCACAATAAATCTGAACTTGAAAATATTACAAAAATTCTTTGAAAAGCTTCAAATACAACACAAAAGTGTTAACTTTAATAAATTGAAAAATCTTCTTTTCCCCATTAAAATAGTTTCCTCATCCTCCAAAAATCCTTAATTGAAATCTTTTCTGCAATTAGCAAAGTGCCCTTAAGTAGAAGCCATTGAATTGTTATCATCAGAATGGGAAGTTCAATCAGACTCCTTTTTGTACCATTCTGCCCAGATTTGCATTTAGGGCTCTTGCTTGATGTAGTGGCTGGCCGACCCATTGCTTTCCTGATCAGATGCTCCTTGGAGGAACGTGTACTCCTCTCCATCTAGCAACTCCTCCTTCAGCTGCAGTGAAGACACTAGACATAAAAAGGAGGTTAAAAAAACCAACACCAGTGAATGTTTGAAGACACATTTTCTTTCACTTCAGGCAATGCTCCAACATTGTTACTTCTGGGAGTAAAAAGACATGGGTGTTCCAAATTTTAATAATGAGAAGCAAATATTTAGATTGTGTGCCTATAATGCAATGCATTAAATTAATGGAGTGAACTGGAAAATGAGACCATGAAAATAAAATGTAGACATAGAGATTTTATTTTTAAAAAATTACCATGGTTAATATTTTCTAACTTGCTAAAATGGATTTTGTATTGTAGAGTATAATCCTATACACGTCTACCCAAACGTCATTTTTTATTTAAACTGGGTTAATGATCAAGTAAGGCACATAAAATTGCCACTCCAATGTCTTTTTTCTTGTGTTCCTTCAAGTCATTTCTAACTTAAGTTGACTTAAGGTATCACAGGATTTTCTCAGAAAGATTTGTTTAGATCTTGTTTGCCATAGCCTTTCTCTGATGTTGAGAGAGTGTGACTTACCCAAGGTCACTGAGTGAAATATACAGATATACCTCAGTCAGCAAAGAAGAGATGTGCTTGGATAATACTTCAACAGAAAATTTAGTACCAGAGGCAGATACAACACAAAAAGCAGAGGTGTAGGTTCAGCAGTTCAACATGTTTCATCACATTTTTTATCCATAGCTTAAAACATTCACATATGCAAAGAAACAACTAGGCCAAGTAAACTTGAAGGTTTATCCCTAAAATTCACCCAATCATTTCATTTTCTTACAATTTCCATTCTGGTGGCCAAATTTAAAGACGTTTCCTTAACATGCTTGGGGGGGGGGGTTGTTTCATTATTCATTCATGATCTGTAAGGGATTCTGGAGGCTGGGGGCTGTTCACATTGCCTGTTGTAAGCAGGCACACACCTACAGTAAGACTGCCTACATTGGAATCCCATTCTTTCCTGGCTCCAAGTTTTATTGCAGACACGCTTCAACAATCTGAAATGCATGTCTGTCTCTCAGTCCCCTTCACCATCCTCCCAATGTCAATTCTGCTAAAAATTCTTCCAACTAATTAAAGGAAAAGGAAGAAATTTGGGGCTGGGTAATCATTAAAAAATGTGAAATGGAACTTCTTTTTCAGCCACTTTGTTAACTGGGGTATGCTGATATTTTCTCTCTGGGGTGCAATAAAAGACTCTCGGTTCTCTCATAAGCATATTTTTTCTCCCATCCTGTCACCTGTTCCAAAACAATATAATATCTTCCATTGGGCTACATAAAATTTTACTAGGTACAAATGAAGTTTCTCCTCACGTAGGCACAAAGTATATCATTCCAAGATAGGGCAAATGAAGTCTTATGGTTTGTTAGCACAGGAACATCTCTTCTGAACACAATGTCCCAGATGGACATGGAATTATATACATCACTAAACTGGTGCACCTATGGGCACAATTAAACGTAAGTATAGTTCTAGTTTCACCCCACCCCATCCCTCCCTTTTACACCGAAGAGGACCCAGTGCATAGAGCACACTGGTTCCACCCAGATCACCCTGACATATTAGAGTATGTGTACTTCATACTAAGGTAAAAAGTTAACTTTGAATGTTGGGTAGGGTGGCACCATTTTACTTCAACCTAGGGCTTTCTTCATAAGGGGTAAGAGTCATCTGGCCCCTCAGATGTTTCTGAACCTTAGTCCTAGCACTCTGCCAGTGGTGTTGGCACTGTACAGCATGTGGAGGCTTTGCATGATTTGCACCTCTGCAGTACTCTCCTTGGGACAGCAAAGGAGGTAGCACTAGGAATAAATACTGAAGAAATTATCTCTTTTTCCTAAAACCAACAGAACTCCACTGACCTTTCCATAATATGCTACTATAAAATAAAACAAAGATGCTTTAAAAAACCTCCTTTCACAGCATATTTTCCACAAAGCAATTCGCATTTTTCTGTACATTGATTTTAGATTAGCTGAGAGAACCCCAAGATTAGGCCAAGTAATAATCCATTCAAGGACAATGTCAAGGTGTTTTCCATCGTTGCCTTACAGCAGCTGTTCTCAAAGTGTGTTCCGTGGGGCCCTTGGGACTCTGCGAAGCATATTGAGAACTCTGCAGTTTCCTCCTCCTCCAAGCATTCTCTCCTCTTTCCTGCTCCTCCCCCTCCCCCTACCTCCAAAAGCCCTACCCCCTCCAAAAAAAGCCTTTCCCCCACCTTCATCACTGCCCAGATCCTTTCCACCTCACCTTGCTTACTTCCAAAATCCAATTTCCCTCCACTCAGGTGGTGGTTTGACTGTGCTTTTCCTACATGGCAGAAGGGAGCTGAACTGAATAACCCCTGGGGTTTCTGCTAATGTTGTTGTTGTTGTTGTTGTTACTACTACTACTACTACTACTACTACTACTACTAATACAAAGACTGGGCGACCATTTGTTGGGGGTGCTTTGATTATGCTTTTTCTGCAGAAGGGGGTTGGACTGGAAGGCTCCTCGGACTGCTGCTATTATATTATATATTATATACAAACATTTCTTGGGGCTCCATGAGAAATTTTTGCTTCAAAAAGGGGCTCACAGCTGAAAATGTTTGAGAACCCTTGCCTTACAGAGATGGAATCCCTTGTCTGTGTTAAAATGCTCACCTGTACTGTTTCTAAAGGCATGGCAAAATGATTATTTCTGTCTAACATTTGAGCTTCACGGGGAATGAGATTTCTGTATTATTTCATGGCACCAAGAGAAACCATTCAGTAAATCAAAACATGATCAATATGAACATTACATAGTGCTTTCAGGAAGGCATATAAAAACTCTTTGGATATTTGGAATCAGAAATTTTACATTCCAAAATGTCTATTTTGAGAATGGTGGTTCATATTTCTATACACTGACCACAACATTCATCCTATTTGGCAGAGTGTGAGCCTCTCCCCCATTCCTATAGGGATGAACGCTCCCCCCCCTTCTGCTCCCACCACAGGCGTACAACAGCTGAGGAGGAGGGCTCTCAAGCACACCCTAATTCCCCTGATAAACTGTGTGGGTAAGCCTTGCCTTCAAGAAAGTGTGTGTGGGGGGAAGGGGGCAGCTAAATTTAGGTTGCACCTTCTTCCCCAGTGTACCCAAGTGTTGTCAGTCCATCAGTGACTGGGAAGAGACACAGCTGCTTCTCCTAAGCTACTACAGCATAGCCAGTGAAGGAGCTGTAAGGAGATATCCAATACCTCCTTCCACAATGTCCTCAAATTACATATATCATTACAGCTAAAGATTTAGACAACATACATAACCTAAAAGAATATAGCCACTAATGATTACAGAAGTAAACTATCAAAATATGGCCTGTAATGGAAAATGTGTTATATCTGGTATAGAGAACACAAACCTAGTCTAGTCAGTTTTTAAAAAATAGCTCCTCTGCTCTTTAAAAATGTAATATAACACGTGACCATTGGCAGCTGCCTGAAAAGAAAATGTTGACATTAAGGGAGCAGAGCAGCAAAATGTAATATTGATGAAGTTTAATAAGAAGCACAAATAGTTACAAAGGAGTCTAATACAGTCTCAAATGACTGGTGATGAATAAAAATATTCTACAGCTATGGTTGGGAAGAAGGGGACATAGGAATGGTTTAAAGTGTAATTGTTGTATCCTTCTATGCTTGTATTACTTTGGATGACAAGATGGCAAGTTCAGCTGATCTTCGCTTTGATCCAGTATTGCAGCTTCCATTATTAATGTCAGTGTCAACGTCTTTTAAAAACACAGAAGAGTCTGCTTTAACATCTCAAAAGTACATTCAGTTGCTACTTGGAACCTCACTAAAACATACAGGCCACTTGACTTCGGTCTTAGCATGGTTCTATATCATCTTCCTTGCTGATACACACAGTTCTGCTAAATAAAATTTTAGAAAAAGTTTAAGCATTAAAAAGTGACATACTACATTATACATATTCTACAAAATAAACCCTAATGCTTACTCAGTGCTATATTAAACTCTGAAACGCATATATATTTACTGTAGCTATCACAGATGAAAACAGATACTTTTTATTTTGTCAAAAACAGTATTGAAATACAGCATCCTGGCTAACTGTATAGATTATATATGTCTAGTCTACAATAGGCTTTAAAGTCACAAATCACCTATATGGTATGGAGCCCCCGGCAGTGCAGTGGGTTAAACCCTTGTGCCAGCAGGACTGAAGACCAACAGGTTAGAGGTTCGAACCCGGGGAGAGCGTGGATGAGCTCCCTCTGTCAGCTCCAGCTGCCCATGCGGGAACATGAGAGAAGCCTCCCACAAGGATGGAAAAACATCAAAACATTCAGGTGTCCCCTGGGCAACGTCCTTGCAGACGGCCAATTCACTCACACCAGAAGTGACATGCAGTTTCTCAAGTCATTTCCGACATGGAAAAAAAACAAAAAACACCTATATGGTGAGATAAGGTGAAGGAGCTTCAAAGAAAATCAAACAGAGATTCATCAACTTGAACTGTCAAGGCTTTTCTTTAAAAAAGACCCAACAGGAAACCTCAATGCAAGCCTCATATCCTAGCTGCCCCAAATTTTACTCCAAATCTAAGGCTGGCGGCAACTGGATATAAGGGCTACAATGGCTGGGAGAAATGTACCATATGCTTAACATGCCAAGTAATAATGAACACATCAACTGCGGTTGAAAGTATTTGGGCATGGCAACTGAGTTGTGGGCCAGGACTTCAATCTTTTTAGCATCCTATGCCATTTTTATAATTAATACCCCTCTTTGCTGATATACAGAAGAATTCCTGAAGGCAATTTTCCAAAAAAAGTATCCTGGTATTTATCTTCATCAGATCCATTTTAACTACTACTAATTTTCATAAATTCTACTTGTTATGGTACAAAGTAAAGATCCAATCTGTCAAACCTCAAGTTTGCCAAATTATTCCGAAGCTATTCAAGTTACAAAACTCAGGAAACAAGATATTTGCTTTGAAATATCATCCATAAGAATTAAGTGCCTTTGCTCATGACAATGCTATTATTCTCATTTAAACCTTATTCCAAAGAAACTGTCAGAACATTTCAGTTAAGCTTATTTTGCCAAGAGCATCCCCTATTACATTCAAATTCAAAGCATCTTTAGAGAAGCTGAATCTGCAAGAGCAATCCCAACAGTGCAACTTGTGTACAGGATTTCTGAGTACACTAAATATGGTCACCCATTATGATGATTTAAGAGCTATGCTGCAATTCAGGCACCAAGCAGAATTTCAAAGTAATGCCAGCTCAAGATATGTACTTATGTTGGCTCTGCATCTTTGACATCTGTGTACTCCGACTTAACATGTGTTTTCTGAGGACACGATAAGGCAGCCTATATCTGATCAGTTCCCTGGTAGGATACTAGTTGGGAAACCTGTATGTGCCAGCTTGAGCATCTAAGAAAAAGGATTATTATTAATGCAAATGTAATAAACAAATGGATCTGGTAAGCTTAGTGCTGTGAAACAACCAAGACTATCTCATAGAAATCAAGAGAGCAAACTTTGCTTTCCTTCTGGTAGTATGTGACAGCCTTAATATTAGGGAATCTTTTTTGCTGTCTGGAAAATACATAATTTTTCATCAAGTTAAGATTTGCAAAATTAAAGCTTTCCTGTGCCTTTCAAAGGGAGGACTTTCATCACTCAAAAGAAAGCACTGTTAGTATTAATCCCAAGGAATCTAGTGGTCTTCTTATATTGTTTCTGGTAAACATTAAAATATACAACTAAAATAGTATGTGGCACCTGCAAGCTGCATCTATTTTAATCTTGGGTACTCAGTCTATTATTGAGAACAGATATTGAAAGTGGGTCTTAGATTTTGATCAAAATAGTGACACTAAACTGCATAAACACTTTGAACATGGCAATTCAAAGAATTTATTGTGGTTCTCAACCTGTGGGTCCCCAGGTGTTTTAGCCTGCAACTCCCCGAAATACCAGCCAGGTTACCAGCTGTTCGGATTTCTAGGAGTTGAAAGCCAAAACATCTGGGGACCCACAGGTTGAGAACCACTGCTCTAAGGGGTGGTTGACAGGAGTTAGAGACCATACATTTCATCTGTGTAAAATAAGTACTTTCTGGCCTTTTAACATGATTCAGTGGCATAAACATAGCTCTTCAGAATGATCAGAGATAGGTTTATTCCAAAATGAAGAAGAATATACAGTAAATATACAGTACAATGTAAACAATTCTATTTAAATCTGGTACCTTTGTGGTACCTGGTACATTAAAACGTTTTCAGAAAAGCAAAAAGAAGCAGGTGTATTTTGTTCAAGTTCTCACAAATCCAGGGCCCTTCCATACAGCCCTATATTGCAGAATATCAAGGCAGGAAATCCCACATTATCTGAGTGTTGACTCAGATAACCCAGCTCAAAGCAGATATTCTGGGATATAGGGCTGTGTGGAAGGGTCCCCAGTGGGTCAATACAGTAATTTCATCTACTACTGGAAATTTAGGGCAAGGTGAGGCCACTGTTTTCCCACAGTAAAGCACACTCATTAAAAATATACACTGAGAATTAGGTTGGAGTAGGGATGGCATATGTTTTCAAAGAAACCACTCTCCCTAGAAGGGCTGCCTTGAAGGCTCCACATTTGCAGTTCTGAAATGAAACATGTTTTACCATTCTTACCATTTGAAATACAAACAAAAATTAACAATTCCAGGGAAAAAGGGAAGATTTTACAGTAGCAAAGTGAATAATCACGGAATGCACCTGTAGAGATGTTGAATGGCAGAAAGATGGGGATGTGCAATGAGTTGGATTTAGCATCCTGACTACATTGAACAGTGTGCAGGCCTTTGGTATGGTTACTGGGGGGGGGGGGGGGGGGGGGGAGCTATTCTCACTTTATGATGTGAAACTGCAGCCAGGGCTTGAATGCTCTCTCTTACCAGCAACTATAGTATGCATATGCTGCAATAGTTGCAACTACCCAAGAAAGAATAGTTGGGGGTGGGAAGAATAAACACACGAGGTTTCCTATTTTTGTCAGTCTGTTCCCCTGGCAGAAGTAGCTTTGAAGAACTCATACTTTCTTATTGGCTAGCAGCCACAACTAGCCAGTTGCTGTATGGTGTAAACTGGCCTTTCGTGCTGTGTATCTGGACAGCTATTTAGGGTCTGATACATGTCATTAAGCCAGTGCAGACACCTTCCTCTGCTGGGTAATACTGGTGTTATCACCGATGTGTTCCGCAACCCTATCCAGCCCTAGTCATGTCTATAGATGCCAAAAGACCTCAAGAACAGGACAGAACCTGATGTTATACCCAGAAAAAACTAATATTTAGACATATTTTACAACAGTTGGAATTCACAAAGAAGGGAAATCTAGGAATATTTTCTAGGTTTCAAGTCTCATCAGTTTACAGATTTTTCAGAAGGCGATGGCCATTATCCAAGGATAGTGAAAACATCTTAGAAAGGAAAAAAGTGCCTAGTATAGTTTTATTTGGTGCTATTCTTTATACAGAAAGCAATCCATTCAACAGTTATGAGCAGGGATGTTTTTCATACACAAGAAGTGTTCTAATATAAACAAAACAAAATGCAGGGATTTCTGCTGATAGTTGTATTAATTTAAAGAGGCATTGTTGTTGGTGCCTTCATGTTGTTTTAACCTAGGGTTACCATAAGGCTGAGAGAATGTGACATACCTAAGGTCAACCAGGGGTTTCAATGGCTGAGTAGGGAGCCATAGGCCGACACTCAAACCATTACACCATGCTGGCTCTTAATTTTATTTTATTCAATTCAGTGGGAATAAATACATGTACACATATTAATACTTTTACAGTACAGTGTAACATCCAATTATTAAATCTGATAGGAGAGATTTCTATTCAACTTTTACAGGTTATATCAATCTTTATATATATATATATATATATATATATATATATATATATATATATATATATATATAAAATTAAATTATTCTTACAGCTTTGATATTTTTCTGCTGTTCAGTTTGTCAGTATGGCTATCAGAGATAAACACAAAATCAAATTACAAGTTATTGCAGGGAATATATTTCTTACCTATTTTCAGATTTTTAAAATTTACTAAAAATGTGGATAAATATTCTAAGCTTCAATATTTTAAAAATTATTTAAAAAGCACTTTCCTGCTAGTGAGGAGGACTCCAATAATTAATCTTCTATTTGTATATCATTACAGAAAAAGCTAATAGTAAATGAAAACTTTTCACTAAAAGCATCTCTTTTTGTTTTCAAAGGAATTTGCTATGTTCTGAAGCAGCAAAAAAGGGTCTGAATATTTATGATTAATTCAATGAGATGGGCTCATGGGCTGATGCGAGGTTCAGAGGAAATGAATGTTCTTTTTGTTTTAAAAAAATGAAAAGTGAGCGTGGCAGTGAGTCGGCATGTTTCATGCCTCACCATGCTTGTTCCTCTTTCAGTTTTGCCCTCCATCATATGATTATTTATTCCCATGACCAATTACCTGTTTTGAGGTTGGGACTGAACTCTCTGCTAGTCCTGGGAGGCTGGCAGGCCTCCGGGGCTGGCTGTGCTGGAAGGGTTCGATACTGAGGAGGAGTCAACTCTTCATCACCAGAGAAGCTCCTCCGTACCGCACCTGTCATGGGGACGCTGGACAAACTGACAGGCTTCTTCCCAACTGGTATCTTCCTCTCTAAATATCAAGTCAAACTAAAGTAAAACACTTAGATCAAAGTGCATTAAGGAACTCAAAACTCACTGAAAAAGGCTTTTCCTTCATGCTCCTCTGACTCATGGACACTTCTGTGTGTGTCCAGAATGTTACTAATTAATATCAAGGGAATTTACTCTTTGAAAACAAGGTTGGTGACTGATGGCTCTGTCACAGGACCCCGTGAAACATCCTTCTACTACAACATGTTTTGAGCAAACACCTTAATTTACAACTCTCATACAAATTATTAATACATTTATAGATATGATTAGCTATCACAAATAAGATTATTTACTAAACAGAATGTTTTGTGTCCCCACCGTCCAATCTGACTCAGAAGGCAGGACTGATAATGTCATTGATTTTGGAAGCAAACATTTTCTAGACCAAAAAGAGTATATAAATGAAAATATTCAGCAGCAACTCTAACACGGGATTATAGTAATAAAAAAGAGCAACTCTGTGTGCATTCCTTCATTGATCTGTTTATCTGTAGAAAATGGCTTGGGGAACAGTAGTGATCAAAAATACCATCCATAAACTCAGTCAGGAGGTGGGGAAACATCCAGTGATTGATGGAGAACTGAATTGAGAAATACACTTCATTGTGGAGTATATTTCTTGCTTGTGCATAAAGAGCTCACAAACAGAATCTTCTGTTCAGGTCCATTACTTTCTACACAAGAAAAGTATAAACTGCAAGGACAAGTACTATGAGTACCCCTGCATTCAACAAAGTATGATGAGAAATGTCTGAAGAGAGCTCTAGTCTTTAAAGAGTAGGACAGACTCGGCCTACAAAATGCCTCCTCATAATTTATGTGATAGGTCAGTTCTGCCTTCTGAGCATTTGAACATGATATGGCAAAAAAAAAAAAAGAAAGAAAGAAAAAAGGATCTGCCTTCCAGCTCTTGAAAGTTCCTCCCGTATTTGGTAAAAATGATGGTTCTTGCCTAATAGTAGCATTCCAACACAGAATGTTCTCACTGTCTACTTGGATTGATTAAAAAAAGAATTTTGTTAATTCTTGTGAAGACATCATTGCCATCTTTGACAGATAGTAATTTTTGGCTTTGGGTCAGATTCACATATGATATTACTTACATTATAAAATGCTCTGCACTTAATACAACTGTTCCAACATAGCATCAGAACATTTCAGTGTAAACTGAAAATGCTGAACTTAACAAAAGTACGTACACATCAAGTACGATTTATGCTGTAGTTTCTTGATATAGTACACTAAAGCATCATACTTTATAGAAATCCTGAACAGATCACTCGTCATCTAATTCAGTTTATTACAGACATTAATCAACCAATCTTCTGTCAAAGCAACATTAGAGAGCGTGGTTATTAGAATTATCAATTGTTTCTGATGAGCTAGGGAACAAGAAGATACAAGAAGTCATAATCCAGATTGTGTATTATTGCGATATGAGCAGTGAGAAAGGTAGGTTGCCTATAACTGATATTCCTCAAGTAGTCATCTATGGATTTACATATACAGCTCAACAAAGCATCCTTTGAAACCTTTTAGGTATCTGGGAGTTGGTAGTCATCCTGGCCCTTACTTGCATTCTTAATGCACCACCTCCTCATTTTACTACCAATCAATACAGTTGTAGCAAAGAGCATAAAACAAAAGTGTCACCCAGGAAGACCAGGCAAGTTGTGTGAATACACAAATTACTCATCAAACCACATCATTTACAAGTAAGTAACCTGCTCCTTTTTTAGTCTCTGTGCTTCACACATACAGGTGAAGAGTGTACTCAGTTAGTGTCTGACTCTTTGGTACAAATTGATCTCCTTGCACAAAAAGCAGAAATGTTTGGTTTCCAAATATATATTTTTTCCATCGGTAAGGTGCCAGAAGCTTTTCTAATTCCAAAATCCAAGCATTCCTTGCCAAAGAAATAGTCATTAATGGGCATGGGAATTAATTTCACAGGTTATGCCCATATATACAAAACATCTTAGAAGCCTATAAAAAGCCACAAAAACTAGCATTTGGCATCTTTTTTACAAAGTTGGAATTAAAAACAATATTATGCCAGCAACTGAAAAAGAACCAAAGCAGATGAACCTCATTTCTCTTCTAACCTCAGTTGTGATGCCATTGGTTTCCACCAGATTACTCTGAAGTTGTAGAGTACAAAATGATGAAGCCATCCACAACTGGAACTGTATTTGATCACTCAGAGACTATAACATATTCCTTCAGTTTACAAGTTACACATTGTCTGCACTCTTATGGTTGCCAATATCCTTGGCAAACTTTGTCCAATATTATCCAGTATTTAATTTCTAGAATGAAGCATACTAAGTCTTAATATGTAAGCTACTAGCAACAATTATAGTGAAGTATGTGAATTTCAAGTAGGGTTATCTAAGGCGCTCTTTGCATATCACTCCTCAGTAGTTCATATTCTGTAACATCTACAAAGTAGCAGTAAATGCTGATGAAGCATAAGGGAAAATCATGATCTTTCTTCCTCAGTAAAAAAGTACAATATATTGCAGTTAAAGGCCATGGTTCCATATTGGATTTGGTGTACATGCTCAGATAGAACCTTTTTCTCTATGTCTTCCTGCTCCCATACAAGACAGGTTCCTGGTGCCTGTGCATTCTCCATGATAATTTAGTGACCAAGGGAGAGCACATGTGAATGGGAACAATCTACCCACAGTTCTGCAGATAAACATGAGCAAGGTCTCCATTGCCCTCTCCTTGTCACTAAATGCCTGCCCCAGCCTTCCAGGGACACAAAATATTGTGATGCTGCCTTGTGCAATGAGGGGGATGCAGAGGCACTGCACAAGCAGATACAGAATAGTTCTTCCCACAAAGAACTTAAAAGCACACTTATTCCAAACATCACAGGTTATGTGAACGTGTCTCTTGTAATATTGTATTTAAGCCAATATAATCTACACTCTTTTTGTTTTAATATACACAAACTAGAGATTTTCTAGACCTTCAATGTGTCTAATGACAATGCTAGTAAAAACTGGTGTGTTCATGCGGCTATTATTGCCAGCTTTGCATCTGGCTTTCTGTTTTGAATGCCTATTCTTAAAAGTTAAGAAATGTTTAATAAATTCAGAATCAACTTGGCTTGGTCCACAGATCTATACAGATTTGTTAAGGATGAAGCTCCATTTAACATATCCTTTAGACTTCTCAGTTTGCTCATGACTAGACTAGCAACCAAAATGAGCAATTGGAAATCGCTTAATGGCTGCCCTCCTGGCACTAGTCACTCTCAGTTCAAAGGCCAAGGTCTTGCACACTTTTAGTATAACTTAAATTGTTTCATTAGATATTAGTTTCATTAGAATTGTTTCATTAAATATCACAATTCTTAAAAGAGCAACCGGTGGCGCAACGGGTTAAACCCTTGTGCCAGCTGAACTTGCTGGCTGAGAGGTTGGCAGTTTGACTCCAGGGAGTGGGGTGAGCTCTCATTTATTAGCTCTAGCTCCCATGCGGATACATGAGAGAAGCCTCCCACAAGATAGTCAAACATTATACATTTGGGCATCCCCTGGGCAATGACCTTGCAGATGGCCAATTCTCTCACACCAGAAGTGACTTGAAGTTTCTGAAGTAGCTCCTCACACACACAAACAATTCTCAAAAGGCACTGCGGTTTTAAGTTCTCATGGTGCACAACTGTTAATAAGTCCTCTACCTACCAAGCCAATAGTAAGAGAGAAGGCTCTGCACTTGCAAAATTATTGACTGCACTATAAATCACATGACAAGCCTACATTGATATATCTTTATGCATTTAATATTGTGTGCCTCTTTAACTGCAACAAAAATATTATTCCTTGAGATTCAATTTCAGTATTAAATAAAGCAATATACGTATAAAGAAGGCCAAAGAGTAGCAGCCAGCAACTAAGCTGCAAATTCATGCTAGCTCTTCAGCGTTACACAGAAAAGGCTAAGGAAAAGAACAATGGATTGTAATAGAACTGACAGACCAGTGTAGGCATAGAAACTTTCCCCTCAAGACAGAGTTTCCATGCCTACACTGGCCTGTCAGTTCTATTATAATCCATTGTTCTTTTACTTAGCCTTTTCTGTATAACACTGAAGAGGTAGCATGAATTTGCAGTTATCAGAGTCAGGGAACACAATGAAATATATCACCTAAGTTATTGTGTTGAAGAAGATACTATTATGTCAGACTATTCCCACCCTCTTCATTCTGGATATAAAAATATTTGTATGAAAGCATCTAATCAACAAAATACTAAGTAGAAAACTTCACACAGTTTACTAAAATCTTTTAGACTACCACATATTGCACTTTAAAATGCATTTGTCAGTTTATAAAAAGTTCTCCTTATTCTTTTATGTATTTTAAAACTTGAAAACATTTCACTAAAAAGCATGAGTCAAAAGAAAATGCCAAAAGTCTAATATGATTATAAAAGCATGTATATTTGTTACCCACTTTTCTTGTGTCCTTTATACTGTTGTGATTTAGATTTTTTCTTCTGCTTTGATGAACCTGATTGGCTATCCCTTGATGCTGAAATATAAGTATCAAAATTTAGATTAACACCACTTTTTAGGATACAATATACTTCAAAATGATTTTATTCATGAAATACACTACTTCACCATATAACTCCAAACAAGACCACAGATATAACAAAAACATTTATAAATGACATGCCTTGAGTTTTAGAATTTCTCTAAGAAATTATTTACATTATGTCAACTGAAACTGCAGGTTCCCATTGTTTTTAATTAGACATAATTAGGTTCTGAGTTTGATGACATGAATCTCTAACCCAGTGGTTCTCAACCTATGAGTCCCCAGATGTTTTGGCCTTCAACTCCCAGAAATCCTAACAACTGGTAAACTGGATGGGATTTCTGGGAGTTGTAGGCCAAAACACCTGGTGGCCCACAGGTTGAGAACCACTGCTCTAACCTAAAAAGGTGTCAAGTTGGGGAGGGGAACTTTTCAAATTAAAATTACCTCTGTCATGCCCAACCAGTCAAAAATAAAAGAAAGCTTTTATATAGAGAAAAATTGTTATATCTGTACTGCCGATTGGGAATCTGCTATATCCGACCAAGCGAAACGATTTAAATACTTTTTTTCATGAAAACATAACTGTGGGTACGTAACAGATTTTTTTCTGCTTGGCTTAGAACATATCTTTTTTGACTGGAACACTATAATGTTGAGAGCATCCCCAGAATATGAGAAGAGGAACAGGAAATACAAATCAGGAATCAGAACAGAACACTTATACAGAAATAAAACAGAAGAAATTTAAAGACAGATGACGGCAGGAGAGTAAACTAGAAAATGTGCATGTAAGGGAAGAGGAAGGAGTGAGAAAGGGAGTAGTAAAGAAGTCAGTATGTATAAACACTTTGAAATATGGTTGACTACAGACAAGACAATTTAGGCACATCATCTGGAATATTAAATAAATGTTGGATGTGTGTATATCTCAGATGGGACTCTAACAAGTGAATGAAACTCTAAAAATAGAAACAAACAATGCTAAAAGAGTGAGAAATCTCACCATAGGGAATCACTCATATTTTCGTTACACAGAGGCTACTTACTTTGTGAGGCAGGAGGCTGTAGTTGGTAACCAGTTAGTTGACACCACCCTACAGGATAGAGATCAGGAGATTCACAATCCACCCACTGATCATATTCATCTTCCCAGCCATCAAAATGTATCCTCAACAGACGGTGGATAATGCGAGTTACAGTGGCCACACATACTAGACGAGGTTCCATGAGATCCACAGCTTCCAGTTTCATGGCAACATGAAATCCATGGTTTGGAACGTCCTGGAATGGGAGACCAAGATGGCCATGTTACATTGTACATGAAAATCAAAGTTTTGCTTTGGCACTTAAAATTTTAAATATTTTATGCCCTGCAGTAATGCTGGCCCTCTAGCTTACTCAATTCTCTTTGTCTGGTGAGAACTCTAGCCCTGCCAATCCCTGGTAACAGTAACACAAAATCCAGCAAAGCACCGAGTTAATCTGTATTTAGGATTTCCTCAAATCTGTTACCCATGTCCTTTTTCCCAATATGGAATGAATCAGATGTTTGAAGGAGATGTTAATCTAGAAATGCACTGAGTCATGCTTTACTTTTTGTGGGCAAGGGCAAGTCTCTGTTCATGACAAGTCTTGAAAACCAGTCTCTCCTTCAATTATCTCCAAAATATTTATTCTACTACCTTTAATTCCATATTCCCAGCTTCCATAGGTCTACCTTAATGTACTACCTGTACCATATCCCCAAATCGCAATGTATTTCAAAACTTAACTATGTATTTCAAAATGGGACAATCTGTACTAGGTTTTTAAAACACTTTTCTGTAAAATTAACTAAATATTTGAAAAATAAGTCTGAAAACCATGTGTCTGCAAGACCTGAACAAGACTGTTGATAATAGGTGATGTAAAGGTCTCTCATTCATGAAATTGCCATAAATCGTTATCTACATAACTTGAAGGCAGTTAACAACAATGACTTGGCCACGGTAGTCCATACTCTGGCTACATCCCGCATAGACTACTGCAACGCGCTCTATGAGGGGTTGCCTTTGAAAACTGTTTGGAAGCTTCAAATGGTCCAGTGGGCGTCAGCCAGGCTACTTACAGGAGTGGCGCTAAGGGAGCACATAACTCTGCTGTTGCACCAGCTCCACTGGCTCTCAATTTGTTACCGGGCACAATTCAAAGTGCTGCTCTAGCCCATAAAGTCCTAAAAGGTACCAGCCCTACTTACCTATTCGAACATGTCTCCCTTTACGAACCTTCCAGGAATTTAAGATCATCTGGGGAGGCCCTGCTCTCAGTCCCGCCTGCCTCACAGGCATGCTTGACGGGGATGAGAGACAGGACACTCGACTGTGGAACTCCCTTCCTGGGGATATTAGATTGGCCCCTTCCCTCCTGACCTTTCCTTCTTCAAGCAAGCCTTTGGAACCTCATTGTAACCAGATAACTCAGTATTGTGGACAAATATGGAATGATTTAATGATGCAAATGGACATGGATTTAACCCAGAAGTCATTGATTTTTATAGTTTTAAACTGTTTTATTATGAATTTTATTATGTGATTTAATCTATTTTAAATGATGTATTTATGTGTGTTCGGCATCTAATGTTGCCAGTTTGTATGCCACCCTGAGTTGCCCTCGGGCTGAAAAGGGCTGGATAAAAGTGTAGTAAATAAATAAATAATATGTAAAATAAAACTTGCAGAAACTACATGCCTGAATTTAGGTTCTGTATATCTTCAAAACAAAACAAACAAACAAACAAATGAAACAGAAGGACAAAATGGTACAACCATTACATTCAACCCATGGCATTTCTGATCCCAACAAATGTATGCATATAGCATTCAACTGGCCTTGCTCTTGTTCCAGAGGGACCACATTGGAACACTAGGATATCATCAATCTTTTCTCAATCACAATGACAATACAGTCTTAAAGCTGCAAACCAAATTTATTAAAAATAATTGCCACTATTAAGAGCTTTTCTAGTACTAATCAATATACTGTCTGTAAGTGAAAACATTTTCTAGATCTTTGGGGTCAGCTAAATCATTATGAATACAAAGCACATGCTCACAAGTCATTGCAATCTATATGCCTACTTACCTTGTTAAAGAGCTTCACAGGAGCTGCTATTGAACCCGTTTCCCTGAGGTAGTCAAACCATTTGAAAGGTAGTTTTGCATAACCTGCAATATATTTTTTCAATGTAACTAATAACATTTCAAAAACATTGTCCTGATCAATCAATATGAATATATAAACACATACATGCTCTAACTACTGCAATGTAGGTGAGCTGAATATTTCCTCAAATAAATGAGAAATTAAAAAAATATTTCTTACTATGTTTATATAGCTGCCACAAAATCTAGGTTCATCACTTTGTCACTGATGTACAATCCCTTCATGGAAATAGTATATGCAAAAGGACTACAAATTCCCATAGATCAAGAAAGGAAGATAATTCACTTAGGTAACAAAGTGGAGGGAAGGATACTAGAGACAAAGTTGAAGTACTTTGGCCACATCATGAGGAGACAGCAAAGCCTAGAGAAGACAATTATGCTGGGGAAAGTGGAAGGCAAAAGGAAGAGAGGCCGACCAAGAGCAAGATGGATGGATGGCATCCTTGAAGTGACTGGACTGACCTTGAAGGAGCTGGGGGTGGTGACGGCCGACAGGGAGCTCTGGCGTGGGATGGTCCATGAGGTCACGAAGAGTCGGAGACAACTGAATGAATGAACAACAAACAAAATGTTGCTGGTAGAGATACTGTTTATCCAAAAAAGAGAAGTGGGGAAAAAGTTTCACATCCAGTGCTTCTCTCTTATTATAATCAGTAAGTATTCTCTAGAAGGTATGGGCAAGTATGGAAGGTTAGGGAGCCACATTAGTCCACCTTAGAGGACTACAACCATTCCCACAAAAAAGTGTCTTTAGGAAGCAGGGAGCATTTTTACCATATTTTGGACTTTTAAAAAAGGCTTCTTTGGGGCATGAACTGGCTCAGGGGAGCTACTCTGAGAGCATTTCAGGTCAAAATGCTTCTATGATTTTTTTTTTCTTTTTGCAAAAATTGCCTTTAATCCCAGGAAACTTCCAAATATAGTGGAAATGCCTTCAACACCCCCTAAGTTGAATTCTGGAGTGAGCAGGATTTTGGGTTTTTTTTGCAAAAACATATTTTTGAAACTTGAGGGGCCCTGGGGACCACAAAAAAGCTATGGGAGCTGCATGCAGTCTACCAACCCCACTTTGCCCATCCATGCCCTATAAATTGCCTTTGAACTTCAATAAACAATTAGAAATATAGGTTGCTTACCTGTAAACGTATTTCTTCCAGTGATAGTCTGTGAAATCCGCACTAATGGGTTT